TTCTTTTTCATATTTTCCACAATGTGTCCGCCTTCGGCTTCAGGTGATGGTGCAGACATTCAAAAAAATGTTGGATCTATTGAAATAAATGGTGTACTTGTTAAAAAAGATGGCATGCACGTTAAAAACAACGGCGCACATGTTGACAAAAATGGCGCATACGTCGAAAAAACAAATCTATGCAACTTCCCCAGTAAGTCAGTTTCTAATAGAATAATCAATAAGAGATGAAACTAACTCAATATTCGATTTTGGGTGATCCAAAAAAAAAAAAAAAAAATAGCACCTCTTTACGCCGAAGAAGAGGGCGTGGATGTTTTAGGAGCCGAAAACGAGGTTGAGAAGTCATATAACAATGGATTCAGTCGGGGATACAAGAAGGGATACAAGAAGGGTGCCCGAGGCGGGTACCGGCATGGATACTTCCATGGATTTGAAGACGGATACGAAGAAGGATACAAGAAGAAAAAAAAAGTTTATAGAAGAAGTAGCTGCAGCGATTAAACGAGATATCGTCGAAAAAAATGCTATGGAAGAACAAGTTGCTGCAGTTAAACCTGTCGCTAATGGCAATGCCCACGTTGATGAAGTTGAACCAGTTGAAAAAGGTAAAAAAGACAGTTGGTGCTGAGCATGGGGATTAAAAAAAAAAAAGGTGATCCTACTCTAAAACCATTTTAGAGAGTCAAGACTTAGGCAGTAAGTCATACGTGAATAAGTAGGTTTCAACAAGGAAGAGGGAAAGAAAAAAATGCTAAGGAAGGTTGCGTTGATGGTAGGGCGAACAAAACGGAGAAGAGGACTTTGTCTACTTGGAAAAGTCGGTGGCAAAAACTGAGCCAGAAGATTATCTCTGTTGATGAAGGTTCTAAAAAATCAACAATTGGAGACGATGAATTGCTTTAGGATCCATACCCATTGTACAATCCTGATGATGTATGTTTAGGTATTGATTAACACGTGGAAGAAAGAGAGGTTGGTGTCTTTTATTAACTTTTGACATTTAAAAAGTTCGTTTTGGTACAAGTGCAAGGTCATCATAAAAAGGGCACAGCAGAGAATCGCGGTGTATATTGAAAAAAGGGTCACCATAAAAAGGACACAGCAGAGAATCGCGGTGTATATTGAAAAAGGGTCATCATGAAAAGGACACAACAGGGTATCGCGGTGTAATACAATCACAGCAGAAATTCCGGCATACTGTTGAAGAAGGTCATTATGCAAAGGTCGCAGTGGGTATACACTTTATTGTCTATTTAGGGTCGAGGTGGAGGTGGTGGCAGAGGTGGATGCTATGCAAGTGTTATGTACAAAGTGAGTAAGCTCGCAAAAGGTTCTGTCAAATATGAAGTGTAAGTCAAATATTGAAGGCAATAAAGTCGTTTTTGCGATTTCTCAAAACTCACTGTTGCTTGAATTCTAAAGAATAGGTGGCCCCCAGTTTGCTTGTGCTGGGCATCACAAAAACTTTGGATGCTCCAGCTCCGTTGTCCCAGGGCAGGACAACGTCTTGCGGGCCAATGGCCGGGTTTTGGTTGAATAGGTGTTGGAAAACGATTTTCCCAACACAGCATACGACTTTTGGCCGGAATCGTTTGATTTTATTGGTGGTGTGGCGAACACCTTCGGCGATTTCGTCCGCTTCAAGTTGCTTGGACGTGGTCGTCGGTCTGGGAACAAGGTTGACGAACCCCACGTTGTAACGGTCAAAGACTGTCTTGTCAGCGGTGGCATCATACTGTTCTCGAAGCAAGCCTTTTTGACGGTTGAGGTACCGGTCTCAGTGGACATCTTTTTTTTTAATTATTATTAAAAAAAAATTGTGAAATTGTACCTGAATTTGAGAAGCATGTCCAAAAGCAATTGCCGCGGCCCCCAAAAAAGTGATTCTTTGTTCGGAAGGGCGCCTTGTCGCTGGGATTGATTCCAACAAAAAGAACAGGGCAATCATACCTAACGAGGTCAGGAATAAAGTAGTTGGACATGATGATGGTAAAAGTAAAAAGATGTAATAATAAAAGAGGGTGACAACAGAAAGGTCGAAACAGAAGGAATATGGAAAGAAAAACGATGTGGTGGATTTATATTAAAAAGTGGTTTTGGTTTGAAACAGGGCTCAAAGTGATTTTGTAGAGTATCGTCCAAAAAGAAGAAGAACTAAATCAGACAACTTTTACAAATGAACCTGTCAATATTGGTGGTTTTGGATAAAAGTAACAAAAGCAACGGACACTGTGTGTGCAGTGGTGACCACTTAATGTAAGGGTAGCTTGTCACTTCAAATTCCTGACAGTGGATGTCGTTTCTCTCTCTAATTATGGTTGGTAATATCATTGTTACCTTCTGTGAGCAAGAGTAAGTTTTGTGAGTGTTTTTATAATTATTATTATTATTATTATTAGCGACAATGGTAATAGGAAAGAGGGGTGACATTGACGTTTGAGCGGAGGCAACTCATATAGTTTCGATGATAGTTTCGATACCCAAGGTGATGTAAACCAAGACCGATATTCCTCGGGAAACTGACCCAAAATCCTGCACAAGATATATTTGTGAATAAAAAGTCAGGGTAAAATCAAATATTTGTCGTTACATTGTGAATGTCGTCGTGTCGACGTCCGTTAATATTTTTTTCGTTAATATTTTTTTGTCTTCTCGTTTCTTTTTAATGTGAGTTGGGGAGGCATTGAACACAGTTCAAAGAAGTAAACGATCGAAAAGGTACAGTCACAAATGTCATTTTTAGTTAGTTGTGAGTGTATTTAACTCACACAGTGTATGGTTACATGATCTTCATTTGCTGACGGCAGTGAAAATTGGAGTAAATAAAAGATGATGTAATGATCAGATTATGCCTAGGTATCATACATAAAAAGGGCCACCGTAAAAGGATCACCGTACAAACATCATCGTAAAAGGTTACTGCAAAAAAGCCACTACGAAAAGGACACTGTTAAAAGGACATTACTAAAAGATCACCAAAAAAAGGTCATTACAAAAATGTCACCACAGAAGAGCCACCATAAAAAGATTACCGTAGAACAGTCATTGGAAAAAGATCACTATAGAAAGGTCACCATGAAAGTGCCACTGGGAAATGATCACGATGAAAAGGTCATGGCAGAAAGAGTAATTTTTATGATTGCCAGGGCTAAAAGAGCCAAAAAAAAAAAAAAAACTATGTTGCTATCATTGCCCTAAATCATCTGAGCTTCTGACAACCTCAATTGAGCTTCTGTGACACCTGGTGGACATAGAATCTTCAAAGGATCAATTGGAGCAGAATTTGATAGAAGGGATGACACAAAATGAGTTTTTTTAAAGAAAAACATTCATGCAAATCAATCAAAATGAATGTCGGTATTACTGGAGTACAGTGACACAATGGGTCAGATGAAAGGGTCCTAATTCTTTATTTGCGTGCAATTTAATCGAGCTATTTATAGGAAGGTACACTGTCAATTCGATTACGTAACACCAGGCTTGGAAATCCACACACACACACCTAAAAAAAAAAAAAAGCAGGGAAATTGGCACGTGCACATTCATCAATGATGATCATTACAAGTGGCATCACGGGTAACACATTGAAGCGACGCGGCGTCACACAATTGTGCATGGAGAATTCACAAACAATATTTTACAGAGTGATATATTGGTAATCACGTGCATCGATACACCCACCACGCTTGATTTGTCTTTCTATTTGTACCAAGCCAGCCCAGTGTACCTAAAGAACTTAGAGTAACTGGAAGCCTATATTTCTCTGCATAGGCCAAGCTGAAACCGTTGCTAGGTAACTACACAAAGCCTAAACGTCAAAAATTGGGATAGTACCCCAAGTAGGTACCATCCCAATAATGCCGAATCAATCGTACTGAAAGTGTGTCTCTTTTCCTTGCAGAAAAAAGAAACAAATTCAATGACAAGGGCTTAATCTCAGTACATCGTAGCAACAAAGGCTACTCTAGTACTTACAATACCCCGTCCGTTTCATGTCGTCTGCATGCGATTTAACATCTCCATGCATTCGTTTTACCATGTAGGCAGCCTAAACAACACCTTTCCGCATAGCCTAGGCATACCAATTATACGGTTCCCAACCCCACACCGGGGCTTATTCTTACTCGACTAAAGCCAAGGAGACAACAAAAAAGTATCGCTTCCAGCATGGATTCTGACTTAGAGGCGTTCAGCCATTATCCAGCAGATGGTAGCTTCGCGGCATTGGCCTTTCAACCAGCCGCAAATACCAATTATCTGAATGAAGGGTTCCTCTCGTACTAACTTCAATTACTGTCGCAATACCATAACAACATCAGTAGGGTAAAACTAACCTGTCTCACGACGGTCTAAACCCAGCTCACGTTCCCTATTAGTGGGTGAACAATCCAACGCTTACTGAATTCTGCTTCAGTATGATAGGAAGAGCCGACATCGAAGAATCAAAAAGCAACGTCGCTATGAACGCTTGGCTGCCACAAGCCAGTTATCCCTGTGGTAACTTTTCTGGCACCTCTAGCCTCAAATCTTGAGGGGTCTAAAGGATCGATAGGCCACACTTTCATGGTTTGTATTCACACTGAAAATCAAAATCAAGGGGACTTTTTTTCTTGGGGGAACTAATTTTTTTTTTCGGCAATACAAACAGATCCAAGCAATCAAAATAGGCAACCATCTTTCTCTGCTCTTCGTCAACGCCGCACGATATTTGGATCATTGCTCAGAAGGTGGATTTCAGATATCCTCATTTTTTTCTTTCTACCGCATCAAATGCTCATATTTTTCTTGTTCTGATTTATTATGCAAAACGTCTGCTACACGCCAAAATCGTCCTTTATTTCGCAGCCTCAATGACCTGTACCGTACGTTCGTTTTTGCCATCATCGTTTTTTATCCGGACAGCCCCACTCAACCGGTAAACGTTTTCCGACTCCCACACATTCAATGCCCAAGGCACACTAAGCTTAACATTATTAGTGAACAAATTTATAACTGGCACACTGGTAATGGCGGTCCATTCCCTTGACGCTGGGGGGAAAAAACGAAACGCAACTTGGCGAAAAATTCGCAGCCGGAGATGAAGACCAAAATGGTAAGACGTTGATGATTGATGGTATTGCTATGCTTGTGGCACTCACGCATGTTTATGGTAGCATCAGAGCGGTTGTTTTATTTGGATTCTCCTTTTTTTTTTTCTACCGGGTTCCATTGCACAAATAAACGGCAACAACAGTATCCGTTCAGCCAAGGTTAGTGGCACAATGACAAGGGCGACCGAAGATTATTCCGATTGTAACAAAAGTTTCTGTGTATAGGCAATCAGTTGGCGCCGGGCACTTTCCCTTAATTTGGACCAATTTTTGTGCTTGACGATTCATGGTGAGTTTTATTTTCATGTGAAGGCGTTATTAGAATGATTTTTTCACATGCAGTCTATGGTTCCATAGGTTGACAGGATAACGAGGCAGATCGGCTAAATGATCAGTATTCATTGGCGCTGGCGATGTGCCATGGACAGAATTCGCGGAAAAATGGCGAGATCTCGGCAGCGATTCCGAACTATTTGAGCAACACAAGCTGTAACTGATGGAGACGCATCAGGTAAAGATTAAAGTTTTTTCTTTATGTGGAAGGTCGAGTACCCGCATCTCTTTACTGATTATACCTCTTTTAATTAAGGTTAGCGTTACGGGTAAATTATAAGCTATTACCGGTACCAGCACTTCATCCATATCGCCGATGGGACACAGCGTTGGTGTGCGAAAGCCCACTGAAGGGAGAGCAAAATGGAGGCATCGTCTCTGGCATCGTCCTGGCAATGTATAGGGAAGGTTGATTCTGGAAAAAAGTCATCTTGAAATTGCAGCAGCATTTGTAACGCGAAACCTGTTTGGGGGATATTTTTTTTGTCTCTTGTTTGGCCCCATGTTGGGCGCACCTATCTTTTTTTTTTTTTTTCTTCTTTTGTTCACCTGGCCGACCCAAACCGCATGGCACCGTTTTTTGCAATAAAGATTCGCCATGGGGTTGGGTCATTCGAAACAGCATTGTTAGCTAACGAGTCATCCGCACTTAATCGCTGCGACGAAAGCAGGTTCAGATGTGGACTTGGGCGATGACTCAGGTACGAACGACGATGTAGCCGCAATGTACAGCCGAATGCTCATTATTAACGACAAAGATTAGTGATCAAAGCGACGGTTCATTGCACTGACACGGCACTACTCTGAGGAAAGCGACTCTACGGAAGATCACTGAACGGAATTCGGAGATGCGCGCGTAAAGATGGTAAGCTGTGAATATCAGACAGTTTTGTGCTCTGACACTAATGGCCATTCTATTTAGTCGCGGTATTCTTGGCAGCAGCAACAGTATGCATTCATGACTGGAACGAATGAGGCGGCAGGCTTATTTTAGAGACCATCTTTTTGGCAACTTCTTTTCAGTTGTTCATATATGGTGAGTTTTTATTTTTCAATATCGAGACGTGTTTCGCTATACTGAAAAAAAATTGTGGTTTGCTAGTCTTTCTTTTCGGTTTGCTTTGGACACTGGACACTCGCCATGTCGACGGCTGGCATTGGGCAGATGGCAAGGTAAACTTACAGAAAAAAACAACCAGCGATGTAATATAGGCACTGACAGTATATCATCGAATTTTTTCGCAGACAAGCGGATCGACCTGAAGCGAACAATCAATAGCAACGGGCAACGGATTCCAACTGTTGGAGGCAAGACATGATACACTGGGTAAGGAATAAGAGTTTGTTTTATTTGAAAGACCAAGCTTTACTAATACGATTTTTGCTGTAAAGGATGTTTTGCTGTCGCTCCGCTTTTGTTGATCCAGAGGTTCCTACGTCCACTTACTGGAGAACGCGCCGAGATAATCATGGACATCATCATGTCATGTTGCGCGTGACGGCAACAGTGCCCATTTATTCATGGTTGAAGCGGTAGGAGATGCGATGAGACGTATATCTTCCTGAAGCAATTTTGTGCTAAAGTCAAACAAGTGGCAATCGTTGGACGCGTCTCGGTGATAGCTTTATTTTATTGACCAATGGTAAGTCGTTATTTTCAACTTGAAGGTGCGTCTCGGAGACTCAAAGATGGCTTGGCTATTTTTCATAGTGCGTGAGAGATCGTCGGTAAGAAGTTCTCTGATCAGCGTGGCGATCATTCATCCTTACGGAGATGATAAGGTAAATTAGGCGGAATGACTGGAGTGCATGCAGGTGCTGGCAGCTTATGATCAAAGAGTTTCACAGAAAAGAGAATGCGGCGCCAATGATCATCGGTCCGAGCAATCAACAGCGACGGAATTCACGATTTGGGGGAGGCTCTGTATTTGGCGGTGATACATCAGGTAAAGATTACAGTTTTTGTTGTACAGTATATGACAGACTGAGTACCCGCACTCTTTACTGATTATACCTCTTTTTATCGCCAGTACGGCACTTCTTCCATCATCGTCGTTAGACACACGCCTTGGTGGGGACACTCACTGACGAGAGAGTAAATGGAGGCATCGTCCATGGCATTGTCCTGGCAATGAATGTGAAAGATTGATTCTGAAAAAGGTCATCCTGAAGTCGCTGCAGCACTTGTAACACGTAGTGTGTCTGGCGTTTTCTTTTTTTTTTTGTTTGGTCCCATGTTGGGCACACCTATTTTTTATTTTTTTCCTCTTTCGTGCACCTAGCCGACTCAAACTCATGGCACCGTTTTTGGAATAAAGATTCGCCATGGGTTTGGGTCATTAGAAGCAGCATTATTAGCTAACGAGCAATACGCACTTAATCGCCTTGAGGAACAAAGTTCAGATGAAGACTTGGCGATGACTCAGGTACGAATCACAATGTAGCCGCGATGTACAGCCGAATGCTCATATTAACGACAAAGGATTAGTGTTCAAAGCGACGCTGCAAAAGATCACTGAACGGTACTTCAGAGACGTGCGCGTCAAGATGGTAAGCTGTCGATAGCAGACAGTTTTTGTGTGTTCTGACACTAATGGTCATTTTAATTAGTTGCAGTATTCTTGTCGGCAGCAACAGTGTGCATTCATGACTGCAATGATATGAGACGACAGCCTTATTTTGGAGAACCCTTTTTTAACTTCTTTCAGTCGTTCATCTACGGTGAGTTTTTACTTTCAATGTGGAGGCGCGTTTCGCTGTACTGAAAAAAAATATGGTTTGCTAGTCTTTATTTTTTTTTTCGACCTGCTTATGACAACGGACAGTGGCCTTCTTGATGGCTGGCATGAAGCAAATGGCAAGGTAAACTTCTCAAAATAAAATCAGCGATGTGATATAAGCACTGACAGCATATTATCGAAGCTTTTATTGCAGACAGCTGGCATCGACCCTAGACGGGCAATCAACAGCAACAGTTTTCCAAGAAGCAAGACAAAAATGTAGTTGGCGATGATTTATACCAGGTAAGAATTAAGAGTTTGGTTTTACCTGGAAGACCAAAGCTTTACTGATACAACTTTTTTTTTGCTGTAAAGGGTTTCTGAAAATTAAAACTGAAATGGCTTTGCTGTTGGTCCGTTTTTTGTTCATCCATTTGCTGGAGAATACGTCGCGATAACGGTGAACATGATCATGGCGATGAACGGTGGAACATGGAAGGCCACTCGTGACACTAAAAAATTCCATCTTTGGTGGAGTGATTTTTTTTTCACCCCTTTCGTTCTTTCCTCTCATTTCTTCGTCGCCTTTGGTTTTTTTTTTTTTTTTTCACGATGCTGACATTACAACTGCGATTTAACTTCTGTCTTCTGTCACCTCGCTGATTCGACACTCATGGAACTCGTTACGGCAATTGCGGAACAAAGTCGAGGTGCTGCGTTGGAAAACGAAATGTTCACTGCAACCGCAATGACTTGTGCTCAAACCTGGCGACATGCAGGTACGAATGGTGTCAAAGATTCTCGCGACATGTTCTCAGCAATTAACCGACATGAACAATTTAGGATGTACGCACGAACTACCATCAAGGCGCGTTTATTCTCAATGATGACCCAGACGATAAGTGACAAATCTGGGGCGACGGTTTATTCGCCTGGCCTGGTGGTCCTGGGAACGCGATTTTACGAAAGTTCACGTTACGGAGATGAAGATAAAAATGGTAAGTTGTTGATGACTGATAGTGTCTCCTGTTTGTGACACTAATGAGTGGTCTTGTTTGTATTATCACCAGATTCCGCCCGACGGTAATGGTGGCCCCTTTATTTATGGTTGAAGCAGTATGAGGTGCGATAAGCGCGACTTGATGTACATCTGCTGAAGCAATTTTGTGCAAACAATTGGCAATCGTTTGACGCGTCTCGGTGATAGCTTTATTTTATTTCTCAATGGGTAAGTCCTTTGTTTTCTACTAAAGGTGCGTTTCCGATAACTCAAAGGTAGCTTCGCTATTTTTCATAGTGCGTGAGAGAATCGTCGGCAAGAAAATCTATGATCAGCATGGCGATCGTTCATTATTACGAAAATGATAAGGTAATTAGGCGGAATGACTGGAGTGCATGCAGGTGCTGGCAGCTTATTATCAAAGAGTTTCACAGAAAAGAAAAGGCGGCGCCAATGATCATCGGTCCGAGCAATCAACAGCAACGGAATTCAACGATTGGGGGAGGCTCTGTATTTGGCGGTGATACATCAGGTAAAAATTAAAGTTTCTGTTTTACGTGACAGACTGAGTGCCCGCATCTCTTTGCTGACGATATTTCTCCTTGAGGTTAACTTTACGGGTGAAAGTACAAGCCATCGTCCGTCTCTTCATTCTTTTCATCGCTGCTGACACTCACAGTATCATGGTTCCTAGCTGGCAAATGTATCAAGGCTTTTCCAAAACATCGTCAGAAGCATGAATGCTGGATGGTAAGTCATCGCAATGTCGACCACTCATGGATAGAACATCAGAGACTTACTTGTATCACGAAATAGGCTGATTTGTTTGGGGATGAAGGCATGTTTCCTTGTCATACCTGGCAATTTTTTCACGGCGGTTTTGAGCGTTGCATATGTGATTCACTTTGTTAATCTGGCACCCATGGCGAACTTGACAGCCGTTTTGGAGCGCTGCTTATGTGCCGGTTGAAGAACAGTCCATACAAGATAAATGTATCCCCTGCTGATGCAATTGAGGTACAGATGACTACTGAAACTCAATAAGATTTCGGCACTAAAGAAAATTCTGTGGTTAGGGCAAAGAAACATTTTGACCGCGCTTTGTTTATTTGATCAATGTTGGCTTTTGTTTTGAGCTGTCTGTCTATGGTGAGTGTTTTTCTTAACAAAGTCACGTAACGTCGTACTGAAAGTGATGGCTTGGGTAGATTCTGACCGATGTACCACAAGGAGTGACATGTTACCGTGGTGATGACTGACTCTCCTGGTGATGGTTACCATGAAGGACAAGTCCAATGCAAATACCATGAGTATGTTCCGAAGCTTTCGTCGAAACTAGAAAGACATGCAACGAGCGCGCAAGAAATCAATCAACAAAACCAGTTGTTTTCACTGCTGAGTGCAAGGTAAGATTAAGGTTTCTGTTTTACGTGACAGACCAAGTACCCGCACCTCTTACTAAAATATTCCTTTTCAGGTTAACTTAGGGGAGAGGTTCGTTCCATTGCTGCTGGTTGCTCACGGTGACATGTTGCCAAATCTATCGACCGACGGAAGCGTCAAAGCGAACTTAAGACATCATCCGGGCAATGAAGGCTGGATAAGATATCATTGGGATATCGAAGGCGTATGGCAACTGAAAGGCTTATTTGTATCACCAGTCAAGCTCTTTTGTTTTGCGGCACTTGGCGCTTTTCACGGAAGATTGGGCGTTGCACCTGCCGTTTGCTTTTACGTTTTGTTCATCTGGTCAGCCTGCCACTCATAGAAAAACTTGGCCGTCGCTTTGGAGCATGCACGGGTTGAAAGACAGAGACAGCCTCCCGAAAAGATCCAAGTATCCCTGGTGGACGCGACATAAGGTACGGATGACTAGCGCAACTCGATATCATATTTTTTTTTTTTTTTACTAAATTAAAGAGAATCTTGTGCATAGGGTGAAGGGGTACAGATTATTTTGAGGCAGGCGCTTCTACTTGTTTTGGTCAATGTTGACTTTTGTTTTTGATTGTCTATCTGTGGTGAGTGTTCTTTTTTAATCATGGTCGTGTATGCAAGTACTGAAATGTTTGCCTAGGTTTTGACCGGTGCACCACGATGGCCCCAAGGGGTGACATGTTGCCACGGACTGATTCTGCTGATGATGATTGCCATCAAGGACACCCCGATGGAGATACCATCAGCGAAGCTTCCGTCGAAACACGCAAGGAACGCGGAAGGAGTTAATCAAGGCTGGGCCCAAGATTGATTAAGGTTTGTTTTACGTGACATGCCGAGTGCCCGCATCTCTTTACTAATCATTTCCTTTTCAAGGTTAACTGAGGGGGGTGAAGTACAAGCCATCGTCGGTTTTTTCGCTTCTTCTGGCGCTGCTGTTATCCACATAGTGACATGGTCTACCGACTGATGGATGCGTCGAAGCATCACCAAGGTTAAGAAAGCAGGACAAAAGATTATCAGGTGTTGAAGGCGTTGGAAAATCAAAGACTAGTTTGTATCACCAGTCAAGCTCTTGTTTGGGGTCACCTCATTGTCTGTGATACTTGGCGCTTTTCACGGGGAGATTGGGCGTTGCATCTGCCGTTTACCTTTTATCTCTGCTCATCTGGTCAACCTGGCACGCAAGGGAAACTTGGTCGTCGCTTTGAAACATACAACGATTAAACGACAGAGAGAGCCGCCCGAAAAATAGCCCAAGTATCCGTGGTGGACGTGGCATGAGGTACGGATGACTGGCGTCAATCGATATGAATTCTCTTTTTTTTTTTTAGTCGTCCCTTTATGGTAAGTGTTTGTTTTGCAATCAAGGCCGCTCATCCTGGTACTAAAATATTGCTTCGCCAGGCTTTTGGCATGTGTCCGGGAACATCATGTCACCCTGTCACGATGAAGATAACTGATCCTGATGGCGATTGTAACAACGACCAATGCAGTCAAGTTGCGGTCAGCATGCTTTGCAGAAAACTGGAAAGGCAGACAAAGCACCGCCGTTATTTACAACTGGTGGGCGCAAAGCAAGCTGTAACTACCCCCAAGTCTATCATGGCCCCCGCAGATAGTTGCTTGATCATCGCCCTTGAATTCGATGCCTGCAACGCAGAGCAGACTCTTCATCCGTTGTACCGAACATTGACACCAATATGGTCTTGGCGATTGCTCCGGAAATCGGTGACAGGTTTTCTTGAGGACTTCACTTGTGTGGTTGACGGAAATACCAAGGCTTCCCCTCTGGTCGCAAACTTTTCTCCGACACACACTGTATGAGATCACCCAAATCAGGCAACATCTGTGGCTGTATGCTTGCCTCGTCAACAACGGAAAGGATCGCCAAGACTCAGTATTGCCGAGACTCAGGATCGCACAAGAAGTATGACAACGAAAAGACGTTCTTATGGGGATGTTGAAGTCTTTCGTCACGATGCCATTGGATGATGGCAGAATGTGCTGATACCAACGATGCAAGAAAATTCGGCTGTGCAAACCTCCTGAAATCTGTCTACCTCAGCATTGATCGTTACAATTACTCACCTTGAACAAAATGCAAGGCAGACTGTCCATGGCTTTTATTCTCTCAGCTTTACAGGCAATAAGTGTAAGTGTCGATAGTGCTTTTTGATGATAACAAGGTAAGCGCGGTACAATAAGTAGAAAAGAATCATGCTTCAAGTTTCGTCGTGAATAAAGTCACATTTTTCAATGATAAATTCCACTTGTACCCAAAATGATATCGTGAATGCTCAAATCCGAAATGATGTTCAGGCCAACCAAAAAAATAAATCAGAATAGTATCCCATGTGAGTCGTTCACCGCAACATGAGGGGTCGCTTTGGACCATCTTAATAAAAAAAAAAATCCCCAGAAAAGAAAGGGTACTTATTCATTCGTTTTCCTTCTTTGCTGATTTCACAAGTGTCGCCTTGAGCCTCGGTTGCTATGGCGATGTGTCACTGCACTGCAAACCTGGCTGTTGTGCTTGGTTACCATGAACTGTGCGTCACTTTCTCAAAGTGGTAACAGCTGTTGCCATTTGTAGTCTTCTTGAACCACATCACTTCCACTTTTCAATAAAAGGCAATTTGCCGACCGGTCACTAAAAAGAGAAAGTGAACGGAAAGAAAAAGAAGAGAAAAGGAAAAAAAGAAAAGAGAAAAAGGAAAAGGGAGGGAAAAAGAGAGAAAAAACAGCGAGAGCTTAACCTAAATCAATTGCCTTTTACTGCCCAACCTGCCCTTCTCAGCCATCCAAACAACTGCAAAATTCAAAATTTTCACCCAATTGGGCATATCTGTGTTTGTGTAACGTTACACGGAAATACTGTTTATGGTAATCCAAACACCGCGCAAACAATGACACCCTGTTACACGAGCACGCGCTTTAGGAAGCACCCTGCTCTTGCCTTTTCTGTCGCCCAGAACTGGCCATTATCCCTCTTCCCACACTTGGCTCCCCTTGATTGCAACTCCGACCTTTTTTTTTCTCTGTCGCCACCCAACCATGAGTCATCTGCCACACTCCCTCATCACCATCCTCTCCACCATTCGCACAACATCTATCATTGAACGCTGCAGACAATCAAACTGATTAGAAGCCAAAGAAAAATGAATGCACCTTGGCGTAAGCTTGCAAACGAGCTGAAGTATGCTCTGTACCATTTTTCTGCCGAGGCGAAGAATGTGCGTTGTAGACATTCTTCAGCGTGATCACCTGTCATCGATATACAAAGCGCAACCATTGTCGAAAAGCCAGACTACCACCATTCACTTGCGGCTGTTATATTGAGCATCGACATGAGGAATTGCGACCAAATTCTATATGTTGAGAAAGGGTTGTCATCTCATGAAAAGTGCTTATTTTGAATCGTGTTTCAGAGGATCGCAGATATCCAATTGGCGATTGTATAATATAAACCGTTAGTGCAGTGTGTTTTTATACAGGACAAAATCTACAGTGAAAGTTCGGAAATGACGCGTGATATGATCCAACTTGCATCTCAAGTCGGCATTTATGCCTGCCTACATATGATTCTTCGTTGCCTGGATTAATCGTTACGATGGGATACATTCGACGATGGCACCTTCAGGATCAAATACGAAAGATGATGGACTTACTCATGCTTATCTTATTTGGGATTACCAGTAGCAGGTGTTGATGGATGTATATTCAACGGTCGTTTGATTTGAGAGGGATATTCATCGATGGAAAAACTTGAAGCGCTATTACGGCGTTGTGGAAATTGATCGCCAAATTTGTGTACCTGCCTCATGCACAGATGCCCTTATTTTCCAAGTCCTAAACATCGCATCATCACACCATGATGTTTGCTACTCCAGTTTTTTGATGTTCGCTACTTCTTACCTTAATGCCGTTCCCTCACGTTCTGATTTTCACTCAGCATTCTTTGATTTTCTCCCATTCACCTAGGTACTTGATTTTTAGTATAGATACCCATTTTCCAATCCAAATAAACACGGTCAATAACATATCAACACGTCTCACCTACCTTTCGATGCTTAGAAATACCGCACTTGCTTTTTCTGTCTTTCATCAAATTCGATTTTCAATTCAGAAGCAACGTTCTCTATTTTTTTTTTCCTTATCCTTCCGTTTCCAATGGACGATACGCACAACGATTTGATATATGTCGACCTTAGCATATCTGATGCTCACACAACAAATAGAGCAAGTTCGGCTGCCTCAAAACCGTCAATAACCCTAACAAAGGTAAGGTATTGATACGACATAATATGAAACGGAACAGCCACAGGAATAAAATAAATAAATAAATGAAATGCAGAGCGCAACATGATGCAAGGGTGGATAACTGAAAAACAACGTTAAAAAAGGCATGAGGACAAGCATAGAGTGTAAGCGCGTAGAGCAGCATTGCAACAGTAAGAAACGCGCTTGGGTCAATAACGCACATGGTCGTAGATTATGCCCAAGACAACGTGTCTATGGGAATGGTCATGACAACTATACAGATTCAGGTTTTCTTGGATTGTTTGGAGGTGGATATAGTCTGAGAATCTGTTTTCATCACTCGATGCTGTGATAGGTAGTAGCGGTTTTTGAAAATGACGATGCCAGCCGTTCTGAAGGCCATTTTTCAATCCCTTGTTCCCAGTTTTTGTGCAAATTTCCCTGGCCATGCTCTTGGTCATATGCCAATTGACTGACAAAAGTTTTTTTTTTTTTGACCTAGTAAAATTCGGAGATTTATGAATTAGGCCGTGATGTTCAAAGACGTATCTCAATTTTCTGGTAGTGTGAATCAAGATGGGAAATCGTATATTGAATTCTGGTTTCTTTCTTTCACGCTGCCGCTTAGGCAGACCTGACAAGTTTATCTCGTTTGCAAATGTATTCATGCCTACCGTACCTTCATTTCAAAACAGCGTTGAGCGGTAACCTTATACGGTAAAGGTCGGGGTCATGCAAAAAAAAGCTCGTAAACTGGAAGTGAATTGATTTGCAAGTCAAGTGTCATGACCTTTCCCACGCACATGTTGCCTTGGCGATAATGCACGACCATGTGTATATTGGCCTAAGCACGCTCTTCAACATTGCCATGCTGGTCCATGCGCTTATCCCTATGCTCGACCTCATGTTCCTCTCTATCGTTGTCCTCCCCCATTTTGCTGATCCATGCTTTACCTCATGTTATGCTCTGCAATTAATTTAATTGTTTATTATCGTTGTCTGTTCTATTTCATATCTTTTAGTATAAATAGCCGATCTCTTTTCGCGAAATAAACGTCAGTCAAGAATTGTGTGTTCTTCCATACTCTCTTGTTTTCTATCTTGTTCTTGACCTTGTCTTGTTCCTTGTTTCTATTCTTGTCCCTCTTTTTGTTCTTATTTTTATCCTTTTCTTGTCTTGTCTTGTTCTTGTCTTGCGAAAGCACTTAACACCATCCTCTTGTCCAGCTGCACTGATCCTTCCGAAATCAGCAAGCAAACCATGATTGGTGATCATGGATCCGGAAAGGAAGATAGCGTAGGATTGCGCGGACAGATAAATATATGATGGTCTTTTTGCGTCGGTCCATGAAAGCTGTAAACCCCAATGTGCTATGAAAGATGAAGCGGTGGTTCATCGAAGCAACTCTCCCAAGATATGAAGAGAAGAGCATGGCGTTGCCAAAATAAATTGTCCTGCACAATACTAGACCTCAATCCAATTGAGACCTTTGGATTCAATGAATGCCGAGCGCAGAGGGGGTATACGGCATTCATGAGCCACGAAACATTGATAAATAATTCAGGATGCCTGGGAACCTCTCGATGTAGAAGAGATCAACACGTTACTTTATTTCGATTCATTACCAAAATAGAGGTCAAAAGAGGTAATGCCACTCGCTGCTAAATAAAAATGGTAATCAATGTGCACTAATATATTCACTTAGATTTTTATAATTTATATCTACTAAACGCCATTATCTACGTTTCTTCGATGTGGTATTCGAGTTTTTTGCTATGTGTTATGGTTGCTTCCAAATCATGGTGAAAGCGGAATATCGCAATTTGGAATCTATAACCATTTGTTTGGCAGGTGATTGTGCAACGTAAAGAAGTCAAAATGGAGCTCAAAAATGCTGGACGTTCACGAATTTTCAATGGCGGCATGAGTCGTTTCCGTGCGTCTCAGCTTTCGCAAGTGCTGCGCTGCTTATCTGCTGTGTGGCGCGTCTGACTAAGGCCCGCTTAGTTTCTTCTACCGCAATGTCGAATTCTAGCTGTTGAATTCGCTGAACAAAGTTGTTAATTGAAACGTGAGCAATGAACAAAAAAAGCTGCTCTCACCCTTTGGTGTGTAATCTCGAGCTTCCTTTTTACATAACCCCACAAGTGCCTACGTGATGCAGGATGTCCGATCTGGAATTCGTATTAGTAAACGTCACGATAAAAGCCTTGCATAGAATACCTTGGCCGATTTGCCCATGTGTCGCACTACTTTCTTGAAGCGGTGAGACCAAATTTCTTCCAGCTCAATCTCTCTAAAGTGTAGGTTATGCCAATTTGCGAAGTCATCCCTGTGCGCGGAGACAAAAGCATTGAATTTCGGCACCTTGTGTTTTATGACGAATGATAGCAGTGCTATATATAATTGTAAATATAGAATATGCCAATTGGTAGATCAACCCACCAGTATACCCAGGGTAATTGGACGCCATTGAAACCAGTCTCTGTTTCCTCAAGCAACCACTGGCGCCATGAAAGTTCAGTGGGCCCCCACTGCTTGTAAAAACCAACGCACAAACTATGACGTAATAATTGGCCTCGTGACTTACAGCTTCTCGGTTCCCAATCCTCCCACCCCCAAAAAATAAAGCCTAGCTCACATCCTCAAACATCCACTCACAGACCTGGACCTAACTAAGAGGTTAGTTGTAAGTTTCTTACTCTCTAGCTGTCGCTGCATTCCAATTAATGTTAGACTAGTGCTATAGTATGCGATGTCCAATCCATATAACATACACCAAATACCAAAAATATACTGCTCCTGAGCTCACAGTCTAACCGCCACCCCTTTCGGTGATGGAATTAAATATGGGGATCCTAAATATTGGTGTGAGGCAGTTTCTTTATCGCTGGCGACATTGACAAGCTACCTGGCAGAAGGTTCTTGCTGTATTTGAGCTCTGCACTGTGTCCATGATATATCGGACAGTTCTAAACCACTTTCAAAACGTTCGCAGAGACCTTGACAATAACTACACACTTCTGTCTGAGTAAATGTTGTCGTATTCGGAATGAGCTTTTCTTCTCGTTTGTGGGTGGGTAAGAGCAAGAGATGGGAGGTTGAGAACTAAATAGGGATGAAACTTGAGGACGAAGAGATCAATAGTAGATATAAGTCTTCATATCATACCGAAACAGTCGAACAATCGAGGACCACATCCGGGAATAAACGACTCAGTGTGTTGCGGTCGCTTTACATTTTACGTTAGGTGCGGCAACTGCTTTTACTGCATAGGTATTGTATGTACAACCACTAGGAGAAAGAATTGGGAGCGAAAATAAGTGAGAAACGAGAACACACTGAATGTGTTATGCGGTGATTTCGGATGGAGCAGTGCAACTAGGTAAGAGGGTGATGTTAAGTGCTTTCGCAGGACAAGAACAAGAATGAAATCGGAACAAAAATAGAAAAAGGAACAGGAACAGGAACAAGACAAGAACAAGGACAAGAGCAAGATGAGGTGGAGAACAAATTAGTCGAGAGAATACACACAATTCTTGACTGAGGTTTATTTCATGATATTTAGTATGAAACAAGACAGACAACGATAAACGATAATAAATGATGAAATGAAATGCAGAGCATAACATATGGTGAAGCATGGATCGACGAAAAGGAGAGTGGACAGCGATAGAGAGAAGCATAGGGGTGAGCGCATGGACCAGCATGGCAACAGTGAAGAGCGTGCTTGGGCCAATAATACACATAGTCGTGCATTATCGCCAATACAACGTGTGCCATCGCAGGGTACGTCCCAATAAAGTGCTCTTTGTTGTTGTACTCCTCTTTCTCGACTTTTTAAGTCTCCCATAAAACGAAAATGTGTCTTACCGGAATATGATCTCCGTTAGGATTAAATAAAAAATGGTCCAAGATGCAACATGACAGAAAATAGGATTCTTTAATCACAATGAACACTGATAAGTGTTTATATGGCTCCTGAGTAATCGCCTCTTTTAAAGGTGAGTTTCCGCTAGAAAGAACGATAACTTGGTCTGAGGAGATGATAGATGATAGAAAGAAGATCCGGGCTTATGGAAGGAAGTATGAAACTCCATGTCAAATGAGAGGTCGGATTGGTGATGTCCGTGTCGGATACGTTATTGATAATGTTGGAATGCAACACTGAACAAAACTTCACACTGTAGTACTCCAAACCAATAACAACTAAAAATCCTTCAGTCGGTGAAGCGATGCCCATCGTGTGACGAAGTGACGCTGCGCTTTGACTGACATACCATTTGTGCAATAGAAATCCATTCGTTTGATAATTATCCGAATGTTAGTTTGAGAATAAAGACAGGGATTTGATATACTGGTTAACATTTTGCCAATATCTTTTTTTTTTCGTAGGGTGCCGCGCCCGTTACCCTCACTACCTCTCACAGCAATATGAGAGTCACAAACCAAACGAAGGTGAGCTCAAAAACAGTTGATGATGGAGAATAAAAAATTTCCTGACTGACTATTCAAGTGAACTTACAGTTTATTCAACCTCAAGTATCGACCGTTCCGGCGCGTGTTACGCATGTTGACCTGCACTGCATGGTACTGCGTAGTCTGTCCGCCCACTTGATCAATTCTTCCGGGCAACGAATATTGAAGGCGTACAGGTAAGCTAACGACATCCACATTTTTCTATACTGCCATACTGACTTGCTATTCTTCCGTTTGCAAAATTCAGACAGTCGATTTTGCGTATTTGCTTGCTCGACAAAATTTTTGTGACTTTTCATTTGTGTTTTAAGTTGACTAACATTACGACAAACGCCAGATGAAATCTTTCACCTGTAAAGGAAGGTAAGGTTATTGTATACGCTTTTAGATATGTGGTTTCTTATAATTAGCGCTTTTGTAGAATTATCTTTAGCTCGGAGTTGAGAATTGCGCTAGTTAAGCTCGAAGCAACGCGATAATAATGGTCGGGTACTTATTAGCCACTTGTCAAGTGATGACCCACAGCAAATAAGAGCTTGGCTAACGCATCTGCTTTCTTTAGGTTTTTTTAAGTCGACTCCTGGGCGCGCTTGGAGTGGCGGTTGTGCTCCTCAGTCATCTTAGGTCTGACCGGGCTGTGGTTGCTCTTCCGCCGGCATAGGGCCTATGTTGATTTAAGTCTGACTTGCAACATTGCGCACCTGTGTCCTTTGGCTCCCATTGGGGCTGTGCTGTGGATCATCTTAGGTCTGACCGGGTTCACAGTGCAGCTAAAGCAAGCTTTCCGTTGGCATCCATCGTAAGTAATGACACGCAGCAAGATAAGAGCTTCGCTAACACACCTGTTTTACAACTCTTCTTGTATGTGGTTGACTGGAGCGCGCTTGAAATGGAGTGGCGGTTGCGCTCCTCAGTCATCTTAGGTCTGACCGGGCTGTGGTTGCTCTTCCGCCGGCATAGGGCCTATGTTGATTTAAGTCTGACTTGCAACATTGCGCACCTGTGTCCTTTGGCTCCCATTGGGGCTGTGCTGTGGATCATCTTAGGTCTGACCGGGTTCACAGTGCAGCTAAAGCAAGCTTTCCGTTGGCATCCATCGTAAGTAATGACACGCAGCAAGATAAGAGCTTCGCTAACACACCTGTTTTACAACTCTTCTTGTATGTGGTTGACTGGAGCGCGCTTGAAATGGAGTGGCGGTTGCGCTCCTCAGTCATCTTAGGTCTGACCGGGCTGTGGTTGCTCTTCCGCCGGCATAGGGCCTATGTTGATTTAAGTCTGACTTGCAACATTGCGCACCTGTGTCCTTTGGCTCCCATTGGGGCTGTGCTGTGGATCATCTTAGGTCTGACCGGGTTCACAGTGCAGCTAAAGCAAGCTTTCCGTTGGCATCCATCGTAAGTAATGACACGCAGCAAGATAAGAGCTTCGCTAACACACCTGTTTTACAACTCTTCTTGTATGTGGTTGACTGGAGCGCGCTTGAAATGGAGTGGCGGTTGCGCTCCTCAGTCATCTTAGGTCTGACCGGGCTGTGGTTGCTCTTCCGCCGGCATAGGGCCTATGTTGATTTAAGTCTGACTTGCAACATTGCGCACCTGTGTCCTTTGGCTCCCATTGGGGCTGTGCTGTGGATCATCTTAGGTCTGACCGGGTTCACAGTGCAGCTAAAGCAAGCTTTCCGTTGGCATCCATCGTAAGTAATGACACGCAGCAAGATAAGAGCTTCGCTAACACACCTGTTTTACAACTCTTCTTGTATGTGGTTGACTGGAGCGCGCTTGAAATGGAGTGGCGGTTGCGCTCCTCAGTCATCTTAGGTCTGTCCGGGCTGTGGTTGCTCTTCCGCCGGCATAGGGCCTATGTTGATTTAAGTCTGACTTGCAACATTGCGCACCTGTGTCCTTTGGCTCCCATTGGGGCTGTGCTGTGGATCATCTTAGGCCTGACGGGGTTCGCAGTGCAGCTAAAGCAAGCTTCCATTGTAAATTTGCGATAGGTAGATGAGTAAAGCTTAGTAAACGCACAGACTGCTTTCGGGTCGTTGTGTATGGTTTTTATTCTTATCTTTTTCCATCGATGAATTACAACACATCATTGGGAAAATAAGCTTAGATGTCTTTCATGTCCGCATAAGCTATTCAAGTGAACAACTGGGACTGTAGTCTCAAAGACCACAGCGAATTTTCACTACGAGACACCAGACCCAAACTGAAGTTTGATTCACGGTCAGCGGAGCTTTGCTGGGATATAATATTGTAATAAAGATACTATTTCGGTCGTGGTGTGAGCAGTGTTGTATTCCAACATGATCATTAACATATCCGACACGGACATCACCAATGTGACATCTCATTTGACGCGGAACTTCCTTCTATAAGTCGGATCTCCGTTCTATCGTTTATCATCTCCTCCTCAGACCAGGACATCGTTCTTTCTATCGGAAAGTCATCTTTAAAGAAGGCGAGTATTCAGGAACCATATATATACCCATCAGTGTTCATTGTGAAAAAACAATCATATATCATATTTTCTGTCTCGTTTACATCTCAGTATTTACACATTTAATCCTAACGGATATATCAGGCAGCATATAGGCGATTGCACGGGAAGCTGTTGGCGTAATGAGCGGTATGTATGTCAGTGGAACCTTGGACGACTAGTCAAGCTTCCAAGTACCTACCGATACAGCTGACGAAAAATCAATTTCTGATTCGCTAATCGATGGTAAGGTATATGTTTCCTAAGCCAAGGTGTCCCTAAGATCAGAATACTGACTCAACAAAGTGGCATGGAGGACAATTCCTTTAGTGTGCTCAACTCGTGAGTGATTCAGCGTCCGCTTTTTTAAGCCATGTACTTACTGGATAAAAGTCCTAGGTCAATTGCTGGAAGTTGAGGCGATTGTATCACGTAAGGCAAAAATCTCGTCGACATAGTTGTGTCCGATGTTCTATTTAGCTGGGCGTCTGCAAGCTATGTAGGTCTTCAGAAGGTTACCTAATCACCACAGGGCTTGCAGAGATCATTCATTCTGCGGCATTCCTCTTCCTGGTCTGCTGGTGGCCGCCGTGGCGAAAGTTTTCTCTTTTTTTCTGGTGTCGTATTTCTTGTCTGTTATATAAACCGACCTTTTTTTCCAGTCGTCTGGTCCTTCCGGTGTAGCTGTACGCAGTTGGTCGCCTTTTTCCCCCTTTCTCTGGCGTTCTCTTCTGTTTCCCCTGGGGTGGACGTCCTGGTTTTTTTTTTCCTGTCTCTGAGCTCCTGGGTGTTCCATGGTTTGTTCCGCCTTCGCTTGGGTAGTTATCGCCGTCCTTGGCATGTTGCGAACCTCTGGGTGGTCAAACCTCCCCAGGGTTACGGTAATTCTTAAATAACAAAAAAATAAGCTATATAAAAATAATTTTACTGACGCTCTTGTTCACTATGTCTTCTCTAAATCTGGTCATTTTCCAACTCTTGAATTTACTATCATCCATTTCTTTTACTTATCTATGTTCCAATTGAATTCCACTCTCCACCATTTTGATGTCATGCTTTTTTATGCCTTTGTAATATTGCCATTCTTGTTTATTTGTAATTTTCAAATTCCTACGGCGGTGACATCTGGAGTAACAGTTAGCACACATAGAAGTACGGTGTTGATGGCAGAAGTAAACGCATGGGGCCGACGCAATGAAAACAGTAATGACATATTTGGTCATCTTTGTTTATCATGGGGCTAGTGAGTCTGGTGTTCTGCAAGCACAAGTAAGTTACAAAAGCCTAGATAGATATCCGTATCCACGTTTACACAAGTATACCTAGAACGAAGAAGTAACGACTGCAAGAAGTTGACAAGAGACTGAGACAGTGATGCCTTGACGAAACAAGAACATTGTTGGATACAGCTCTGTCTCCGGAGAAAAACGACCTGGTTAACAGCATTATTCATAGCTCAGCGTCCATATCTGACTTGAAGTTTAGGTCGAGGGTATTTGAGCATTGTTTATTTTGTACGGATGTGCCCATTGCGCTTCTGAAAACGATGTTTCCAGGTGTCATATTACTCTGCAAGATGACTCTAACTCTAAAACTAGATCCCAATGCAGGCGTAAACATGAGACGGATTCTACAAGTCTACATAGAAACAGATTATCGCCTTCGATTCCCGTCTGGTGTCTCTTCGATAGTCCCACCACGCGCAATCTACGCTCAACGAGCAAAGCATCGCCAACTAGCCTTCCTTAAGTCCCAATTTATGGATGCTTGGTGAAAGTGCCTAAAAAGGGTTCGTTACTGTGCAAATGTAGTAATAAAAAGTTGAAGCTGATGAGACTAGTCATCATTGATTATGCGGGTCTCAATAAAACGCACACGACGTTCGATACTTTCCCAAGTAAGAGTAAAATATAAACGGGCAAGTCCCAAAGATTAGTTACTCACCGCTTGGTTGGATCATAGGGCATACCCCAAAATCAAGAAACTGGTCACAGACTATCGGGTCACATTCGAACTGCTCGTTTGGGATGAGTTTATCAACAATCGAGCAGCTTTCCATATTTAATAGCTGCACAGTCCCGAAGCATCGCTCTCCTTGTTACTGTAAACACATCATGAAAACGGACGTTCAAGCGGAATACCGCATGAGGTTCATCATGCCATATTATCGTCATGGTGTGTAACTAGGGGTGTTTAAGACGACCACATGTTGAAAGACAATGGTAGTGGAATGAATCAGAATAAGATAGTCAGGATTTCGACAATGTAGGAAGACAATACACTTTTTTGCGATAAGTCTCGGCATTATCAAAAACCTATCCATAAGATGATGCAAAGCGATGGTATAGATCCCATGCTTATGCCTTGAATTTACAACATGGAGCTCAACCATAACTTATTGTGTCGGCATTTTTTAAATCAGCAAGTAAAGAAATTGAGTTTTCTTATCTGCGGATTTGTCGAGAAAATGGGACCACGTCATATTAAAATGATGAATTCAATGCGATCATCACGTTATAAATAGACACAGCAGTTGTGTTCTATTGTAATGGTTGATCGTTCTTTTGATATGGACCAGGGAAAGTTGTTGATGGATTACAGTTATTTTACAGCAATAAAATATTTGGTGTCCGCTCTTTCTGTTTCAGCTGTTTGGTGGATGGGTGAGGCAATGGGTTATGTCGATCAAAATGGTAAGCAGAGTTAGTACATCTTTGGGTAGTCTGCGTATACAGTATTTTTTTTCTTTGCAACAAAAGGCTGACATTGTCATAAAAAGCCGTTGTTATATTAAGTGTTTATCACCATACATCCTTTTGCAAAGCTGCTGCATGAAAATTAACGTTTGCCAAAGTATTCATTCTTCCTTTGTCATTCTTGGAACGCCGTTCTACCACTGCACTTCAAAAAATGTAATCCAGACAATGGCTATGATCGGCTCTGGTGTGCTATGGGAAAGTTCATCGATGAATTGCTTGGTCCTACGTGGTGAAATTGCCTTAACAAATCATCTTGGATAAATAAGGATTTCAGCGACGGCAAGGTATGGTAGCAATACGGGTGAGATAGAATAGGTTAGACGGTCACGGGCAATATGACAGAAGGAATGTCATGAATCGTAATATTGTGTTGGTCAACGCGTTTCTCCTTGGTTGCGACAATGGTGAGAGTAACTGGGTTGGCCACGGGTATAATCTCTCCATCTCTATACGGGGAATGTCGACCGGATACAGGAACCGGCAAACCTCTAGAATTCAATATAGCTTGACCGTTGGCGCCCGAACAATGTAGTATAACTGACGCCTTGAATGTGAAGTAGATGGAGGTTCAGAGGGTGAGATGTATGTTAGATTTTAGACCGTCACCCAACTGTTCTATAATAACTACATACTGAGTTTAATCTAAATATTCAACACCATATTTGAAGTTTGGTGCAAAAGGAGAATGCCTTCGCCAGCTTTTCATGGCCTTGGTCTGCTCTGTTTCCACAGGCTGTTGTCGAATCTTAGCGACCGTTTCGCTGATCAAAGCCTATGAATAAAAAGTCAGTATTTGTTTAATTAAATTAATTATTTCGATCATTGACCAAGACCAAGTTACCCGGAGCTGGAACATTGCCATGAGCGCCCCTTCGACGACACCGAAATCGCTTCGTTCACGAGGCAAGTAAAAAGATCGAAGCTGTATCAATCGATAGGTGTGGTGGTATTTCAAGTCCATCTTATATGTTTTTATATGCACACCTGCAACAAGATGAGTTACTAAATTCGAATTTCATGGAATAGTAGTTTACCTTCAACAACGGCGCCAAACACCACAGGATCTTCAACATTTTGTTCCACTAGTGAGTTCAGCATCTGTTTCATCTCGTAACTGATTTTAAGAAGGTCACCGCCGAACGGACCATGCGGAGCCTTTATCTCCATCGTGAAGCATGGAATAGACTTCCCGATCATTGTTGTGCAAAGAGTGCTGTCCGGACGGAGGATCCAATCTTTTTCGCCCTTATTTTTGCAGATCATCGTCGCGAATTGACCTAATATTAATTATTAGCTTCACACGAACATGGCAAAGAAGCATTGAGCTTACCGGCTGATGATGCACGGCTTATAGTCGAGATCAATGTCTCGTAAAGTGGCTTGATGGTGTGATCAGCGAATGTGTCCTCATCCATCAGCATCAGATCCTCGTCTTTCTCGTACTTTGCATACCTACGACCATAAATTCAGTGTATGAGGACAATATTGCTTTTCATACTACTTACAGCTTACACAATGCCCGAGCTGCTAAGAGCTCCTGTGGGCCATTTGCCTTCAGCATCATACTGTTCATTTCGGTGGGTTTTGCGCGATCAATGGCAGTCGCCTGTGCAGATAAAGACATGTGTTAGCAGATCATGGATAGCTAAGTACACATACGATTTTACATCTTTCAACATATTGCACATCGCTTTGATGGCTTCAGGGAGCAAAGACAGCTGCTCATTCTGTTCCAGGTCTTCAAGAACTTCGGCTTCGATCTCGTCGAACGTGCCCGGAAGGTAGCCGCGGCAGTCAGTTTTCCCATACACGTCGAAGTGATAGATATAGTTGAGCGACATCAGCTCTGTGGCCCCAAGCGATTCGCCGTCAATAAATTTCTGAAAGCAAGTATTACGAAACGCCTGTAGTACTGTTGTTATGTTGATCGTGCCAACACGCCACTAGAAATATACAATGATTCAGTATTAGTGAAAATACGAAAAGTCACAGCGATATTTGACTACCTGTCCCTCTTCCGTTTCCAGATCTTCGCTTGCGCTTTCAAGGTTGGAATCCGATGATTCAGATGAGTCTGTCTGTTCGAGGTGGTCCTCGTCAACCTTGACGACTGTGCCAGAAATTTGTTGCTTGGCAAGCTTGATAAAGGCTCTTTTCACCTCTTCTGTCGCCGCTTCAAATTCCAGCTGTTCCATATCCTGCTCACAAATTTGTAAGTGAAAAATAAGCTGAAAAGTGGTGCGGACCTTACCCTTTGATGTTTCAACTCGAGTTGCTGCGCAACTATCTCCCAACTTCTTTCTCTTGTGCACGCTCGACCAATCTAAATATCATATTAGAATATCACGTAATAAATATATCTTGGAGATTACCTTTGGTACTTTGCCCATGTTGCGCGATACTTTTTCGAAACGCTTACGCCATATTTTTTCTAGGTCGTCTTCGCTATGGCTGACGTGGTGCCAGTTGGCAAATTCATTTTGATATTGTGTAATGAAGGAATTGAGTTTTGGCACCCGGCATTTAGAGACGAATGATGAAATTTCTACAATAGCTTATGAGTATCTAAGTTACTAAGAGTGATAGATAACGTACCGGGAAAGCCAGGATACTTCGGCTTAACTTTGCTGCCTGATGACATAAGTAATGTGGAATAGAAAGACGGGTTTCTCAAATTAGTCGTCACCTTTGCAGCATCAGTTGCAAGAATTGGGGGGGTCTTTGACAGGGAATATTGTCCAATAACGTTTGGTGCGACCTTAAATACGAGCACATGTCAAGCCATTTTTATGTCAAAAAAATCCTTATCCTAATCCCTCCTAAAAAAGCAAGATTTTTCTTCATGTGTCTCTCCATAACATTACAGCGAAGTTCGTCTTTCTTTCCTGAATTACTTACAAGAAGCTGTGGAAATTTCACGCTGCGTGGGAATTACAAGCTCGTGGCATATTTGTGGTATGGTTGCGCTTCAGTTGTGTGCGTCTTAATCTCTTTATCTGACTGTGTCATGAACGTTCGTATTTTATCAGCGTATCTGAGTGCTGATAAGTATGTATCGGCCTTTCTTTCTGGTCGATCCAGGGCAGGTTGATCATCTCGATTCTAAGGTCCGCCAATTGATCGGCACAACTCGGATGGTTGCCGCCTCTCCTCGCTAACTTCATCCCGCACTTCTCAGCAGATGTCCTCTTTATTTTAACTGGTGGAATTTTGAAGATCATAGATGTGGGAGGTTGAAAAAGATAAGTGTGGTAAGAGAGTTGCATATCGTTCTACGTGGAAAATTTCCGTTTGTATGAATCACTGGCGAGAAAAAAGCTAATTGGTGAATTTGACTTTTTTGTCTGTCTCTTCTCTGGGGTCACATTTCGGTTAAGTTTATGTACAATGCCAGGATGATACAACGTTTAATTTATGTGTCTGAGACCTATTAATGACATGTGAGATGCACTACAACCGCACAAGTGGAGTCCCGCTAATTTCCCACCCCCAGCGGCCCATCGCCTTAACCCTCGCTTTGCTGTTAAAATTAAAACTGAGTATGATCCGCTCACAAGCGCTATTGGTTTCTCAATCTTTTCCACGTTGAAATCATCGAGAACCCATTTCATACATCTGTCGCAGGTATCTCGATCCTAAGCTGCTCTGACAGCTTTTTGCCAGTCCCGCAAATGCGCAACTGCAAAAAAAAAAAAGCATAAAGTCATTATGATGTGATTCATTAAACGGCTCAGCAACATGGTGGCGACGTCGATGAAAAGTGACCAAACAACATTCCGTTTGCACGCTAGTCTGGGAAGAGTACAACGATTAGAATATTTCAGGACACAAAAGAAGTGATTAAAAGAGATGAAGCTGGTAGAAATTTGTTAGTGACAAACCAATTTTATTTGATTTCAACCATTTGATGACCACCCATCCATAAGCTATCAACTGTATGACACTGCCCGCTTATTTGTAACTAGTATCTCCTTGCTTTTAAATTACAACAATAATAAATAGAGAAGTGGCTTATTGCGATATGGTCTTTTAGTAATTGTTATTTGCTAAACATCTTCATTATGATCGAACGGCAAATGACCGACAATGATCATATCCAGGTTTTCATTGTCACTGCAACAAAAAGTTGAATTAGCTACCGTGGCCATATCTTGTGTGCTCACATAGCTAGTGCATACCTCAGAAAATTTTCAAATCTTCCACGTTGGTGGTTAAACCAGCGAAGTCAATAACCACAAGACACACTTTTCGTTATGTTGCAGGAACGATGTCCAAAATGTAGATAAACGCTTTGGGTCATTGCACTTATTTTGAGATCAATCTTTCTTACCTTGCGTATTGCCAGAGGCATTTCTTAGCATGTTAATATCAAATCTACAATGACGATCTCTAGCTTGCATTGGTTGACTCGCTGGTGAACGCGATGACACAAAGACATGTTCACACAGAGACCGTTCTTTAAGACGATCGGTCATTGTCCGCAATAATCGTTGTCGCGAGGAACCATCCTCTTTCGTTTTTGATTTGCGACAATAGCCGACGACATGATAACCATCTTCTTTCAATTCTTTGAGGTGCGATTGATATTTGGGTATGTAGCCCAGAATGGCCTCGGCAACGACATCTATAGATAAAGTAAACGCCATTACTGATTTGAGTCAAGTCGACTTATGTTTATTACATGTTCTTACCGTGGTATTTATCTTTGAGAACGTACAAATTTCGGTACGTTAGGTTTCCGCCGAGGTTGCTCTTTTGCGCTTTTCTCTCACAAAGGGCATCCAATAAGTCGACTTTCGCCACCTTGCATCACCGCGTGAAAGCTACTGAGTTCGCTGAACTTTTCGGTATATTTAGACACAACATCTATGATGCCATGGTACGATAGGCATTTCTCCGTGTACAGATCGCTCAACGGATCTTGCGGGCGGAATCGTGAAGGAACGCCTTGATCATTGTATCCGAGGCTATTGCAAGGTTAGTTTTGCTCTTACTTGTTGCAGTTATGCAACTTTGACTTACCCAGTACCATGATGTCGCTGTCTAACCGAAGCATTTCATTGATCTTGATCCAAGTGAGCTTGCGCTGCACCTGCTCATCAACCCAATTGGGAGGATGCTCAGAGATGGGCCCGTTCTCAGGTCGTCCAGACTGTCCGGGGTGTGGCCGACATATTTCCAGCGGGGTTATCTTCGGAAAACCTCTGTCAGTCTCAAATGAGGGGACAGAGATTCTGGCTTCACAGCCACAATGAATGGGAGGCTTCACGCGGCGCTTCTTCGCAGTGAGTGGTAGCTAGCAGCACGTTGACAGGTGGGATGCTGGGAACAAAGATAGCGCCAGTAGCAGAGGGACTCTTTTCTACGAAGGTGCAATAATAGCTTCCCCACGCGGCAGTCCTTCCATGATTGTCAACGATGGCGCGCAAGTACCTCGCTGTTCCTGCCACTTCACGGTCTCGCGAGCAGTTTGCTTTCCAAGGCGAAATCCGTCGTTCCTGCCAGCTGGAACCGTATGCAGATTGAGACCTTGAAACAAAGCGGTCTCCTTCATTCATCCGATCATAATCGATCGCCTAAAAGAAGGTCTCGATGTGAAAATGTCTTCGTGTCACCGCGTTCATCAGCTGACCGGCCGGTGCAAGCCAGAGACCGTCAGTGCAGATTCAGCATTACAAGTTAAGAAATGCGTCTGGCAATACGCAGGGTAAGAAAGATCGATCTCTAAATAGTGCTTGTGGAAGGACTCAAAGCGTTTATTTGACTTTTTTGACAGAATAACTGACATTCCTCCAACATAACGAAAAAGTGTGTCTCATGGTCGTTGGTCTAGCCACCAACGCGGAAGATTTGAAACATTTTTGAGGTATGCACTAGCTATGTGAGCACACAAGATATGGCCACGGTATCTAATTCAACTTTTTGTTGCAGTGAGAATGAAAACCTGGATATGATCATTGTCGGCCATTTACCGTTCGCTCATAATGAAGATGTTTAGTAAATAACACTTACTAAAAGACCATATCGCAATAAGCCAGTTTAACTACTGCAAGGACTCTACCTCACCTCGCTACAAAAAAGACAAAAACAAAAAAAAAAAAAAAAATCAAGAAAAACTCTTGTCGTTTCGGTACAATCTCTACCTCACCTCGTTAAGAAGGAAGCACGAGCCAAATGAAAAAAGTTGTGGCAAAATTTTACTCTATTTATCATTAAATATGTAACTAAAAGTAGCAAGAACTGCTTGCAAATACTATCAGTATCGGCAAGGGCAGTGTCATACTGTTGATAATTTAGTGGATGGCTGGTCATCAAGCGAATTGGGAATCGAAATTGGCTTAGTTGGATATCGCTATAGCAAAGATTCCCACCAGCTTCATCTCTTTTAATCGCTTTTTTTGTGTCCAAAATATGCCAATCTTTATACTCTCCCCAAAATAGCATGGAAAATGGCTTGTTTCTTTGTCACTCTCATTGACGCTACTTGCAGCGAGTTATAGGGCTATTCTTAAATAAGAAAACAATGATCAAGACGTTCCTTGGCGAAGTCTTTTTACCGGCAGATCCAATGAATGCCAAGAGATGTTTCTTCTATCATGGCATCATCGATATTGCTTCGAAATACAATGAAAAACTAGAAAGAAGAGCCCGGTAGTTTTTGCGCGCTGGTGCAAGGTGACCAAAATCATTTTACTGAAAGCCCCTTGTGCACGAAAGGCGCAAAATGTGAGCTTGGAGAAAAACTCATGTATCGACATCTGTACGAAAAAAAGTCAATGAAAGGCTTGATCATGCTTTTCTAAAACGCCAAGAACACAGTTACGGTACTGGTTGACAAGAAGTCCACCAAGAGAGCGGACAAAAAAAGTAATGTCGAGAATGCGATATGGGTCAATCCCAAGGTGACCGACACGAGAAAGGCGATAGACTTTCTTCAGCTTGTTGAAGCCCATCGTAAATTGCGGTAGATAGATCGGCTTCAGTTCGTTGTCAGTGAGCACAAGATATATGTGTAAATAATATATATCAGATTGTAGAATTCGACAGTTTCGACGAAAAAAGGCGATAAAATTCAAAGACTCCTGACTAAAAAGTACAGTAAAAAGAAGAGAAAAGTACGCTTCGCTTGATCGTCTTATTAAAGGAGATTAGAAGGTTTGCTGATATGTCATTCACTACTTTATTTCGCATTGAAATACGAGGGTATTATTTTTATCAATAAAACTACATTATTTTTCTAGCTACAGCTTATGGTTGACCGATCAATGGTAAATGACGAATAGGTTTATGGAGAACGGTACATCGGGTGATAACGGTCGGTTAATGGAAAACGGTACGTCGGCAGGTGAAAAACCAAACACAGCTGCAGGAAATTCGAAAGTGGGTCTGAGGAAAAATCAGGGCAGCAGAAATCGGCGATCATAGTCGCCAAGGTGAATTTTCGCAACGACGGGCTTCTTGGCAAGTGAGTCCGGGAACGACGGGTGTGGAGGTACCGAAAGCCACTAGGGCCTTCAAACGCCTTGAGAGTATGCGTTGAAACATCCAAGCTTCATGGTACGCTTTTAATGTGCAAGTCGGGGGGCGGTTATTTGGACACAATGGCCCTAGTGGAGTCATCAGAGCTCAAAAGGCTTGACGAGGTTGCTTATCAGCCGAAGGAGCAACAGTAGAGGCATTATTTACTGAACCATTAGAACGGGAGGCACCAGCTCATTCATCACAGACTTTGAATCGGCATTCTCAGCACGACATGTTCCACCTCAGCAAGCAGTGCCCTGAATTCGTCGAATCTGGCAGCAGGCTGCGGTAGCAAGGTTAAATTCAATTTGGCCTCAAATTGGTGGGGCGATAGTGGAAACGAATGCCGATGTTTGAGCTAAAATGGGAACGCGGTGGGGTTCGAACAAAGGAATTCGAATCGGGGTTGGAAGAGGCAACCGGCAGTGGCAGTGAGAAAAGTTATTGGTGCTTTCAATGCTTCGATACACTTTATAAAAGCAGTGATATCTCACGAACGAACAGGGGTGTAGAGATGAAAATTAGGAGGAAGGTTCGGTCAAACAGATGCACAATATAGCAAAAGATGACTGATGGATGGATGGTTCTAAGCGTTCGGATGGAGCTTCCCAGTTCGGGTAATAGTTTACCCGAAACGTACCACGTATAAAATATTTGAAATCAGCAGAAAAAGCTTCCTTGGCTCAGTCGGTAGAGCGTCAGTCTCATAATCTGAAGGTCGCCAGTTCGATCCTGGCAGGGAGCATTTTTGTTTTATTTGTTCAGTTTGTCGTTTTCGGGGTTTGCTGAATCTATTCCGGATACTGGTTCCACGGACGATAGATGAAGAAATAAACTAGAATTGGAGGATAGATAATTTTATGATCTTTATTCGTTTTGATCGAGGGGATATTTATATGTTTTTGGGTTAATCTATAATAATTTCGTAGTACGGCTTGGCAGGGTATTTTGGTTCTGAATGCTCAGCCTTTCGGCCGAGCTGTTCGATAAAGGAAACCTTTGCTTGAAGGTGATCAAAGCGTCATTACCAAAAACGTAAGTGTTGCCGTGAACGTTTTAGGAAATACCAAAAAAGGATACGACAAGTTGTCGTAGCCTTTTTGATGCTCAACCAATCATTTTGGGGTTTCCCCTTTTGGCAACCATTACATCACGATCGGCCAACAATCCCTTTGTCGTACTTCACTCGGATCTGATATACCGGCAAGATCACCAGAGTGGGAAACAAGAGGATTAGGGATAGGAAAGATAACGCTTTATTTTTGTCAATTATAAGGAGATATTTATATGTGCTTATTCGGTCTATGTTCTTAAAGAGGATAATGGCTGAGCGGCTAAAACTTTGATAAAAGGATGGTTGTACTTAGCAAGATGCTAAGCTGATTACCATTTTCGGACGTTATCCGCTTCAGCCACGACACCTTTCTAGAAACCTCGTTGTCAGTTACGCTGGTTCTTCTTTTGCGCCGATTAGATTTGCTATACCAAAGTTTAGCAAATACGGAAGACAGCGCATTGGCTCGTCCGCAGATCGATGTCTGGAGGAACCTTCGAGAAGGTGTGAAGGACCAATGGATGAACGAGGCATACCAAAGGTATTGCCTGGAAAACGGAAGAAATATAGACCGAATCCGTTCAGCATTAAAGTGGTCCGTAATACTTCTTGATTGGTTATGTTTCGGAGTAATAGAAAACTGTGCAGGAAGTTGACGAGAACCTTCCTGAAGATTGTAGACATAGAAAATATATCTTTGTAACGAAAATGTGTTAACTCAACGAGCCGGATGCTGAACATTTCTTCTTTTCTTACCAACAACTGAAAGGCTAACGCAGCTTGCAAGCTAAAATGATGCAACGCATTCTTGCAAAAAATTGACAATCCGAAAAAAGTCCTCGACCAGAAGAGTCGGTGATATCTCCTTGCTGGCTTTGACTTCGCCATATACATTTGTATATGCGTATTCATAGGCTCATAAACATCCACCTTGTAGTTCGGTCGGTTCGGACTGTCGTCATCTCCGAAGTTGCGATAGCGACAGCTGAAAACAAGCGGTGAACGGGCACAGTCGAGTCCCTATGCAACGGCATGAACATATCTTTCCACACTTCTAAGCCGGAATTCTGATAGGGCTGGGTTGGATGCGCAGTAAACCATCGATGAGGGCGAAAGTCTTGCTCGTCTGGGACAAGATTGGAACTACAAAAGGAATAAATAAACTGGTATGGAGGCAGTGACCATTACAATGCATACCAGTGGGCCACGTTGGCAGGTTGCCTTGACCCTAGCAAGCCATGGATCAATGGATGAACGTAGCTGGCGGACAAGTGCGCTTCTGATATGGGATTCAGAGGGCGATAATATAGGCGGGGACTTCCCTATTCATTAGCCTCTGGGCAAAGAAGGTACAGCTTTGCACATGCGTACTCCTCGGTGATCACATCGTTCTTGAAGTCCTGGAGGTACATCGATTAAATTAACGAAGGAAAATGGTATATATCGATACTTACTACGCTTTGTTGAACTGGCCTCTGTGGTGGGATTGACCGAGTAAAATAATTGCGCATGCTTCGAAGCAATTGCAGTGGCAAGTATCTTCTTCCGTTTATTGTCCTTATATTGCTTCTTGCTGTCCATCTCCTTTTTTGCGTCCAAATAGTACTATCGTACACCACATTGTCTTGGCGACTTCTTGAGGAGCTTGGCAGAAAGGCATCCGGAAAATGTGGTTCCTGATCTTTCTGGGGTAGGAAAAATGTCCTCCGTGTCCATTCTGATAAGCTGTTATGGTTCATGATGGGGTCGTTGATCGCGAGCTTGTTCTTTCGTTTTTCCGCGTTCGCGCGGCGGATTTATGAATGGTAAAATTTTATACGCACGAGTCTCGAAACAATAATTTCGTCCACATAGGAAGACTTTCTCCGGATTCAACAATATCCATTGGAAGGGAGAATGAAAACTCACCAACATTGGTGTAAAGGCCCGAGTCAGCCGATGACAGTGAGACACTTGAGCTTGCAGTCCGCATATCTGGGTCCCGTGGATGCTATGAGACTCGTCTCTTGTAAACACTGATTTTCGCACCGTGTCCTGAGAATCCACTTGCATACGACGGCCGATTTTGCTTGATCGTGGGTGACCTTGGCTTTGCTGTGCATTGGCTTTGATCCTTCAATCTGGCAGATGTCGAGGATCTCGTTGACGAATCAATAATTCGTCCATCGACTTTGCAACCAATAGTGTTGCTCTTGTTGTTGGTGTTCTTCAGCTTTGCTTGCGTGGTAGTGCTGGACACTGACTCACCCATTTCACTTCGAGATAGCCGTCTGCAAACATATGCCGAAAACACTTCATTCCATTTTTTCGCCAAAAGGCCGTTTTTCAGTCAAGGGTTTCTCGTTTGATACGAATACCGGGCTTTCCTCGATATGCAGTTGAGACTATATTTGAAGAGACGTTAGATAATGTCGGAGATTTCCCATTTCAATGCTTACCGTTGTATTCAACGTGATCTACGGCATATCCCTTACTCAGGAACCATATAAATACCCATCAGTGTTCATTATGTCAAGGACAATCCTATTATCAGTCTACGTTAACGTCTTGAACTTTACATTTAATCCTTTATGTCACTTACCTATGCGCCAGGATTTTCGGTAGCCATTTATCCCTTTGATTTGGCAATAGGAGATAAAACAATTACGCATCATCATAGAGGCCGTTCGCGATGAATTTGGTTCGAAAAGTGACAGTTTTATCATCAGAGCCCCAGACGTTGATCTTTGTGGTGAAATACTTCGAACCCGTCATGATATGGAATAGCGCACCTCGGCTTTTACGTCGATGAAGGGGTTCGAAGTTCCTGACGAAATGTTTTGAAAGAAACCCATTGTACGTCGTGTCTTGCACCACTTCGCTGTTGAGCCTTCTTCACAGATAAACCAATCGAGCATATTAACAATATACCTTTTGAGCCTCTTTGATGACTCCACTTCTTGGATAGCGTCTTTAAGAATATCGTCGGATTCAGCTTCAGCGCTACCCGTATTAGAAACTTTTCGTAGCTCCGCGTGGAGTTTCGGAATATGTCGTAAACGCCGTGATTTAAATCGCTCCACAAGCATAGGCCAACGCGATTCAGTGAACAACGATCTCTGCACCTCCCTTGTCGTGTCAAGAATGCCACTGAGGCAGTCGCAACACTTGACCTTCTCCTGATCGTTCAAAGGTTCATGACGTGCGGAGACGATCAGGACAGATATAACCATAGGTGAAGACAACCAGGACAAAGAGTTTCTTGCCTTCTGATTTAATGAAAGAACTATTGCATCTTTCATTGAAAGATAACAAGGTATCTGCTTCATTGATATTCTGAAAAAAAAATATGAGTCAGCAGCTCGTGGTGACGCGCCCTCTCCATGTTGAAAATTGAGCTCACATGAAGGAGGTTGTACAAGACGAGGCGAGCTTCCGCGTTTGTGGTTTCTTGTTCCCGGTGTTGCGGAGTCTGAGGGCCAGATCGCGTCGTAAGTGCGGCACATGAAGGAGGGCTTTTCCAATGGCAGGAATCACTCGGTCGTTTTGCCACTGGCACGCAATCCAACGGCACGAACACGCCGTGGAAGACTTTTTGGCTTGGCGACTCGTTGCATGGTCTTGTTCATTTTTCAGCTGCGGAACTGTAATCTTGCGTCAACGTAGCCCCATGCATACTTTCTGCAATGAAAGGTCTTCGTTGCGTAGCCCGTTCGATATCCCTTGTAGTGGTCTTGTGTTCCAATATCGCGAGCCAGAATAAATCAACCTCGGTTGTCTCTGCGATCTATTGGATAGGAATGGAGAGTTAGTAATCTGGGCGTGCTGGATTTCGTGATTTTTCGGCTTACCGAAATGTCGTTCTCGAGTTGTTCCTTGACCCACTTTTCCATCTCAGGAATGCTTGCTTCAAAATCAAAAACACTCTTCTCCAAGTCACGCCTCCGCTTTCGCTTTGTCTGAGCTCTATCCATACCATTCAGAAATTCTAATAGTAGACAGAATATGGGAACAAGTTGATGCTTGACTATGTTCTCAATGGAGCTTCGAACCCTACTGTAAAAGCGTTAAAGGAACATCGCTCCAATCATTGTGTCAAAAACTTGAACAGAACCAACTTGCGAACAGTCTTTTTGCCTATATTGCTTTTTCAGAGTCTCGATTATTAATTAGACTTGCAAATTAACTTACCGAGCTTTCTCCCACCACTACCTGAAAGCATAACGCCATGGTCAAATCCACAACAATAACCTGGATGGTTCAGTTATAAGAGTTTTCACTACATCTACACAAATGATGAATACATGATGTACTATAGCCATAATAGGTTCGATAGTTACTTATATGGGAAGAGGAAGCATAATTATCAGCAAGCAAAAGGAAAGGAGGGCCATTTGAAATACGCATATTCTGTAATGCATTGAGTGCTTAGGAATGGGTTTGTCTTCTACTCGGCATTATACCTTGAGTGAATGGTTTTTGGATGGCGCTTCAAAGGTGTACATAAGCTCACGTTCCGGCGAATCTCTGAGTATCATTAACACAAGGACATAGATATATGATTCAGTAAAAACAAAGTAAGGATATTCTGTTTGCTAACAAAAAAAAGAATTACCAGTTCTTTCGCCTGTCTGCATGAAGAAACAACAAACGCGAAACACTTTTGCCAAATAGCTCAATATTCATTGGCGAAAATGAAATGAACTGCTGGAATCCGACCAACACAACATATGCGGAAGCGCCAGAATGTTTGCGTCCACTCTTCAGTAGGGTATAATCCTCGGCCAACCTCCGAAGAAGTGGCTATTTTTGAGAGTCATCAATAAGAAATTCCTACTGTGGATTATAGGAGTCCCTCACCGGGTCAGAGAATTCTGGTTTTAAAAATCTTTCGGACGCCCTGAAGAGGAGCCTTTCGCGGTGCTCATTGTGCCGTAAAGTTCTGCCACAGTATAGTTGCGGTATAAAAGAAAGAATAGATGCGGTATTAAAAAAAAATCGGTCCTTGATTTATGGAAATAATTGTGATATGAGTCAAGCTTGAGCCCAAGCAGACCATTCAAAGAAAATCCCCGTGCACCTCCTTTAGTTATCGATTACTAATAGTATTCTCTCGCAAATACTCTGTTAGTTTTGTCTTCATGGCTTTATACATGCACTTGAGATCGAGCTTTATTCAAGCCTACTTAGGCTTACTTGGATTTAAGCACCACAGCTCTGAAAACGCCGAGGAACTTGATTAAGAGACAAGACACATGGAGATCATGCTGAGAGGCCTTCTGCTAAATTGATAAAATAATTTGAGAAAACCTGTCAATCGTGACACTGACGAAAAATGTCTGAATTATTAAGTCACTAATGGTCTAGAGAAATTCACACGCGGTTTGAAGGGAAAAGAGCATGTGATAGCTTGCCCATGTCGAGTCACAAACAAAAAGCGCCCTGGGGGGTGTTTCACAGAAGCGGCAAATATCTTCGATCATGAAAAACAGTACACTTTTGATGCTCATGCAGATTGAAGTTGCAACTTATTTGTAGCTGCTACTATCCTTCAGTAACGGAATCCATCGTAAGGCTATTTGTGAAAACAGATGTCATACTTTTATAAGCGAATTAGAACAGAACAGTAAGACAACAATAATAAATGAAATGCAGAGCGTGACATGAGGTGAAGCACGGATCGGCATAGTAGGGTGGACAACAGTAGAGAGAAGCATAAGCATTAGCACCCGCATATGGGGGCAAAGCATGTATCAGCGATGCGACAGCAAGCAGTGTCCTCAAACCAATAATAACCAGGGCCATGCATTATAGATAAGGCAACAACATAGACCGAGTACATCCTGCTGCTCTAGAAGGACGAAGACGTGTGGCTTGCTATGATAATCGTCAATCATGAGACAGATACTCGGTGCCATGTTCTGTTATTGATAGTTGGACATGATGAGTCTGTTAGAAACAAAATACTGGTAGTAAGCCATGGTGCATCGCCTTTATTCTGGCAACATTCCTTTAATTGTAACATATTTTCAAAAGACAGATTTTCAGACCAAAACTTAAGCAACCAAGGGATATATCATTTGTATGTTGTCTATGCGACTGAAGGATCTCCTGCGGTTCACTCTCGCTAGTGGTGGTGTATTCGTCGCCGATCGGCTACTGCGGCGTAGCGCTGCGTCATGCGTCGATGATCACAGCTGAAGTGTGTTGACGCGCTGTCTGGACAGACCAATGCGAAAACAAGGGGAATTTTTTTGATGGTGGGAGCTGTGTTTTTGTAATAAATTAATGCTCTATCTGAATTTACCTCTTGCCACGTTTGTGTATTGTGCTGAGCGTAGTGACGTCAGCAAGGTGAATATTGTGAGAATTGTAGACAGGCGATGTGGAGAAAAAGACCTGATTTATTCATGAGTATGGGATTAAGCCATATATTTTGATCGAGTTGGAGACTAAAGTAACTGTTCGGTACACACTACATTTGCGAATCACGTGCAAAATGCAGAATTGAGGAGAAATAGCAAAGGGATGGGAGTCGAGCACATGCGGATTTCTAAATTGATCGGTGATGTCAGACTGAAATTGAAGAGGACTCATTTGGGCGTTCCATTTGCTTCCTGAACTAGCATCACCTCTTGCTTTTTGGAGGAGCTGTGAGGGTAGATGTGAGGGACATCTATTTCCGATGCAAGAGTGGCTTCGCTTCAATGAGAACTCAAGACTCAAACGGTAATATTATTTTTCTCAGGATACTTTCCAGAATATGGCACTAACATCCATTCTTAAACACTGGTTGCCGGCAAGACCAAATGAAAGCTTAACAAAGCGATGGTTGTTATCAGAACTAGTTGGATTATTCAGCGCTCTGCCTTTGATCTGCTAGTGTCTCCGTCTGATGAATGGCCACCCTCAGGCCTAGAAATCACCTGTAAAATTACACCCTGCTGGAATATGTATCTACAGGCTTATGTTGGGTTTTTTCGGCAACCATCGCTGCTGTTTTGCTTCTGGATTAAGCGCTCTACTCGGATCACCTCTTGCTTTTTGGAGGAGCTGTGAGGGTAGATGTGAGGGACATCTATTTCCGATGCAAGAGTGGCTTCGCTTCAATGAGAACTCAAGACTCAAGCGGTAATATTACTTCTCTCAGAATACTTTCCAGAATATGGCACTAACATCCATTCTTAAAGCACTGGTTGCCGGCAAGACCACATGAAAGCTTAACAAAAGCGATGGTTGTTATCAGAACTAGTTGGATTATTCAGTGCTCCGCCTTTGATCTGCTAGTGTCTCCGTCTGATGAATGGTCACCCTCAGGCCTAGAAATCACCTGTAAAATTACACCCTGCTGGAATATATATCTACAGGCTTATGTTGGGTTTTTTCGGAACCATCGCTGCTGTTTTGCTTCTGGACTAAGCGCTCTACTCGGATCACCTCTTGCTTTTTGGAGGAGCTGTGAGGGTAGATGTGAGGGACATCTATTTCCGATGCAAGAGTGGCTTCGCTTCAGTGAGAACTCAAGACTCAAACGGTAATATTATTTTTCTCAGGATACTTTCCAGAATATGGTACTAACATCCATTCTTAAACACTGGTTGCCGGCAAGACCAAAATGGAAGCTTAACAAAAGCGATGGTTGTTATCAGAACTAGTTGGATTATTCAGTGCTCTGCCTTTGATCTGCTAGTGTCTCCGTCTGATGAATGGTCACCCTCAGGCCTAGAAATCACCTGTAAAATTACACCCTGCTGGAATATGTATCTACAGGCTTATGTTGGGTTTTTTCGGCAACCATCGCTGCTGTTTTGCTTCCTGGATTAAGCGCTCTACTCGGATCACCTCTTGCTTTTTGGAGGAGCTGTGAGGGTAGATGCGAGGGACATCTATTTCCGATGCAAGAGTGGCTTCGCTTCAGTGAGAACTCAAGACTCAAACGGTAATATTATTTTTCTCAGGATACTTTCCAGAATATGGCACTAACATCCATTCTTAAAACACTGGTTGCCGGCAAGACCAAAATGGAAGCTTAACAAAAGCGATAGTTGTTATCAGAACTAGTTGGATTATTCAGCGCTCTGCCTTTGATCTGCTAGTGTCTCCGTCTGATGAATGGTCACCCTCAGGCCTAGAAATCACCTGTAAAATTACACCCTGCTGGAATATGTATCTACAGGCTTATGTTGGGTTTTTTCGGCAACCATCGCTGCTGTTTTGCTTCTGGACTAAGCGCTCTACTCGGATCACCTCTTGCTTTTTGGAGGAGCTGTGAGGGTAGATGTGAGGGACATCTATTTCCGATGCAAGAGTGGCTTCGCTTCAGTGAGAACTCAAGACTCAAACGGTAATATTATTTTTCTCAGGATACTTTCCAGAATATGGCACTAACATCCATTCTTAAACACTGGTTGCCGGCAAGACCAAATGAAAGTTTAACAAAGCGATGGTTGTTATCAGAACTAGTTGGATTATTCAGCGCTCTGCCTTTGATCTGCTAGTGTCTCCGTCTGATGAATGGCCACCCTCAGGCCTAGAAATCACCTGTAAAATTACACCCTGCTGGAATATGTATCTACAGGCTTATGTTGGGTTTTTTCGGCAACCATCGCTGCTGTTTTGCTTCTGGATTAAGCGCTCTACTCGGATCACCTCTTGCTTTTTGGAGGAGCTGTGAGGGTAGATGTGAGGGACATCTATTTCCGATGCAAGAGTGGCTTCGCTTCAATGAGAACTCAAGACTCAAGCGGTAATATTACTTCTCTCAGAATACTTTCCAGAATATGGCACTAACATCCATTCTTAAAGCACTGGTTGCCGGCAAGACCACATGAAAGCTTAACAAAAGCGATGGTTGTTATCAGAACTAGTTGGATTATTCAGTGCTCCGCCTTTGATCTGCTAGTGTCTCCGTCTGATGAATGGTCACCCTCAGGCCTAGAAATCACCTGTAAAATTACACCCTGCTGGAATATATATCTACAGGCTTATGTTGGGTTTTTTCGGCAACCATCGCTGCTGTTTTGCTTCTGGACTAAGCGCTCTACTCGGATCACCTCTTGCTTTTTGGAGGAGCTGTGAGGGTAGATGTGAGGGACATCTATTTCCGATGCAAGAGTGGCTTCGCTTCAGTGAGAACTCAAGACTCAAACGGTAATATTACTTCTCTCAGAATACTTTCCAGAATATGGCACTAACATCCATTCTTAAAGCACTGGTTGCCGGCAAGACCACATGAAAGCTTAACAAAAGCGATAGTTGTTATCAGAACTAGTTGGATTATTCAGCGCTCTGCCTTTGATCTGCTAGTGTCTCCGTCTGATGAATGGTCACCCTCAGGCCTAGAAATCACCTGTAAAATTACACCCTGCTGGAATATATATCTACAGGCTTATGTTGGGTTTTTTCGGCAACCATCGCTGCTGTTTTGCTTCCTGGATTAAGCGCTCTACTCGGATCACCTCCTGCTTTTTGGAGGAGCTGTGAGGGTAGATGTGAGGGACATCTATTTCCGATGCAAGAGTGGCTTCGCTTCAGTGAGAACTCAAGACTCAAACGGTAATATTATTTTTCTCAGGATACTTTCCAGAATATGGCACTAACATCCATTCTTAAAACACTGGTTGCCGGCAAGACCAAATGGAAGCTTAACAAAAGCGATGGTTGTTATCAGAACTAGTTGGATTATTCAGCGCTCTGCCTTTGATCTGCTAGTGTCTCCGTCTGATGAATGGTCACCCTCAGGCCTAGAAATCACCTGTAAAATTACACCCTGCTGGAATATATATCTACAGGCTTATGTTGGGTTTTTTCGGCAACCATCGCTGCTGTTTTGCTTCCTGGATTAAGCGCTCTACTCGGATCACCTCCTGCTTTTTGGAGGAGCTGTGAGGGTAGATGTGAGGGACATCTATTTCCGATGCAAGAGTGGCTTCGCTTCAATGAGAACTCAAGACTCAAACGGTAATATTATTTTTCTCAGGATACTTTCCGGAATATGGCACTAACATACATTCTTAAACACTGGTTGCCGGCAAGACCAAATGAAAGCTTAGCAAAAGCGATGGTTGTTATCAGAACTAGTTGGATTATTCAGTGCTCTGCCTTTGATCTGCTAGTGTCTCCGTCTGATGAATGGTCACCCTCAGGCCTAGAAATCACCTGTAAAATTACACCCTGCTGGAATATGTATCTACAGGCTTATGTTGGGTTTTTTCGGCAACCATCGCTGCTGTTTTGCTTCTGGACTAAGCGCTCTACTCGGATCACCTCTTGCTTTTTGGAGGAGCTGTGAGGGTAGATGCGAGGGACATCTATTTCCGATGCAAGAGTGGCTTCGCTTCAGTGAGAACTCAAGACTCAAACGGTAATATTATTTTTCTCAGGATACTTTCCAGAATATGGCACTAACATCCATTCTTAAAACACTGGTTGCCGGCAAGACCAAATGGAAGCTTAACAAAAGCGATGGTTGTTATCAGAACTAGTTGGATTATTCAGCGCTCTGCCTTTGATCTGCTAGTGTCTCCGTCTGATGAATGGTCACCCTCAGGCCTAGAAATCACCTGTAAAATTACACCCTGCTGGAATATGTATCTACAGGCTTATGTTGGGTTTTTTCGGCAACCATCGCTGCTGTTTGGTTCCTGGACTCTTCTCCATAACCAAAGGTGGGAAAAAACCAAACCGTTACAAGCGTCACCGGCTGTTCGAGCAGAATGGAAAGCAACCGCTGGAGATGCAAAATGACTTTTTTGTGGAGATGCGTGCGATACAAATTTTTGGTGTCAGCAAATGACCGACATGCCCGAAGAATTGCTTCTAGCAATCAAAATAAAATAATATGTTTTGTGTATTGTTTATAAAAAACGACTCGATTCCTGGAAGGTGAAGAGAAAGGTCAGTACTCCCGCAAGCCGATTCCGAAAGGACGGGGCCAATTATCGGGATCCAAAGATAATATGATCAAGAACACAAAAAAGAAAGAGCATTGACGTATATCAGCTAATAGCTACAGGTGGAGATTATTATACAGTGAATGAGTATCTGATGTCGTAAGTATGTCTCGGTTTCTGGGAAGTGAAATAAGTGCTGTGCTAATGTCAATGAGAGACAAAGTGGTTGGATCCAAGCCGTTGACACATGCCCAGCATATGAGGCAGTAAGGATCGAGGTGTTCATGCCGCGAACGATTTTTAACCGGTCATTTTATGTCAACGGCTCCTCTCTTTCTGGGCGGAAGAGCGCAGCGTTGGATGTTGATTAAACGGAGACTTCAGCATCCTATGACGAGAGATTATGCCGAAAGCCATTATTGCAATAGATTGTTTTGTGTCATAGGGTGCTGTGCAGTGCGGAATATTTGTCATTTACTTTTGAAAAGCGTAACAGTTGATGGCATGCAAGAGCCTGAAAGAACTGGCTTTCTCTTCGTATATTTGTCATCGTAGGTAACGAGGCACGGATACACGATTCTCATCACTGATCGAGTAAGTATTCTCACATCTGGCAATCAACTATCATATCGCCTCGGTGGAAGTATTTCTCTGCTCGTCGTTTCCTTTTTTCTTCTTATTGGGGTATTCGTTGGCTTCAGCCTCCTTATTACTGCTGCCTTCCTTCGTTATCGTTTTTTTGTCTTGTTTCGTTTTGTCCATCCTCTTTTTAGTTACATATCTTCTTTCTTTGACCAAAGTTCCATCGTCCAAATAGTATTTGTCATATATCGCATCGTCATAGCAACTACTCGAAGAGTTGCCCAGAAAACCGTCCGGAAAATGGGGCTCCTGATCCTTTTCGGGAATGAAAAATGTTCCTCTTGTCCACTCTGATAATTTTTTGCGGCTTGGGACAGTTTCATGAGGGGCAATCTTGTGGTTCCTTTTTTCCAGGTTTACGGCGGATTTGTAATTTGTGGCGCTGTAAATGCACGAATTTCGAAACGATAAGATCTTTCTCGTCCACATGGGAAGATTTTCTCCGAATTCATCAATATCAGACGGAAGAGAGAATGAGAAGTCTCCAACATTTGTGTATAAGCCCGAGTCAATCAATGATAACGAGGACACCTGAGCTTGCAGCCCGCAAATCTGAACACCGTGAATATAATGTGGCTTGTCTCTTGAAAATGAAAGGCTTCGCACAATGTCATCGAGAATACACTTGCATTCGATGGCCAACTTTGCTTGTTCATGTCTGACCTTGGCGTTGCTGTTCAGAAGCTTGGATGCTTCGATTTGACGTAATTCGAGGATTCCATTGATAGATGCTACGGTGCGCCCGTCGACTTTGCAACTAATAATGCTGCTATTCCTCGGTTTGACTTGCGTGGTGGTACTCGACACTGGTTCGCCGCCCGACTTGACCAGGAGATAGCCGTCAGCAAACATATGCTCAAAGAACTCATTCCAAATTTTCGCCATGAAGTCATTTCCAGTCAAGGATTTTTCACTTGATTCGAACACCCGGCTTCTCTCGATATAGCAGTTGAGGCTGTATTTGAAGAGACATTAGATAATGTGAAAAGTTAACGAATCCGATGCTTACATATGGGCCAAGATTTTCAGCAGCCATTTGTCCATTGATTTGGCAATAGATAATAAAACAAAGTAATAGGCATCATGATAGAAGCCATTCCTAATGCACTTAATTTTGAAAGTTATATTCCATTTCAGTTTTACGGATAAACCATTTGAGCATATTAGCAGTATACCTTTTGAACCTCCCTTACGATTTTCTGTAGTTCGAGGTTGAGTTTCGGCATATGCTGCAAACGCCGTGATTTAAACCGCTCCAAAAGCAGAGACCATTGGCATTCCGTGAATAACGACTTCTGCACCTCACTTGTTAGGTCGAGGATGCCATTAATACAGTAACAACCCTTGACTTTCTCTTGATCGTTCAGAGACCCATATCGTGCAAACAGCTTCTTGCCTTCCGATTTGATTATAGAACCAATACTCCTTTCGTTAAAAGATAACAGGGTATCTGCTTCAATGATGTTCTGTAAACAAAAAGCTATGAGTGAGCAGTTCTGTGGCGATGCACCCGTTGTATGAGTAAATTAGTCTCACATGAGCGGAGTTGAGCAGGGTGAGACGAGAATTCGCGTTTCTGGTGTAATTTAAAGTTGCATCATGCACACTTCCTGTAATGACCGCTCTTCGTTCCGTAGCCCGTTCGATCTCCCTTATTGTTGTCTTGTGTTCCAAGATCGCGAGCCAGAAGGTATCGACATCGGTTGTCTCTGCAATCTATTAATACAGAGTTAGTTACCTGGGCGTGCTGGATTTCTTGATTTTTCGGCTTACCGGAATGTCATTCTCGAGTTGTTCCTTGACCCACTTTTCGATCTCAGGAACACTTGCTTCAAATTCAAAGACGCTGTCCTCCAAGTCACGTTTCAGCTTTCGCTTTGTTTGGGCTCTATCCATTCCATTGCAGAAATTATAATAGTAGACAGGGTATTCGAACGAGGCGATGTTTTTGATTATATAGTCGATCGAGCTTCGATAAGAGATGCCTATATAAACCAATATCAAGCGAAGTCAGGTTCTCCCAAGCCAATTCATATATGAAATAAAAATCTTTTACAAGCATACCTGTCATGTTGAACTGCGAATTTGGAAAATACCGAAGAGACACTGCATGAGCGGTTTGTTATACAGTTGAGAACAGCGCTCTTGCCCAGCCGCTGTAAAAGGTCACAACCCTGCTGCGACGTTCACATGATTTTTTCGTTTAGTCAAACGTTGCACAGACTTCTTTTCGGCACACCCATAATTTGCATCCAAAAAATTTATGTTTGCACTTTTTTTTGTTTTTTTTGTTTTTTTGTTTCAAGATTACCTTACCAGCTATGCGGCCGACGACTCAACTAAGGAGTTAGCTGCCGGAATCTTGACAGCCGAGTACCTTTTCTGCCCTGCTTGGACGACATAAAGCGGCAGGCAATCAGAGTGGATCTATGCCTCTCCTATTAGTTAACGGCAACGACCATCCCGGTCCTAGTAAGAAGGATGGTATGCCGCGACAGGTCACCCCTGATTCCTTGTCTTCTTACGGATGCCTTGTAATTATTGGTCGACTTGCGTTGGGAGCGTAGTCTGATAGGACAATAAAGTTCTGCCAAGGTCGGTCATTTATTTATATCAGCATCTTCAATAAACGTCTGGACTAACCTGGCTCCGTCGAGGCATTCTGATGAATGACAGAACCATCATCATCCAACCGCCTTCTACACCTTATATCGAATTTTGCCGTCGCAAATTACTTCTTCCTAATTTTACGCATTGTTAGTCAGTCTGACGATACAATCCCGTTCTGTAATTCGTTATTACTCGCTGCTGGGTATCTATGGCAACTGTTCATCTCGGAGTACGACCGTCTCCCAGTCGCCATGGCTTCCAACCTTGCTCGTTCGGTACTTGTCACTGCAACACTAACGCTTTTCCAGCGACAAATTTACGGAACCCGAAGCGGTTCTTTTCATGAACAATAAAGACCACCGAAAAACCCGTTGCCAAAGAAGGATGAGAGCTCGAAAGGATGAGTACAAGCCCAAGGGTCCGGAGATTGTAAGCTCTTCGAGACGCAGATTTGAACCGACGAAACGGCATGCACCTGCTCTAACGAAAGTACGACTTTATAAAGATACAGTATATTCTAGGAGCATCCTATTGTGGTGTTCATTACTATACGCTGGGAAGATAGACTTTGTGATATTATAAACTCACAATTTTTTGACTCGGAAGGCTAACCGAGAAGGATGTCGGCCATTTTATCCTGCGTCAGTAGTCTGTTGGGAATATAGCAAGGTACATTTCCATGGCGAAAGCCAAAGCTCAAAGCATGTAAACTACGGATGAGAGCACACTAAGTTTACTTTACTTACCTATGATGAATACGAGCGGTCGCCTCAACATGTTTTTGAAAGCTGCCGTTATGTAAACATTAGGTTTCGCCTCTTTCAGTTCGTCATATAACATTGGAGACGGCCTGCTTTCTGTTTTAAGTTCCGTCTGTCTTGCCCAACAGCATATGCTCGACGTCTTTGATGCTCAAGGTTGCAGCTGTGGCTACTTGTAGCCGCTATTATTATCCAGTAAAAGGATGCATCCTGAGGCTATTTGCGGTCATCCTCTGAAGAATAACATTCGTGATACCAGTATTTGGAAACTTGTCGATAAGGCTTTGGTCTTTTGCGGCTAGCAGCATTGGGGCATTGTGCGGGTGTATTGTCTCATAGAAACTGTACGAAACCAATTACTGTACTGTTTTTTTTTTTTTTCGAAAGAAGCATACATGAAATTGCATTGAACGCTTGAACTAATGTGTTACCTTGAACGAATTATTGAGAGCTTAGCAGGCAAAAAGGAAAAGAAAAACCCGAAAATTAAATTAGGATGGAGAAAAATGACATGTATAAGCTTTTCCTCGGCTCAAAACTCGTAGTACAAGACTCGAAGTTTATCTTCGATGGTGATGATCGATTATGATGAGCGAGTCGGCTATATGTAATAAGCATTGTCAGGATGATGGATATGTATGAGATCTTGATGCAATGATAGCAAACACTTCTCAACAAAAGGAAAAGAGAGAGAGAGAGAGAGAGAGAGAGAGAGAGAGAGAGAGAGAGAGAGAAAGCGATAGATCAAAAAGCAAATAAAGGGAGAACCAGATTCTAGAAGATAAGAAAATTATCACGAATGCATGAATGGTAGGCACTTTAATCAGGTCAGCTACACAGATCAAAGCATATCTGCTCTCATGCACATCGTTCAGTCGCCAAAAGACGAAGAGAAAGATGGAAAGGACATATAACTGATAAAACCAAATTAAAGTCGCCCATCCAACCTTTTTGGATAAATAAGGACGTTCAAGCGTAGTTTACTATACTGCTTTTCAAACGCAGTAAGACGTCGGGGTTATTTGACCATTCACCCTCCTCGACCTTAAGCAGAAGTCAATGGATATCGTTTGGAATTGTCACCCCCGCATCGTTCTTTCGCTCGGTTATAGCTTCTTTATTTTTTACATCCGATGCTAATATGGAATGTGTTTCTTCTTTTTCATCCCAATCCATCATGTCTGCAGTACGTTAATATTGAAAGGGGCACCGGTACATTAAAGTTTCAGTCATTCCTAGGTGCTTGAGAGATAGCCATCGCTGTCTTTCTTAACTGTGCTTTCCTCTGTATTGTACATCATCTTCTGTATAATTCTGATGCCGGGTTTTCTGTGTAATCTTGGTGGCACTGTTCATACATATCATAAGAGGTTCGCTAAACTCAAAATTGTAAGAAATATCAGGCGGTTGCACCTCTAAAACATCTTTGTATATGGTGCAGCTGTATTAGAAGCTTACAGTAATCTTGCCTCTGTATCAAAAATGAGCGCTTGCCGGGATAAGACACAACGAGCACCAGAGGTAATCGAATTTTTTTATTTACATCTTATTCTGCGACAGGGGTAGCCTTTTTATCGAATACAGCCAGAATATTCTGTCTAATGGCGAAATCATCGAGCTTGTTGCTGGTGACTGTGTTGGATTTAGCAATCTTGTCTAAGCGTGCCTTCTCAGAAACAAGGAAAATGTCGCCAAGAGACAAGATTTTCTCCATGATCTTCACGTAATATTTAGCATATCGGCCCTGAATTCCTTTCGCAGCAGCTTCAGCTTCGGAATGAATAGTCGTACGTGCGTCTTTGTTGGACTCCGTCATAAACTTGATGGCAAGTTTGTCCATTTCCTGGATGCGGCCAGCAGTGCTCTCAAGTCCGCCACCAACAACTCGCTTGGTACCGCAGTGCTTATTCAAGAAATCAATAAATCCAGCCTCGGTTCTAGGACCCTCATAAGGAATAGGGTCGCTTGCACCAGCCGCAAAGAACTTGATCGTAGGGAAACCAGAGATATCAAATTCACCGCCAATGTCACGTTCGGAATCTGCATCAATTTTCGCGACTTCGCACTGAGATTGAACCAACGTCAGCATACATATTTTGTCATCAGATCTACGAAATCACTTACAGTGGGTTCATTGGCAAATGCGGAAGCGACTTTTTCGTAAATGGGAGCTGTTTTGATGAGAGGTGAGTACGACAGACGCAAAAATTATTGAGGCTAACACCTTAAGAACTTACCGAGGTTTTTGCAATGACCGCACCAAGGAGCATAGAATTCAACAAGAACACCTTTCTTCGGATTCAAAGCGACTTCATGGAAGTTTTTGCTGGTCAAAACAGTAACATCGGACTTCTGGGCTCTGATACGAGGACGAACGCCTAAAAAACCTTGTGAGATAATCACACTATCTATTCGCCCGTTCCTCTGAATTACCTGACTTTTCTTGAACAAACTTTGAGAGTGATTCAAGATCGCGTCCGCTGGCATAATCTTCAACACCTTCGACAGTGGAGACACCCTCGGGGAACCACTTCAAAGTAGGGAAGCCACGGATATTGAACTCGCCAGCAGCATCGCGGTAGTTATCAGCGTCCAATTTCGCAATCACAACCTGATCCTTGGCGTGGGCAAATGCTTCTCCCAGTTGTTCGTAGATAGGAGCGAGCTTTTTGCAGTGACCACACCAGGGTGCATAAAACTCGACCAAGGCAGGTTTGCTGCCATCGATAACATGCTTGAAATTCTTATCAGTAAGCACCACGACATTGCCTTCTTCAGTGACAGTATAAGACGCAAGCGATCCCGTTTGGCTACGCAATAAGTCGAGAATATCGGAAGGAGAGTTGATGTTTTTCAACTGGGCAAAGGCGTTATTGACAAGATTGGCAATCTTTTCAGGATTGGCCGACTTGACTTCGGTAATCACACGCTGAGCATGAGCTTGGATTTTGACAGCGTTGAGTTCTTTGGCATTCTGAACCAAGTTCGTGGCAATTTGTCCTCCTTGATAGTGATCATACCCAAGAAAGGCAGCATTCACTATCAACAGCAGAAAGAAAACCTTGCGAAAGAACGACATCTTGTTCGTTAGCTTCACTTTTGTTCTATTTCACGGGTTGAGAAAAAGAACCAAGGAGAAAGCAATTCAATAAAAAAAAAACACACGAGCAATTCCCAATAGCGCGTAACGTACTGCTTTCTCATTTGCCGAATTGAATGTGCACTCCGACATCTTGGGGGTGCCGCTGATTCCAGACACGGCTGAATTTGAACATTTTGTATGTTTATGCGTTTGAATCTAGGTTCATAGTCCTCGTCTTAATTGGTCGTAATAAGCGTATTACTATGGGACAGTTTGACAATACAAAAAAGAAAAGCCCTTCAACATTCCAGTGAGAGTGAAGCAACAAGGCTATAAGTCGTTGTGAAGCTACGGGACGACCATCTCACGGTCTGTGAAGAAACAAGTGCGCGTCCATCGCTGGTATCATCAGGTATCCAAATATGAAGTATCGTTTGCGGTTAATTCAATCGAAATAAATATTATGCGCAGTCCGTTCATAACTTATCGGCGCTGCTTGCGTCAGGGCGAGAGTTCAATTCTACCGAGAATTTTGGATTCCTTCTTCCATTAAAAGGACAAAGCATAGCGTCCTGCTTATGGTATCTGAAAGAATCTTCGCATGGCTCACAATTTCAGGCAAGTAGAGGTCATCAACGCATACATAAACAATCATACACAAGATGTAAGGCTGTTTTTCCAACTTGCGGAAGTGGTGGCGTTAATAAAAGTTGTTCGGTCGGGAAGCTCCTCTAGTATTGCGAAGACTTTTCCGTGGTCTAGACAACAAGGGCCGTTATCTTAGTTTTGCTAGACACCGTGCACTCTTGTCGGCTAACGAGCGGAGCAGTCGTATACTTTTGTTTCACCGTATAAGATTGACTGGTTTCTCGGGGTTGAAAGGGGGTTGGGGGGAAGTAGCTCCTGTCTTCCCGGTGCTAATTGCGGCAATTGCATGGAAGCCATGCGGCCTCTGCTTTATTTTTGCTTACAGCCATCGACCTGTGAGTCAATCTAGCTGGAAGTAACAGTGCAGGGTTCAAGAATTCTTTAAAGTTATCGTCAACTATAGCCGTAGTTGGTTCAACTCTCTGGACTTGATATTAGCTGTCCAGTTCCAGATGGAATTTTATCTTTCCGGGGTGATACTTTTTATCATCAACATTGTAAGCAAGCCGAATCCGTTTCGGCATATGTGATTGCATTCTTGGGTAAAACGTCCAAGTCCATATGTAATGGATTATCTTCACACCCTGGTATCCTGGGGGTTGACACATCTGGATTCCGAACGTTAACGTTTTCCCTTTCGCTTGCTCAATGACGATGGCCCCACAGTTGATTCAAGCAACTATATCCTGTACTCTATATTACATACCTTGCGATTATTATACTTTAGGCTTTGCGTATTTGCAAAGTTGGTGCTTCAAATAGCTCATATACAATTGGATTGTGTGCACGGTTGGCCTTTTGTCATCGTTAGAAGCCACTATCTTTTATTGCAACCGATGTTTTTCATGACTTCTACTTTCAATAAAATGTATAATACGAGTTGAAAGATAGTTTAACGAACTATCCATTAGGTCTGTACCAAAGTTATGTGTACCTGTGTATCCGATCAGCCAACATAAGACACTTGAATAAAGACATCCCGATCGATCTCTCTCTAACATTTCTTGAGACTACTTCATGCAGCTATTTCATACACTCTCTTATTAATGGATAAATATGACGTGAAGCGATGAGAAAAGACACATGGCGTCTTCTTCCTGCTTCATTATTGGGCAATAAAGGTTTTAGCTACAGTACGAGGGATCGCCTCTTTTTTCATGTCTATAAAAGACGACGCATCTTCCATCCATTTTATTTCCTCTTCATCGCACATCTATTTTCTTTTTTTTGCGCAAAACCATCCATCTATCGCGCCATCCATTTTTTTATTGCTCATTTTCATCAACATTTGCTCAAATCACCCATCCTGTACGTATACTCATGATGACTACAACTGTGCTATCAACGACTGAACCTCCACAAATAGCTTGCGCACCGAAGACTTTTTTTTTTTTTTTTTTTGTGGTCAACAAAGAAACTTCTTTTTTGAAAGGTACTGTATTTGTGCTCAAGTCCCCTTTGTTTTTTGAATGCTATGCCGAATCACTTACTTCTTGTGTGCTTCTACTGTGTAGCTTAAAATACTGAAGAAAAAAGCCCATGCCTTGGCGGTGTGTGGTGGCGGCTCCCGCAATGCGGTGACAACAGTTTTTTGTAAGTACAAGAGAAGAGTAAGTGTGACTATGATTTCAACCTTTTTTTTTTTCTTTTTGTATGTGTCTTTGTCCTTTGGTTTTCTCTCTTATTTGATTACTTAAAACAACATTACCTTGCCTCTTTTAAAAATTTTTACCCAGAGTTTTTCAATTAAACTGTACGATTGACCTGCTGATAACCGAAGTTCGACGCTCAACAGACATAATGTTCCCGAAGCTTGATTAGAACCGGAATTTCGTCGTCTTAATTTGCTAAAACAACTTTATATCTTGCGTAGATCAAATATTTTGTTCTTATTGAGTTCCTTTATCAGGGTCGCTGGCATCCAATGCCGAGGATCTGACAGCAGTATCAAAAGCATTAATATTGACAGTGATACTTATTAAAAAATTTACGTTCGAATGAAAAAGGAGGATCGACGTTCAGCAGCGAGCACAGTTCGCATGCCGTGCAGGGCAGTAACCGCGTTACGACTTTTTCAATCACGTGCCTACAAAAACCAAAGGTGGGCCTTGTTTCCTTCCATAGATGGAAGCCCAGCCAATCAATCTGGGGACCAAGTGAGATTTGAAACAATGTCCAATCAAAAACGAAGTAACTTTTTCCTCTTAGTCTTGGCAAGTCACGGTTTCGGATATTGAATCTGATATGGTTTTCACGTTTTATGGAAAATAAGTTGTATATATGGAAAAAGGGGATTTCTTCTTCGAAAGAGATCGACGATGACGCCTTTATTGACGGATAAAACTGGGGAATGATAAAAACGCCTTGCCGTTGTTCCGAGCCCAAAATATGTAGACTCTCTAGTTGCTGATCCACAAGGTTTGATCTTAGTTCCACAAACCTGTCCACTAACGTTCGCAATTTTAAAGTGCAATCATCCTTTCTATCAAGCACAGTGGTCACACTGCTCCAAGTAAATAGGGATAACGCAACGGGGATGATACATTTAGCCACATTTGTTATGCTGCCCATCTAATGTATTGTTACATCCGCTACTTTGAATCAATGAGACAGGATGCAGTTGAGCAAACACAAGTCATCAAAAAGACAAGATCAATATAAAGCACAAGATATAGTAAAAGAAAACGTATGGCGAAAGAGCGCTTGATATTTTTGATCAGTTTTCTACGGATGTGGGATGTCCGAGAAAAAGAAGATATTTCGTTTTCTGCATGCAGCGATTTTTTTTCCAGTCGGAAAAATGAGCCGTCTTGTGACTCTGTTCTGTTATCAGTTACAATACAAAATATACAATCAAAAATCCATCATTCCCTTCACTTTTTTTTTTTTTTTTTTTTTTTAATTTCACAACATCTTTTTTTTTAGTTGAATATTGAAGGATATAAAAAAGGCTTCTGTATGACCCTCTCACAATCACATACATTGCACAATTCGCTACCAACAACGATATCTTCTATACCGACATCGGTGTCACGACCTTTCTTCTCTTCAACTTCTTCTACGAATTCACAGTTAAGCTCATCATCGACGGAAACGGGCAGTGATCATAAGGAGAAGGACAAAAAGAAGAAAGAAATTAGTGAAGTATCAGCAACTATCTGCGCTAACTGTGGAACTACAACTACGCCTTTATGGAGACGAGCCCCCAACGGCGATACCATCTGCAACGCTTGTGGACTCTATTTGAAAGCTCGAAATGCTTTACGGCCACCGACGCTGAAACGAAACACTGCTCGCAAGACCGCTGAAGCAGTAGCAGCGGCCACTGCGGGGGATTGCGGTAGTGGTCCCGCCAGCGGTTCCTGCCCTGGTGGCAGTCAATGTAACGGAACCGGTGGATCATCTTCCTGTGCTGGCTGTCCCGCTTTCAATCAACATCAAGTCAATCGTCATGCTCTCATTTGCGCCAATTGCCGAACCACAACGACACCATTATGGCGACGAGATGAAGCCGGAAATACTATTTGTAATGCATGCGGATTATATTACAAATTACACAATGTCCATCGTCCCGTAAGCATGAAACGCAGTGTTATCAAGCGTAGAAAGCGAGTCATTGTTGTGGAAGCATCGGATAATGAAGAAGAACATCCGCGAGAACAGGATGAACTCCTCGAGGAAAAGGCACCAACCAACAGCAGTGATGAAGCCAGTAGCAGCTACGATGTCGAAACCAACGATGTTCAGCAAGTATCTCGAAAACGACGGTCAAAGCAAATGATAGAGAAAAATGGAAAACGGCATCTTGTTGTGAATGGCACCAAGTCCCTAGATGACACGGTTCATTCAAAAAATTTGGTTCTCCCTGTCCCCGCCATTGAAGACTACATCATCCCCAAGCGAAGTTCAGCGCCAATGACCCATCTGCCCAACGTAACAGAGCCTGTTCGTCCGGTGGGCATCACGCTACCTCCACCACCGCCACCACCTGCTCCATCCTCTTCGTCTTCCCAAGAACATTCTGCATCGGCCGTAACTTGTCCATCTCCGCGGACACCGCCCTCAGCCGCGACACCATTTTTGCCCCACCTTGACAAATTATCTCAATATCCGCCTAATGATATGACTCCCCAATCTCGACAGCATTCATCTCCCTTACAATCCAACAATTCCCCTTCTCCTTTCTTAGATTCGCAGCATGATTCTATCTCACTACCGCCGATTTCTTCAGAGCGACGGCAGCATCGATTCGATCCTATTCTGGATTGTCGGGATAACCGAAGTTTGCCACCAATATCTTTACCACCGCTTTCATCGACTTCATCATACCCCACTTTGGCTGAGTTTGACGCAGCGCTAGCTAGCCTGGATCGTTTACGCAAACATATCCATCCTGACCATGCCAACACACTTGCGCAACTATCGCCATCTCTGAAGGAAATTGTAAAAAAGATAGAATCCATTGTTCATCCGCCATCTTTATGATATATAAAGTAAAACTAGCAAATAAAGTATAGTACATTTAAAAGCAAAACCAATCAATGGATTATTTCCATTTTGTACAAGTAAAGTGGTTTTCTGTTGTTGTTTTTTTGTTTGTTTGTAGATAGAAAAAAGAAAAAACCAAGAACTATATATTACTGAATTATGAGTCGATGATATGTATATGAGGCACTTTCCGGTCCCCGAAAGAAGGCGAAGAGGAGGAAGACAGTGTCGTAGAATACAATTTGGATTTTTTCTTCTTTAACCAATCCCATGGTTCATCTCGATAGATATTTGATCGTTTCGCACCTGGTAATTCATGTCTTGGAGAAGACGCTGCTGAGCCTTGATATTGGGATTCATCCTCGCCGTGCCTTTTTTGATCCTCATCCTCCCTGCCGTCTTCCTCTGTCCACCATCCGCTCACCAATCCCAACTGGACGGTGATAGTGGAAATCTGATGTCTCTGCATTGTCGCTATATGTTCTTGATGGGTGCCATAAACGGGATAACGTCTCTCTGTCAGGATTCGACTGAGTCGTCGTTTTCGTTCATAAAAGAAATTATGATTGCTATCTCTGAGTAACGTGGAATCGAAAGCCACGCCAGCCAAAGGTATTTTTGCCACGCCAATGATTTCTTTTGCTGATAAATCCACTTGTTCAGAGTTTCTATTCGAAATATCGGTTCCACTGTCGCCGTCGACGTCTGTATTGTCCAGCACCAAAGAAATATCAATTTTCGCATAGTTATCCAGCCACTGTTGAATGTCGTAAAGGTGTCCACGAAGACGGAAACAGGCCGGCAAAGGGGTACGATTTGGCGATAAGGACGTCGCTGGGCATGTGATGTGTGTTGAAAGGAGATTGTAACTGAAAAAGGCTCTACCCTGAATACCTCGTCTTCCATTGACTGTTCGCTGGCGTTTTAAGAATGACTGTGGGTTGTCGGTGTGGAGGATATTGAAGTAAAAGGTATAGGTTGACAATCCTTTTCCGATTTGGTGGTAACGTAAACTTTGTTCGGTCAATGTGGGTGGACAGCGAGAAAATGATGGAATGGGTTCAGGACTGAGATGTTGTCGACGTTGCGGCTTTGGAGATGAGGTGGAAGTAGAACGCAATCGGATGTGGTTCAATGCAGTAGAAAGTTGATCAACGTCAATATCAGAGGCAGATTTGTGACTATCAAACTGCACGGAGAGATTCTGACCACTGCGACTCTGTTTGTCTGAGGATGATTCGATGAAGGATCGTGCTCGTCGTAGGCGATCGGGTGATCTTTTCGGCGCTAGAAAATCGGTAGTAGGCATAATGATGGAGCGTCGTTTCTCCCGCAAGATATCTTTTTCCGTTTCCACAGCTGATCTGGCGCGTAGGAGAGGAGGGGTTTGTCTACAGGTCATGGAAGATTGTGAACGATGTTTGTCTGTAGCCAAAAGGTCCTTGAAGGAGATGTTTTGAGCTACAAAGGAGGAAGCGGTGGTGGACTGGGGGCGTGAACTACGAGTACGGCGTCGAGCGGAATCGAATTTGCGAGCAAATGAGACCGAAGGCGGAGGGGTGGATAAAAGCGTGTGCAAAGACGGTTCGGAAAATAGCAGAGGCACGTCGCCACTGCTTGAAGGACTTAATAAAAGAGAATCGGTCAATGCACTCATGGATCGTAATTCCAAGCCTGACGATGCTAAATCTTCTCCTTCCGTACTACGATTGTCCTGCTCGGTTTCCTTCTTTAGTTCAAACGACTGCCGTTCACGATACTTGACGTAGGGAACTGAAGGAGTAGGAGATGACGATGGTTTCGTGGGCCGGTTGATTAGTTTCGTGTCTGCTATACTTGACAATGCAGGCTTCTTGTCACGCATGGCGACGATAAATATACCCGCTTTAATTTGCTCCTTGCGATTGGATAACGAATGCCATACGCCTTTATCCACCACAAACTCATTTACTTGTTCCATGCGTTTTGGACCATTGCGTTGAACGACCATTTTGGCAGTAGATAATTGCAGTTTCATGGTGCCCATGACTTGGCGTGAGGCTTCGAGATCGAGTTTGCCAACATTGAGAGAGATGTGGGCGTCATTGGCACGTAGACGATGTAGTAACTTGGACGAAACTAGGTACGCGAGTGTTGTATGGAATGAGACTGTACCGTCACGAGCGATAGGAGCAGGCGCTGTACTAATAACGGTGGTGGGTGGAATGAGGTCGTCCACGGAGGAGGGTAAGAGCAACTCCAGTTTGCTTTGCACGGAGATATCGTGTTCGGCGCTGTGAGAAAAGTTGCGACCTATGAATGGGAAGACGTGGTGGTTCAGTGGATATGTTTTAAGAGCCACGCTCGCAGAATGGGCTTGTTTCAGATAGGATTTTTGTTTTTCTGATTTTCCTGCAGACCTTGTTGTATTGCTACCAGTATGGCATATTCACATGTCTTGGTGAGCAATAAAGACATGGTTGGGCTTTTTTTACGTGTAGTATATGTTGCCTTTCCTTCTGTAGGGAAGATGGATGGTTATGTGTATACTGAGGATAGGGAGAAAAGAGAAGAAGGGAGGTAGGAAACCGGCTACGGAAACTTGAAGATGTATGTAGAATATGAACAAGTTATTGATAAAAATATATAGTACACAGGACAGCACACAACTTGCACTTCCACAAAAAGACCAAAAGAAAAGGAACGATTTTACTGAAAATCACAAAAGGGAAGGGGAAAAAAATGTTTTTTTTTTTGGGTTTTTTAGTGGTGTGACAAGAAAAAAAATAATTTCCCTCCTTGCCTTTTTTTTTTTTTCCTCATTCCCCTGATTGTTCTGTAATTGTTCATCAAGCTACAATTATGACCATGAAATTTGGGAAAATGGAAAAAAAAGAGAAATTCGTATTTAGAACAGAGCTATTACAGTTAAGAGAATTCCATCGACCTTTTGTATTTTTTTTTTCTTTTTTTTTTTTTACTCATGCAACAGTGGGTTATTTCATTTTTTCTGTTTCATCTTTTTTCACTTTTGGATTCGGGATCAGTGACTTTTTTGTTGGTAAAATGGCCATGAATAAAGACGTATACGTACTGAATGCATGTATTTATTCACTTAAGGTCCAAAGTTAAACCCTCCTTGAGGCGCTTGTACTTGCTGGAAGCTGAATTGACCGTTTTGCATATCGGGGGCCATTTCCGCATCGGCTTCGTCGTCGTCTTCGCTGAAATACTTGTCGATCACATGGTATGCCTTCTTGTAGATATCGCTGTTATCATGTGTTTGTAAAGCATGGATATAGTCAACACCACCACATTCTTCGATAAGCAAGGCATAGGGGTTCAATCCGTCCGCCGTGTTGAGCTTCTCCACTTCGCCCACGCGTAAGAGGTTATCCAAACCATCCAATGCCACCATGATGATCTTGTTATCCATCGATGTCAGGATATCGCAAAGAGGCTTAATACAGCCTTGTGACACCAGGTACTTGATTTGTTCAGGTCGGTTCAATCCACCTGATGTCGCATTGCAGATAGCCCAGCAAGCTTCCTTTTTCGTCTTCAACTCGCCGTGAGCAAGAATAGCGATCAAAGGAGAAATTAACCCGCCATCGATAACCGCTTGAATTTGCGTAGCGTTGCCAGCCGTAATATTTGAAATAGTCCAACACGTCTCTTTACGAATCGTCTCCTTGGGAGTCGACAAAAGATGCAGCAATGCACTGATAGCGCCACAGTTAATGATCACCTGGGTCTGCGAGTCGTCGCCTGTCACAATATTGCCGACGGAACGCAATGCAGGTGTTTGCACCGAAGTCGATGGATGACTCAACAGTTCCACAAGACGGCTGCATACGCCAGATTCCACAACAGCCTGGATACGATCATTCGAACCGTCAGACAGATAGGATAAAGCCCAGCATGTGTCGATTAAAATCTCCTCATCTTGAGAGTACACAAGTTTCACCAACACTTGCAAAGCAGGAGCAATCTGGACACAACAAAAAAAAATGGTATGTTAGTATTTTCGCGTTTCTCAAGGACAGGGCATTTTCACGCTAGTCATCTTTCTTCCCACACGCGCGCCTATTTATCTCCCCTCATGCCAAAACACATAGTGACAAGACAATTACCAATCGCCAATCGGGTTGAGGATTCTTGCCGCGACAAAAGTTGGAAAGTGTCCACGTCGCGTTTCGTAACATGGATAACTTGGCATTGCTTTCAAAGATGGCCAACAAGGATGGCACAGCACCTTGTTCGAGAACAAAATCACGGCATCGAGGACTGTCACCAGCAATGTTGCCAAGAGCCCAAACAGCCTATCATTCACAACAGAAGTCAGTTTTTGCTTGATACGACAATTATTTTTAAAAAGAAGTCAAAGTAGTACCTGTTCTTGCACTTCGGGTTCTGGGCTGCTCAACAACTCGATAAACAAAGGAACAGCTCCAGCTTCAAGCACTTTCTGAGTTTGTTGGGAAGAACCAGAAGCGATATTGGTCAAAGCCCATGCAGCTTCGAACTATTATAAAATGAACATGTTCATGAAGATTCTTTAACATGAAGCAGTCAGGATTCACTTACTTGAAGAGAGGTATGAGATGAACGAAGGAATTCAACAAAGCGAGGAACCACGCCGCACGCAATGACTTGTTCAATGGGAGGATTCTTTTCCTTGGATAGTAGCTTTCTGAATTGAGTGGTCGTCATCAATTGAAGTTCAACGTCGTTGGAATAGACACCTTGCACCATGCCAGGCAACACTTCCATCAACTAGTTATACAAATATACCGGTTAATCAGACACCCAATTATCAGAAAATAACAACATGAAAACCTCACCTGGGAATCTAAGTTGGCAATATCATCGACTTCATCATCAGAATCGTCAGGCAAATTGTCAAAATTTCTTCTCTTGGCTAGATTCTCTTCTTTCTTTTGCTTTCGAATTTCCACCTGAGCAGTTTCGCGACGACGTCGAATCTCTTCAGGTTTGAATTGACTACGGCCTTTGTAGGTACCGCGACGAGGATCAGCTGTAGAGTCCATGATTGACCCAAATGCAAGTTACAAGAGGAAAAAAAATTTAAAAAGAAAAAAACAGAAAAAGTGATTGAAATTCAGAAGCTTAATGAAAAAAAACAATTACAAAAAAATTGCAACTGCACGTAAAAAAATGGGCAAAAATTTTGACAAGCTGCAGTAGTTACAGGATTGAGAGAGCATTTATTGATTTATATGTGTGTTGTGTGTAGGCAAAGAAAATAACAAAAAACATGGTGTAAGAGATAATAATTTTTTAGGCTATTTACAGCATCATCTTAAGAGGATTTTCCATGTACTCTTTGAATGCTTGCAACCAAGTAGCACCAACAGCGCCATCAACAACACGATGGTCAGCGCTCAAAGTCACTTCCATCACGTCACGCACAGCGAAACCGGATTCCTGGGTTTCATCGGCAACCACCTTCTTTTGAGTACCACCAATGGCGAGAATGCAAGATTGAGGGGGGTTGATGATAGCAGTGAAGTGCTTGATGCCGAACATGCCCAAGTTGGAGATGGTGAAGGAACCACCCTGATATTCGTGAGGTGCCAGCTTACCGTTGCGGGCACGGGTGGCCATATCCTTAACCTGAGCGGAAATGGAAGACAAGCCCTTGGATTCGGCATTGGCCACAATAGGAGTGATCAAACCGGTGGGGGTGGCAACAGCAACACAGACATCAGCAGTGTTGTATCTAGAAAAATGATGAAAATTTTAAGGATTTCTTTTTTTTTTTACTCAAACAGTAAAAATATCATTGAAACTTACTGTCTGATGAAATCACCCTGCCATGCGGCGTTGACTTCGGGAACCTTCTTCAAACTGAGGGCAGAAGCCTTGACGATGAAATCGTTGACAGACAACTTGTACTTGCCCTCGGCAGAGTTGTTCAAGACCTGGCGCAACTTGTTCACCTTGTCCATGCCGATCTCAACAGTCAAGTAGTAGTGAGGAACGGTCTGCTTGGATTCTTGCAAGCGAGAACCGATGATCTTTCTCATATTGGAAGTAGGGATGTCAGTGAAGGCATCACCAGCCGCACCCTGAGGAGTGTAAGCAGCGGGAGCAGGTTGAGCAGCAGCCTTAGGAGCAGCCTGAGTTTGAGCAGCAGCGGGAGCTACATTGTAAACCGTCAGTATCCAACAAATTCAAAAGGCATTTCAAATATAGTTAGAAACATACCACCCTTGAAGCCCTCAATATCAGACTTCACAATTCGGCCGTTGGGACCGGTACCCTGAACTTGGGAAAGATCAATGTTACGTTCGTTGGCCATTTTCTATTCCAAAAAGCGCGGTTAATTTGTTTTTTGTTCGTCGCATATCGTGTCATGGTCTACTGAAATCTTACTTGAGCCAAGGGGCTAGCCTTGATGCGATCTATTATAAAACCAAGAAACGCATCAGATCGCTCATTCATCATCCACCACAAAGATTATTCATTTCTCTTACCACCACTAGCAGCGCTGGCGGAAGAAGCAGCGGGAGCGGCAGCGGTAGCGCCAGGAGCAGCAGGAGCGGCTTCCTCGGCTTCAGCGGGCGATTCCTTGGTTGCAGGAGATTCTTCCTTGGCGGGTTGGCCAGAGGAAGCATCCTCCAAAGTGAAGTTTTCGAAAGCGGCAACATCACCCTCATCTTCGACAAGAATAGCAATGGGCTAGTAGATGGCAATCATAATCTTAGAATCCGTGCATTATCTTCCCTCTTTGAATTTTTTTTTTTTCTTTCAGAACTTTGATCTAACCTTGCCGACGGGAACATCCTTATCACCTTCCTGAACGAGGAACTTGGCAATGAAACCTTCCTCCTGGCACTCAAAGTCCATCTGGGCCTTATCGGTTTCGATTTCCAAAAGGACATCACCAGGCTGCATTTCATCGCCAACCTTCTTCTGGAAAGCACCAATACCACCAGCAGTCATACTGTATAAAATTCGTGAGATCAGTCCAATTGCTTATTGATACTCTACACGCGATGAATCAGGCGAGCGGAAAAATATACTTACGTAGGCGAAAGAGCAGGCATGGCAATGACGTTGTGCGAAGGGAAAGCTAGATAACGCCATAAAAATTTCCATGTCAACATCTTCATCCAGAAACAAATAAACACAGTCTGACAACTCACACTTGGAGCTGTAGAAACGGATATCCTTTTCGTTGTTCAAGTTGACCATAGCGCGAAGAGCGGTGAATTTGGAGTTGCTATTGGCGAGGAAGGACATTAGTTTTAGACAAGCGTATTTCTTTGTGGGATTTGTCGACGCTAATGTCACGTTTCTGCGTTGGTTTACCTAGTAGCAGAGAAAGCACGTACGGAGCTGTTCAAGAGGGGAACGGCTCTAACCGAGGTTCTGGCAGCCGAAAGGCGTGCGGAAGAAGAGAGGCCGCAGGCGGCACGGAACAACTGACGTCTGGCAGAGGACATTCGATTAAAATGAATGAGGAACTGAAAGAGAGGACTGGTAAACCCAGGAGAGACAGTGGAAAAAAGTGGGAAAAAAAAATTTGGTCTCGAAGTATAATACCCCAAAACTTTTTGTGACGGTATAATTTTTGTTTTTTGTTTTCTTTCGGAGCGAGCATTCCTATCTTCGGCGAAGAGATTTCGAAAGTCCGGGGCACCATTCGGACACGGCAGGCAGCCATATATCGCCATCCACTCATGGGTTGTATCACACTGCAAACGAAGCCGGCCAAGATATTTTGCAATGAAGCAGTAAGCGTAATGTCCGTCGGAAGTCGATCTTCTACGGCACATTTCCATACGCTTTTTGACGAAATGCCCCGGCTTGGGCCAATCATTTTAATCTGTCCAATCAAAATAGAGAACGATATGCCTGCTGTGGATGTGTTTTGATGATAAAAAGGGATCAATATATTCGGTTCGATTGGCAAGGAATCCAAGTGATTCATATCACCTCTTGCTTTTGCTCTAATTCGCAAAGGATACAGACTAAACCTACAGAATACGCACTCAGAAGTTATCTCATTCAATCAAAAAGCCAATGATTGAAAAGCGTTGAGTTTCGGAAAGTCAAAGATATTTTACATGACGTTTTTTTGAGTTTTCAAATGGCGCATCACCTGTATGTGACCCGAATAAATCCAGGAATCCAGGTTTGGGTTGGCTAGTGATGTTACTGCGCACATTTTGGGAGCCCAAATAGCAACGCTATAGCAACACTCACAGCGAGCACGTTAAAAATCGGGCGCTGACCACAGAAAAAATCTACATACGCTCTTCAACCATATTTCCACTTCTTATGCTTGTGAATCCAAACTCTAGCTCTTCCTCGACTTCCCAATAGAATTTTACGGACGGCGACTTATCTACGCAAATCCCTGCATCAGAAGAATTTGAGAAACGAGCGCCCACTTTATCAAGGTCGTTCGTTTCAAGATCTCATCCAATAGAAAGAGATGGAAGGCATGGATCCCAAAGTCAAAGCAGAGTAGAATTCGAGGAGGAACCTTTTTTTTTTTATCGATTTGGCATGGACATCCTTGTTTGGCTAGTGACATGTAATGTATGTGGTCAGTCAGGTCACGCAAGCAGTCGATCATCGATGTACTCTTCACGCAACCAAAATCCTTGATCAGGTATGTGACCTTTGTTTCCTAATTCCTTTAGCCTCTTGTTCTGATACTTTTATACATTGGGGCTAAAGCAAAGCGTAAACAATCGGCAAAAGTTAAGCCAAAAAAAAAAAAAAAAAGAACCAAAGGCCAAAAATCACCGATTGCAAAAACATTCATCGCGTGCGTATATGACCCTTTTATAAACCTAAGGGAAAGCAATAAGGTTATCTTCGGCTCTGAACCTCGACAATGTGTTTCAAAGAGCTCGCATCGCTCTGATTAGGCTACCCGCGGACAAATGGACAGTTAACACGACACAACACATCGAGCATATTCTGGAGATATCAGAGATTCGACCAAGAGTGTAAGTTTTTAATTACTATATTGTTGTTGTTTTGCTCTCTAAACTCATTGGATATTATTGCTATAGTAATGTTAATTTAAAGCAGATGTGATCGATGATAATCACGAACGAGACGCGCAACGATCAATTTTCCCCCTTGCGCGTTGAACATTTTCGATTTTGTGTCACGTTAACAGAAATAACACTTTGACGCGAAAAACTGCGTGTCATCGATCTCAGTCATGTTATTCGGTTCCAAAATAATAATTCCTGAGTGGAGCACAAAAAAATACAGAATCAGCGAACAACAGATCAGAAACACTAACGTTGATCAAAAACCATTCAACAAGTTGCGCGTAAACCCATTTTCGCGGGGTCCAATCAAATTGCGGCAATTTTTCCAAATGCATGTTGGCATCGTGACGTTCCTTGAAAAAAAAAAAGGGCCCGTTTGAAATCAGTTTGGTGAAGCTGCGGCAACCCCACCTTCGCTTTAGTTTCCACTCTTATATTTCATGATTTTGAAAAAGCCAAAAACACTTATTCTGCAAGAACAACGAGAGAAACAGCAATTGGAAGCTTCTGTTAAACCTGATCGTCCCAAGAGAAAACGTACTGTCGCATCGTACCGTGTTGAGGCTTCGATCGATGACGAGACCGACTCGGATTTCGATGAGCACGATGCCAAACGACAAAAGGCAAATGAAGCTGTTCGCAAAATATTAGGCGATCTATCCAACGCCTCTGCACGCTGCTACCAACCTCTAGCTCGCTTACCTAAACATTACGATCCTTTATCGGTTCTCAACAAAAAATTCAAAATCCCAAGCAGCATCAACGGAAGCCAGTCTGTCGATGACTCTTCATTCGGTGTACGTCGCACGCTTGGTATGCGACGTCGCGCCGGCGTCTTACGCGCACTTCACGATCATACCGCCGAAAATGCTTTGGTTTTATGGGACCCTGCCGAAGAAGAAGTTCCCGAACCCACAGAACAGGACGAAAAGAAAGCTTCCACCGGTAAACGAGAGAAAAGTCTCTCTGACATCCTTGGTCTGAAGAAGCAAGAGACAAAGAAAGTTCACGTCGTCGTCGACCCTGTACTTGCCAAAGTGCTGCGGCCGCATCAAATTGATGGTGTCAAATTTTTATTCCGATGCACGACCGGCAAAGTCGATCCAAATGCATATGGGTAAGTATGCTACATCATCGCCAGTCTCCTTGCAACCATCCTTACTTTCTTCCTAATTAGGTGTATCATGGCCGATGAAATGGGTCTAGGAAAGACTCTTCAGTGCATTTCCCTCGTATGGACCCTTTTGCGTCAGTCCGGCGAGTTGGGCAAACCTACCATTAACAAAGCCATCATTACTTGTCCATCAAGTCTTGTTCGTAACTGGGCGAACGAGTTTGGTATGTACTCTGCCAGAGAATTATATCGTAATACGTTAAAACAATGCTCACTCTTTTTACTTAGTCAAATGGCTCGGTGAAACGCGTGTCCGCCCTTTAACGATCGACAATGCTGGCAGCAAAGAAAAGATTAGTGCTATCAAGCGATGGGCTGCAGCCCAAGGACAGCTCGTCAATCCAGGTATTGTGTAACACTAACCGAGAAAAAGGAAACAACGACTGAATCGATATATTCGCCGCTAGTCCTCATTATTTCATATGAAACCCTGCGCTCCTATACAAAGTACTTGAAAAAATGTCCTGTTGGCCTTTTACTTTGTGATGAAGGCCATCGACTGAAAAATGGAGGTAAGCAGAGTCAGATTGGATGTATTTTTTAAGGTTTAAGCTGATCTCATATTTTCGCTTTAGCTTCTCTCCTGTTCCAGGAATTGAACAGTTTGCAAGTACGACGACGAGTCATTCTTTCAGGAACACCAATTCAGGTAAGATATGGAGGAAAACTCACGGCCTTGTTCATGCTGGTAACCTTTTTCTTCTTTTATAGAACGATTTAAGTGAATATTATTCCCTTCTTGATTTTGCGAACCCAGGTTTGCTTGGTACCACCAACGAGTTCCGTAAAAATTATGAAAATCCTATTCTTCGCGGTCGCGACGCGGATGCCTCCGATAAAGAGCGCCAAATTAGTGACGAAAAGGTGGCCGAATTTTGGGCCATTGTATCCAAGTTCACCATTCGTCGCACAAACGATATCCTCAGCAAATACCGTGAGTACTTTGCGTTACGGTTGGCAAATATTGATTTGGAAACTTACCGTTAGCCCTTGTTCTTTTCTAGTTCCTGTGAAATACGAACATGTCGTCTTTTGCAAACTTGCGCCGCTACAGCAAGAACTTTACAACATATTTCTGACTTCTCCCGAGATCCGAGGTTTACTGCGAGGACAAGGCAGTCAACCGCTCAAGGTATATACATTTCTGCTTGCACTATTAAGACCGTATGTTTATGTCTGTCGTAGGCCATCACCATGCTCAAGAAACTGTGCAACCATCCTGCATTGCTTGATTTGCCCAATGAACTTGAAGGATCCGAACGTATTCTGCCTCCCAATTATCAAGGAAGCAACCACAAATCCTTTACTGTCAATTCGTCATATTCTGGAAAATTCATGGTCCTGGATCGGTACGTCTTTTATCTTGCAATTTACAGTTATTGTCCAGAGCGAGGAAATGCCTGTCCACTAATAATCGCAATAACCATAGAATGCTGGCCAGAATCAAGAACGAAACAAATGATAAAATCGTACTCGTCAGTAACTATACCCAAACACTGGATGTATTTGAAGCTTTTTGCCGACAAAAACAGTAAGCCAGTGAATTTGAAGTTACCCCTCACCTTGTTATTGCTCACTCGGTCGTTGTAGATATGGCGTTCTCCGATTGGATGGGTCGATGAATATTCAAAAACGGCAGAAACTTGTCGATCGTTTCAATGACCCAGAAGGAGATGAATTTGTATTTCTACTGAGCAGCAAAGCAGGTGGTTGTGGATTAAATTTGATTGGCGCCAATCGTCTGGTATTATTTGATCCAGGTAAAAATACGACATCAAACCCATCTGAAATTTTGACAAAATTCTAATGAAGGGCGCTTTTTGTATCGATAGATTGGAATCCTGCAGCCGATCAACAAGCGTTGGCCCGTGTGTGGCGAGACGGGCAACGCAAAGATTGTGAGTTTGCGAGCTATGAATTATTCTTACATCAACACTGACATTTTCTATTCCCTGAAGGCTTTATTTATCGCTTCATCGGTGCCGGCACAATTGAGGAAAAAATTTTCCAGCGACAATCCCACAAGCAGTCGTTATCCAATTGTGTAGTCGACGAAGCCACTGATACCGAACGCCACTTTTCACTTGCAGACATGCGTCAGCTTTTCCAATTGAATACAGCAAGCGAGTGCGAAACTCATGATACATTCAAATGTAAGTAACTATAAGAAACAACGTGGACTTGCTCAAAAACCTAATTTGAGACTCTACAAGGCAAACGCTGCATTCAAGGCAAACAACATACACCCTCACAGAATATGAACTACGGAGATGCTAGCACGTAAGCTTTCAAAATTTGTTTGTGATTCATCTATATGTATAAATTGCTGACACGGAGACCGTCTCTTCTTGATAGTTGGGATCACTATAATAAGGATCTGTTGCGCTTGCCTGATCCAATCTTACAATCTGAAGCTGGAAAAAACATCGTCTCCTACGTTTTTCAGTATATTTCTCACATGAAATAAGGCTTGCAAAACCTTATTGTAAAATAGCATTTCTACAGACACACCTTGCATAAATTAGAATCATCTTTAAGCGCTTCTTTCCACACTGTTTCCCTATCCTATGTGGGTCAGCCACTTTTATTCTCATTTTGATCACTTGAAATCATTGTGTTGCGTATGGTGCGAACACAACTTTTACTATTTGTTTCAATTTCATATTTTAAACAACCAAAAGATATTTTAATGTCAACATAGACTGCAGTTTTATTGATTGACGCCCAGACGGCGGCGGGAGGTATAGGTGCGATGGGTGAACTTTTTAACTTCTTCATCAGCTGCCCATCCATCCATTCCGAGGTTGTATGCCTCAATGTAGCGTTTACAACGCTTGAAGTATCGTCGAATGAAAGTGGAGGTTGGTTGGCCGGAGATGCCTTCTCCAGAGCAATTAGAAGTCGATGCTTGAGCCCATTGAACGAATTAGTCACAATTTGCTCTTACGTCGCGCTTGTCATCGGCCCAGTGGCGCTCGATCCAGTTGCCCTCGCAATTATATTTGGAATAAAGGTCAATGAGCAAATCGTTCTCCAGGAGACATTCTTGCAGTGCGGACATCTGGAATTTGAAGTCATCTTGGGCAGCTGAACAATGCTGCGCACAGCAACTGACAACGTTGGTTGACAACGCAACCGCCACTTTCGGCCTCTTTGCCAGGCGAATCATCGATATCCTTCCAAAGGCCACGTTCTTGCAAGATTCTTTTGATGCCTTTGAATTCTTCCACCGCTTCACTGAACCGTTTTCAACGTCTTTTCTCCTTGACTTGTAAAAACTTTGCACTTTGCACCGATTTTCTGACGTACCGAAGTACCGCGTTTCTTTAAAGGTATACTTATCCTTTTTTGGATCGTGTATCTTCGGCGAAAGAGTCATACGGCTGGCTACGAGGGCACATGAGCAAAGGCGGTATGGTTTGACGACTGGTCGAAGAGGAAGATGCCCATACAATTGGGATGAAGTGCTTTGAATATCGGGATGGCTTCTTCCCTCAATGGCGAACAAGGTGTTCATAGGTCCAAAATCCACGGCGATTTGTTCCAGGATCGAACATTTGACGTAACATCTCCGTAATGCATGGTACCGTGGCAGGCACATTGGAACGCACTGACCATTATGGCGAGGCCTTGACCCTTGGGGCGGATTTGGGATCCTCCGGTGAGGAACCATCCATTCTCTTTCCGGTCATTTGCGTAGAAGATGGATTCATCGTGGGTAACGATTACCGTCTTTTTACAACCTTCGGCCGACGACGGCTCCACGACTTCTTCGACATCATCATCAGCATAATCGTCCATGGATTTGAACCGGCGCACCATTCTTCCTGCCCATTCTTTGCGGTATGCCACAACGTCTGGTCTTTCATGCCCATCAAAGTATGAGGAGTCGGCATCCAGGAAAGCGACGTCGTGCACCTTCCACCATCGTGCGAAAGCTACAGTGCTTTTATATTTGAAGTTTTTGGTGTATTTAAAGGCTATGTCCATGATGCCGTAGTATGATATAGTCTTCTCGGTGTAAACTTCACGAACAGATCTTGAGGATGAAAGATTTCATCGAGAAACGTCTTGATCATCTTACCTGAAGCTGTTTCAGCGGTTAGTTTTGCTCTTGAATGTTTTCATTTTTGAAATTTAACCTACCCAGTACGTTCTTTTCGTTGCTCTGGCATTCGTTCTTTACGTATAATTTATCTTTGAATGAAGATCCACCGAACCGTATTAACGCCGAAAAAGAAGCGAAGTGTCGAATCCGTTCAAATAAGGAAGGCTTCCAAGTTGTTGGCTATTGCCGAAAATCGCAAACAAGAGAAGACGAAAGCAACCGACCGCGACTTCTGCAGATTATGATAGATCGTCTGAAAGAGTGATCCTTGTGCGACTGCATTTTCATGTCCCCACGTTCGCCAGCGAAACAAGCAATCGAAGCCAGAGATCGGCGATGCCGCTTTCCAGTTGACAAGTTGCGATACGTGTCTGGAATCGCCCAGGGTATGCCTGTTCACAAGTTGCGATACGTATCTGGCAACACCAGGGTAAGGAATATCGATTTGAATTAAAAAATTACCATTTATCTGACATCTTTGGTAGGGTTACTGGAATTTTTAAGGAAGACGAAGAAAGTGTGTCTCGTTGCCTTCGACTTCGTTGGTCTCACGACCAACCCAGAAGATTTGAAACCTTTTCTCAGGTATGCACCAACGATGTGAGCACACAAATATGGTTATGTGACATATTTCCAATTTTCTCATAGAGAGCATCCCAATCTATAATAATATGCCGTGAAATTGTAGCTTTGCGACGTGGTGGCACATAAATGGAATAAAGGCCAAGCCTCGAAAGGGGCAGCACACTTCTTCTACTAGGGGAAGGGGGGGGGGTTAGCTGGCGAGCAGTCATACCGAAGCCGCACGATCCGGCAATGGGCTAACGAACTTGCCATGACTGGTAATGTCTCCTACTCTATGCAAGGCAAACATTCGAGACCTGTTTCAAATTTGAACCATGGAGCGAATTTTTCTTTTTCTCACGTAGTTAGCTTTTTTTGTTGTTATTCGAATAAACCATTTGATTAAAGAAGCGGTCAGTGTTTATTATACTTCAGCTTTTTTAATGGATCTCGATACATTGTCAAATAATCGTTCGATATCCGGTGAACATCGAATGAATTCATGTTTCCAGAAATCGGTGGCCTTGATCAATTCAATAAATGAGGCTAGCAGACCCCAAGGATGAGGTCGATTAACAATAAGACGCTCCAAAAGCACCCTATAAACAAAGTGTCAACGAATGACTTGTACCGCGAATAAAATAACAGTGTTATAGATATCTCTTACCTTGTGATCTGTTCTTTCACTGCATCGTTCTGCTCTCTAAAAAGATGTAACAAGGCAGAACTGAAGAAGCAGGTGTGGCTGTTCGGATAACGAAGATGATCAACGATACAGTTCAATAAAAGATAGCGTCCTGCATAACAGAGTTTTAGACAATGCTCATTCGTCTTTTTATCAACGTCATTGGTTACATACCTTCGGACGTCAAGTGTTTCAGGAGGTATTTATACACTCGCACAGCCACATTCTCTCCCATGGGCACCTTCATTGACGCGTTGGCGCCAAGGTACAGAACCAAAGATCCTAACATATCCACGCGATAACCACCGTCTTTGCTGCTCACGACATCCAAAGATCGTGCAAAGAAACTGTCGGTTTTACTTTGCAAAAATTCGTCAATGGCAGTCTTGAAACCATCCTCCTTCAGTACATCTTCGTAACTGGTATTCAAATTTGGCGGTTCTTTGGACTCTGGTAATTCATCGAGTTGTAGATCCGCAGTGAAAGGGTCAGGTAACTGCATAACGCGGGGGAAGGCACTGAGGACGAGATTTCGTAGCTGGACACAGGAGTCTGGGATCAATTGCACAAAAAGCATGTAGTTATTGCAGAGGAATTCAGGGAAATCGTGCAATAACACCACAAGAACACGCAGAGCTCCTCGGTAAAACGTCTTTGTGGCTCTTTGCAGTTCCTGATTGGCTAACAATGGGCCCAAGAATTGAAGAAGTGCGCGCAGCAATCGCTGACACATGGTCCATCCTTTTTCATCATTGGTTACCAAGAGCTGTGGCAAAAACGAACGATGAGAAATCAGCTGTAACCATGAGAACGCAAATCCCGGGAAGCGAAGAGGTTGAATAGTATACAGAGCATCACTATTATAAAAAGAACCACAGTGTATTAGTCAAATCAGTTTTTCTGCAAACGCTAATTACCATGTGCTTATCTTTTTTCATACCTGAAAGCAGTGATCATTTCTTTGTCCAACTCGGGAATGGATCCATTACTGAATTCCGTGAACAGCGACGATAAAAGACGCAAGAAAGGTCGCTGATTAAAGTTGGCACCACGCTCCTCATGGTGTTGGGCCAATACAAGGATAACGATGGATAGTGTGTCATTGAGCCACTGCTGTTTCACTTGGTTCGTCTCGGCCGACGCTTCCGAGGATTGATCCAATTTTGTCAAGTAAAAGACGAGCTTCGCAAAGGCGTCGATAAGAGAAATCACACGACGTTGATGAGACACGCGCACCCGCTTGGCAGAAACATATTGATTCACGCATGTTTCAATACACAAACGCAAGAAAAATCTTCGCTGCTCGCCAGTTTCCAATGTAGTCAAAATCTATTGACGGAGCACATAAGTAACTGTAGGGCATAGTCGTAAATACAGTGTGACATCTACCTTTTTCACCAACGAGTCATAAACAGGTTCATGAGCCATAGGATGTCGTGACAGGCGGCTCCACTCTGCCAAGAGTATGCGTAACTGTAGACAGTCGGCCGATTTTGCAATGTCCCGGTACGGTGACTCCATGGAAGTTTTCAGATCTTCCACCAATTTTACAACACTAATCATCTTTCAGTAAGTATCATCTGAATTTCATCTACTCGTGGAGAACTTTAGGACTTACTTGGAGGGGGCTTCATCGCTTTCCACCAGTTTAGTCAAAGCAGACACCGTCAGTATATGATCTTCCAATTGGGTTGCAGGGGTATCGGACAACATGCACAGACGGATCAGGTTGGTGGCGAAATCAATCACACTATCGGCTTTCGCAAGGATCAATTTCGCGAGATGAATGTCGTACTCTTCCAAAGGCAGTAATTCATGACGAATCAACATTGATATAACCGATGCATTATATTTACGCTGTGAGGAGATGAAAAAAAAAATTCCCGTGAGTCTCTTTGCAAAAATTTGGCATTGGGCCTCCCAGAAAACGGCAACTCACCTCATCATCAGCGTATACGAGCCAAGCCAAGGTTTCTTTGGTAACATCGCCCGATAATTCAAAGAGGGATTGCAAGAAAATGGCATAAATCTCCAAAGCAAACGTGGTCGAGCTTTGATATAACATGTAGACTACTTTTTCCACAAAAGTGAGCATGGTCTGCAAAGGTGTGGAGCTTTGACCAATCAACAGCGGAATTTGACGAATCAACAAGCAGATATCATGGTTGGGCGGTAAAAGCGCGGTACTGGTAATACCAGAGAAGCAGATCAGGCGATCCAATTCTAGGAGCATTTGCTCCAACTTAGCTACCAACATGTTGGCGTTCATGCCATTAGGCATAGGAGGAGGAACAGGAGAGCCAGCAGGGACGCCTATGCAAAATGTAAAAAGTTTTACAACCGCTATTCATACAGAATCGCCCATACGTGGATACTTACCTTCATGGTTCATCTCTACGGGAGGCGGATGGTTCATCATGCTTCTAGGATCATGTCGCTCATAAATACGCATCTAAAACATTAACAGTAAGTGTGTATTATCTTGCAGTTTGTCACTCTCTTTGTACCTGTTCTGGACTGACACCATCTACAGCACGCAAAACTTCGGGTAATTGGACATGGTGCGGGACAGCATTCGTATGAAGCGTGTCAAAATAAGCCGCATTGGATTGTTGCTTTAGATGAGATAAGAATGAATATGTTGAAGAGAACATGAAGGTATATATGCCAGGATGCAAACTTACTTCGCGATGAGCAATGCGACTAGCATAGGCGGGAGCCAGCTTTCGATCAAGATCGTTCAGCGCTTTTACTTGAGCTAATTGCTCAACAAACGAGCAAATGAGGTCCAAATTTTCAGAGACAACCGATGTAGCAATTTCATCAGCAAGCGGCTGTATCAAAAGCAATAATGTTCATCATCAGCTTAGACACAAATAATATAGAATCACCAGCTACGTACCTCTGGAACACCGGCCTGTACAAGACTTCCACGAGTCGTGGAGATCATGTTGTTGCACAACGGCTCCTTACAGGTCGCCACAACAAGATTGCCGATCAACAACAACACCATTGAATGAGCAGCACGCTTCAACTTGGTTTCGTCGGGCTCATTAGCAAAATCCTTTAAGATCAGATCTCTTGTCGACACGGTGACAATGCTGCTTGATTGAATGATGATCGGTGGCACAATTTCGGCAAACGAATCAGACAAGGCACGGAAGATCGTGATACGAATGACAGAATGCTGCGCAATCAGTTGAGAAATGGCAGGATTGAACTGCAGTTTGGCCAATAACGGCGAAATGTCCACTTCAGGTCTTTGAGTAGCTGCTTTGGAAAAAGAAAAGGTACAATGTCAGCTATTACCATGCAACAACATTTGGACAAGCTAGATGGCTTACGCAAACTCGGAGTATCATAGCTTGCAGGCTCTGCTCTGGTGGCAATATCGGCCATGCTCGGCATGGGCGTCGGCCGTTGGTCGGAAATACCCTCAATGCCAGGGGGAGCCCGTTTTTCCAGAATAGAAGTCGGCTCAATTTCTAGAAAATCATGATGAGCTTCATATGCAAGAAAAAAAGCCAGTTACGAGCCTTACCATTCAGATCAACGTCCAATGTTTTGTAAAGAATCTCGATTTCAAATTTGAGGTTCAGTCGTAGATCCTCGTTCCAGTACAACTCGGCTAGTAGCTTCATGATGCTCATTAACCATGGATTAGGTGGTCGAAAGATCTTGCTCTTGCTGGCTTCTTGCAATACTTTGCAAACGAGTGGAATCACCACAATCAATTTATCGTTATCATACGCATCCAGCAACGAATCCTGTTATTTGTCATGTCATCGATTAATAACTTTTAATGACATCAACTGATAGTCGAGATAGACGATGTTTACCTTGAATGACAGGTCTTTATGACGAATGGGCTTATTTTTGGCAATGGTCATTTTACCAAGCCAAGTACCAAGGCACTTCAACAGGTTACGGTCACTGGACGAGGTTGCAATGCTCTCGGACTGAAGTAGCAATCGGATATTTCGATACGTTTCTTCGATAATGATCTCGTTCAATTGGAGAATATCCAGTTCATTCAGCAGCGACATGTAGAGATCGTGGTTGTTTGGCTCGATGCTTACGCGCCGCACGACAAGGTAATGACTGAACCAACCCCAGGTAGGTTCTTGCAAAAGCTGACGCAGCTCCGGTAATTTCTGACTCAAATTGCCGAGAGACAGGTTGTTGATAAGAAAAGAAATGCGCTCCTGCACACGGGGTGGTGGGTCCTCGAAGGCTAAATCGGAGGTGCTTTGCAGTAGTGCCGATACGTTACCCACTTGATCGGCGGTTTTCCTCTTTGGCGAAGCTTCCGCGCTGTCGGGACCAGAGGAACGATTCACATCGTCAAAGTTGCCGGCGGTTTTGGCTTCCGGATACTTTTGCAGTTGTTGCATGATCCCGGAAATCGTCTCGGTAATGGGAGGGTAGGCTTTCAGACCATCAACCTTTGATAACAATAAAATATACTGAGGCCATTCGGATAATCGTCGACGGAATTGGAGAAGCGTCTGCACACCAAAATTGAATAATTTTGTTCCCGGCGGTTGACTCAATGCATCAAGGACATGTTTCAAAGCAACACGCAGTAGCTGGTACGATATCAAATGCTGATCAACGAGTAAACCCAGCAATTCACCCGTAGCCAAAAGTTCGTTTTCCGGGTATTGATTAAAGAAACGCGCCTCATCCAACTGATTGTCACGGACGAATTGTCATCTTTTAGCACACGCTGTTTGCAAAGTTTGTTTCCTTGTTGGATCCAGAGACTTACCAAAATATGCACAGTGCAAGAAAAGAAATCCACTTGTCTGGGATCTTTGGACGATTGACAGGCTTTCAGAACAGAAGCAAATCGCTCGGCACTAATATCACCCGTATATAGTCGCTCGAAATAAAGACGCACCATTTCTTCTACATCCGGCGCATAATTTCGTTCGTTGTCACCATCCGTGCTGCCTGATATTCTACGATCCACGGGTCCTTTGGCGTCCATCAGCTGAGAGTACAGTTGACTGTAAAGCTGGTTTAACTTGGCTAGTTTCGCGGTTTCTGCAGGCGACAATGATCTGAAACGTTTTTTTTTTTTTTTTTTTTTTTTTTTTTTTTTTTTTTTTTTTTGGTTTGATGTGAGCATGGATGATTAATAGCGAAAGGGGCGAGATTTGAATATCACGTACCTCTCCAACAAGACCCGGAAGAAAATCATGATAACATCGACGGACAGAGTCAAGCTGGGGATCACCTGAGCTCCGGACTGACGTGCCATTTCAATGGCGCATTTTCTTTCCAAAAACTCGAGACACGCAGGTACTAGGCTCTTGGCATCTTCTGATAAACGTTCTGTAAGCCATTTTTCGAGATTGAGATGCTGCCTTCGTGCAGCTAAAGACGCCAAGTCCAACGTGAAGAAAGGCACCTCGGCTCGCAAAATATATACAAGTATCTGCAGATGGGTTCCATTCGTTAGCGACCTTACCAAAATTTCAATATCGAAAGTGTCCTGAATAGCGTACCTTTGCTTCCTGGGCAATGTCAAGAATACGCGAAATAGAGGTGGCGTCCTTTTTATACATATCCAGGAACCCTTCCAACAACAGTTGTGGATGTACTTTCCATAAAATCATAAACACAAGGTTGGAATTGGCGTGTCCGATCACAAAAATACTGAGTAGTTTCAATACAAGATTCTGATGTAAGCTGTTCTTGAATGGCTGTAACTGAGCCAATCCCAGCAACAACAATTCGGGTGCCTGCAGGGCCAAGCGATCCATGAGCAATCGTACATCATCCGCTGCGGCTGTATCTGCCATGTTGATAATAGCCTCAATCAATTCCAAGCAATTCAATTGTTGCGAAGCCAAGTGAATGGCCACCGGACATGCGTTGGCGGGTAACCCTCGAATGTGTGTCTCGCGTATGACTTGAGTGATGGGGGTATGATTTAAGTCGAGAATATCGGCTGAACCGTACACCATCTGATATAACACGCTTAATTGACTTCGTACGTTCATCCACGGCTGTAAGAATACGTGAATTGGGAACAGCTCCTTCTCATCCTAACATGAACATCATGTCAGTACATGACATTCCCAAGACAAAAAAGAACGGCCCAACACTGATTTCACGACTTACTTTGCGACTTGCTTTCCACACGTCGACCACCATTTTGAAGCCTTTTGCGTCATACACGATGAAATCGGCTCTGTCCAGAATTCCCATTACCGCGATCCAATCGATAGTCGCACTCTATATAAAGGTTTCCAGTCAGCCACCATTCCCGTCTTGTACAGTTTGTACCAGTAGATCATGGTTACCTTTTCTTTAATGGCGTTGACAAAATTCTCGATATGCCACGATTTTCCTTCATTTGCTCCTTCCAACTTGGAATGCGTGCGAACCATCACTGCTAAAGCCTGAGCAATACTTTCTTCTGTTATAGAAATGCCTTCCATGGCCTGCAGGGCGTTTTGTACATTCGCGCACGCGGGATAGCCGGTATCGAGAAGCCTTTTGCTGAGAATGAGTGTATCTGTGGGTTGTGACATTTTTCTAACCAATCTAAAAGGGAAGAAAAGAACTCGTGTAAGTATTTCTTTGTTTTGATCAAACGGATCTCTTGTCGAATAGGGTTCAACGGATACGAGGCCAGTTATTCAGGTACACTGAGGCATATCAGTGGAATCGAGCTGTAACCAAGCAAAACAGCAACGGCGATGAAATAAATATTCGAGATGACAATACTTACAATGAGGTGGATAACACTTGCAAGTCAGGAATGGCAGCGCTGAACATGAACCATTTTTGGGTTGAAAAAAGGTTCGGATCGTTCGGATCGTGTTGTTGACGTCACTTGTTCGAGCCGGGGCGGACCTGAGAAGCTTGTGTTGCGGTGATGTTGGCCCAATGGGCATCGCTCGTTTCAGCTCTTTACTGCTAAGCACCCTGTTTCGATATTCTTATTAATATCTGGTCTTCTGAGTAAAAGTTTTGATGCATGAAGAAACTTATATAGTTGAACAAACTTTTTAAATCGAGGCATATTTCGAGGTTTGAAAATCATCCGGTTGGCTTTAGGTACCTTCGGATTTTTCGATGCTGCGAACTTTGGATCGGTAATGCATAACAACCTCTAAATACATTGACCCACCCTGGGGCCGACTTTCTGGACTTGAGAGCGGACGTTTATCAGTTTTCAAGGTAAAGAAAAAAGAACTCGAGTCCCATTTTGATGACGACGTACGGTGCTGTAGTCATCGCCGTTGCTCATATTTGCCAATCGTGATCCCCTTCCCTGTGCCTCTCCGCCAATTGATAAAGCCAAAACATGTACAAGATACATCAGTGTCTCCAGTGTGTTGAATGCCTTGCAGATGCAAACTAATATTATTAGAAAATGAGAGGAAAAACAAAATAAAAAGAGGGTTATGAATTGTGGGAAGAAGATGGCAAGCTAAAAAGTGGGCAAGTCAGGGCAATCAATTCGAATCGTGACCGTTGCTATGATCTGTAACATGTTTTTGTGATGCTATAGTTTTCTCAGTAAATGACCATAATCGTTTCAATAAGGAAGGCCCCAAAGAGTAGAGATCCAGAACAAGCTCGGCTACAGAGAAACAAAAAATTAGTCACGCATTTTTTATGCGACAGAGCCCAAGATGTGCGCTTACAATCTGTTTCTTCCACCGACATATCGTTCGTCATATGCTGCCGTACAATCGCGTGAAATTGCTCCGCTTGATCGGGAGTCATGGTGCTTAATCGCCTTGCCAGCCCAAGCATATCAAATCCCTACATACACAGAGTTATTTAAAAATCAATCTCGCATCTTCTCGCGTCCTAACAATAAGCTCCACCACAAACAGAGTAATATCCACCTCAGGAATTCCCCACGCATGGCATGTCTCTGAATCCAGCTTCATGCGGTGAATCGGGTTGACGCTGTTGAGATCTCTTTCGCTGTAGATATCATCCACAATGCTTTTATCGTTGGATTTGGTCCGTTTCCTTCGAGATTGATGCTGATCCTCATCTCCAATATCAGACAATCCCGCGATACTAATGTCGTAATCGGACGCAAACCCTAAAGGCGTAATTGAGTTTTGAAACTCGGTAGGGGACGTTGACATTATGCCGTCAGGAGAAGTGAATGACGGTGGCGGTGGTGAGGCTGAAAATGTGGATGGGTATTGCACAGAAGTATTGCCGGTATGATAAGATGGTGTTGAAGGGGATAATGCACGACCGGGGGTTTCTTCACGCTTGACCAAACCCGGTGAGGATGGAATAGGGGATTTCAAAGATTTCGATGCAACATGAGAATGACTGGGACGTCGCTTATTAGCTACAGTGGGTTGGCCATTCGCATTGGAAGGAGGTGCAACATCCGTAGCTAATAGGTTAATCAGTTCTGGAGATGGGTTATTGAACGCCTAAAGACACAGTCAGTTACCCCTTGGTTATGAAACACGATCTGCAAAAAATAACAGCGAGCCAAAATCTGGTGAAACTTACTATGCGATGGATAATCGAGTACGAGGGTTGGACGAAATTAAGATCGAAAAGCATGATTTCGGGATGGGCCAGGTTATTGGTAAAATACAGCACAATTCGCATGTCGAATTCACCCCATCCTTTTTCCTGCAGCGTATACGGTTCCTTGGTAGCCACTAGAGAGAGAATACAAATCCTTGAGAAAACCCTTTCTGACAAAAAAGGCCACAATAAATGTTCCTGAACATGGATATTTACCCCGCCGTGGATTCTCAAAGGTTGGATGTAGAATGTAATCCACATGATCCAATAAAAGTGATAATTTGCCCTTCTTCTCTTTTCCTTTATCGACGGCAACAAGCTTGATTTTCCAATTTCGCCAAGGATGTCCGTCCACCGATTTTGCCCCAGGACCTTTGATGATGCTATTCTGGCAAATAATCTTGATATCTTGCCCTAGTTCCGTCTGAATCGAGGTAGAAACAAGAAAGTAAAACAAAATCAGATACCGTTTTTAGAAAGGGCTGAAGTCGTGCCGTATAGAGGAAACAGGAATGAAAAAAAGTTACCATTGTATTACGCACTCTCCGGCGTGACCGTTTACGTTAAGAAAAGACTATGCAATGTCGTTAGCGACCATGTCAATTGAACATGTCAGCCAAGCGGAAGAATGTGGTGTTTGGCATTGTAACTCAAGTCACGGTACTCCATTGAAGCGAGAACAAAAAGCAGTAACAGATACAAAAGAAACTGAAAAGCGAGGGGAGAGCGTAGTTACCTCAAATTCCCAGAGAGTAAGAACCAATGAGAAAAAGAAAGGAGATATTTACGACGGAGGGAACGAGGTTATGGTGTTGGTTAAAAAGAAGTACAAGAATATCGATCGTCTCCAACCCCCCGAGTCACATCCAAATGGACGGTGGGCCCGTGGACCTGGGAAAATTTCAACTACCGACCTTGGTTCCTTTCAGGATGATTCCATGCATCCACTGACGGTTTCAAGCGTGCATATCCATAAATATACGTTTACACCTTTTTATGTATGCACGACTAAATATAATTATTACTCATACTGCAATGAAGCACGCTGTGTATATGGGCATTTAATGTTGGATCCAATCATGGCCAGCCGAAAGGTGCAGAGAATCAACGAATCAGAGTGAACGAAGAAGCAGTCTCGGACGCCCGGTGATTGAATTCTTGAAGCGGGTTGTGCTCTTGTCCTTTTCAACCCATTTTTTTTTTTGACACTTCAGCGATCGATGAACGACGAGGACGATTTGCTCGACGACAATTTTCTCACCAGTGACTTTCTCGATGCATTGGAACGCCAAGAATCGCAATTTTACAGCACACAGCAAGGCGCGACTACGCGCGTGGGAGAAGCATCGATGTCGGCAGCGCCTCGTATCGCACCTGTCATTATGCGCGATCCCAATGTGGTCGAAGCGACATCCAATGCGCGTGTATGGGATTCAACGTCCCGAGAAGATATCGAAAGTCAGCTAAAAGAGGTACCTTTTTTTCCATGCGCGTATTACTCTGTTCGATGTTCTTATAATTGATGTGACTCTATTCAAGAAAACGCAAGTCATCGATAATTTACGTTTTGCTGTGGATCAGTTACGGTCCAAAGTAATCCACGATGAAACACTGAGAGATAACGCGCTGCGAGAGCTGGAACGATTTCGTACAGAGCTAAATTTTAAAGTAAAGAAGGACCTCATCCAATCCTGGAGTCTCCGTCATTGTACTTATTTTAATCTACAGAGCCATGAACTAGACAGCGCACGTCGAGAATTGCACGCTTTAAAAGTCAAACATGCACGCACCGAAGAGCCGACACCTTCCTACGACAATGCAAGGCAATCAAATACTAATTCTCGAAAACGTACGATACGTCAGTTGGATTAGTTGGATCGGCTGGATCGGCTGAATCAAGAATAAGATTATCTGAATTATTGACAATGTCATTATCTGAATAGGGAGCACTTTTCCGGATACCATGGCGTTCATACCTTCCAAACGCGCGAATTATCGACGAGCAACGCCTGCGCCGTCCACATCGCCAATGTCAGTGGCTCTGGAATCTATATCGTCTGCGGCTCCAACAATTACCAGTCCACAGAAAGAACCTACGCCCGTACTTATACCTCCCTTGCAAGAAAAAACAGTACCACATCCTACAAAAAATCAGGGCAAGGTAGTTTCGTATTGGATTTTGTTATAACGTGGATGCAAGTGCTGAAATGAAGAATCTCCAGATTCTGCTCAAACATCTTTTGCGGAAAGTGTACGAAGAATGGTGCCGGGAACAGCACCAACCGTTTGATCATCACTTTTATGAATCACCGACATTGACAAGTGAACTGTGCACCAAATTGGCTCATAAGCTTATGCCAGCTGAATACGTGACAGAAGGTCATCGGAAACTGGCAATGTTAGCTTCGGATCTTGTCCAATGCATGGCGATGGTCAGCTACAAGGACGTGGCGATCGTCATCCAACAAATGATGAGCATCTTGGGACTCTGTATCTCCATCAGTAGAAAAGAAAAACTGGTATGTGTCTTTGAGGATCCAACGCTTTTTCTACTACTCACGGATAGACGCCGTACCTCTTTTTAATTTATTCAGATCAACGTTTTCAGACAGGCGGTCAACATTATACACACATTAACATCGTCATACAAAGAAAGTTCTCAATACCTTTTATCAGACCTTCATCGGGGTAAACTCATCCATCTCATTTGAAGACCACTTTACAAAAAACAAGCAAAGGTGCTAAACTGCGGCATTTAGCGGATAATTCTTCCACTTTATGGCAAATGGCGGACGGTTTGGCCCTCTTTGCTATTCGTAAAATGGAACAAAACTCACGAACAGCGAAAATGATGAGCTTGGTGCCGGAAGCCGAGCATCTCACTTTTGCAGCTCTGAGTTCCATGATGGAAGCACAAAACATTAGCCCCCTCGAATTGCGCGATATTATTAGCTCGCCTTGCTCACGGGAGGAAGCCCTTCAAACCATTCATACCATCCTTGATATATATGGCCACGTCGCTTCAGGTGCAGATGATCGATCGATTGCGCCGTAAGTGATCAAAGGAATATTTTATACTGATTATTCATTGACAATCATGGTTGCTTAGTTTTCATTTCCTGGCTCGTCATTCTTCCTTTCTTCATTTATTCAATTCACCCGCTTCTTTATGTATCGTGATTCACTCTCTGCAAATCGCTTTACTCTTGATCACAGGTAAACTATGAACACGGAACTTTTGGTCAACCAATTCTCATCTGATGCATCAATTCCAGACGCTTGGAGCAGCGGTATCGTTAACGGTACACCTTCCTTTGTCGAATCGCTGATCTCCGTTTTTCATTTCCAGCGACCAATACAGTATGACGAAGAAGTCAAGGTCAGTTAATCAATCGCTGTCTAAGCTATTGGAAAGCATTGGCTCATGCACAACTATTAGTGGTATAAAGCACGCTCCGAAGCCCTGAGCATCTATGGATCCATGCTGTCGCGACAATTTCCTGATGAGATTGAGTCGGAAATGCGCATGATGGTAAGTCAACCAACGTGTATATACCGCTTGCTGTGACAAGTATATAGGGCTGATCCACATTCCATATGATATTCCAGTTTTTGTCTTCGTTGTTGCATACAGTGAAAATTGAATGTTGGCGATTGCAGACAAGTGCAGAACCGCCTTTTCCACGGATTGCCGAGGAACAAAAGTAAGCTTGTTCATTTTCTTTTACCTGCGTATTGTTGTGTTACCGGAAATTCATTGTCATGCACCTAGTGAAAAATTGTTACTCCAATGCTCATCCTTGGTGATGGTCATTTTCACACAACATCCTGGTATATTTGACGAAGATCAGATGGAGGAGCCCATTACCGAAGCTTTGTCCATGTTATCTGCTGTGACACAGGAGGCATGGGGAAGTCATCATCAAAGTAAGAATGAGTGTCTCGAAGGAAATGGTTAGATTCTCCTCTAAACGATTGTTTCACAGTTCACAGCATTATCCGAAAAATCCTCAAAAAGTTGCAGGCATATCGCAACAAAAAGACCTCCAAGCATTTACAGAATTCATCGCCCATGATCATTGATTGATCCGAATACGTTCGTAACCTGCAAATTTTGTATATAAAATGATCAACATATGAAGCTCGTATCAAAGACTCAAGGATTGGATTCTACTGGCTCAGATACAGTGATTTTTTTTGGTCGTTAAGTTCTTGCTTAGTGAGAAACACTTAAATACCGCGCCTTCTGTTCCCGACGCCTCAGATTTGACAGTTGTTTGCATTACCCACACATAGTTTATTCCACGACGGCGCCCTTGGAAGGTGTGAAGCGAAAGGGAGTTACTGTCTTCTTTTTGATTTAATATACAAAACGAAAATAAAGTGTGGCCTTTGGAGCCCCTTCTACATTTTTCGACTTCGCTTCTGCAGGAGTAGTTATAACCTCGTAAAAAGTGAGATTAACCTGGTGGAAGGTTCCCTTTGACCACTTTCTACCAGGTTAATCTCACTTTCAGTCAAGGTTAATCATACAATGTTCAACACACAGTTAAGATTGAGCATCTGAAAATCTAATATACGATAATATAACTCTATGGCTCTGCTTTCTTCTTTATTGATATGTTCTTTTGGAGATAAAAATGCTGCACCAGCCTGAAACTACTGAAACACGCCAATGCGTTCGCCCATATTCACTTTAGTTTCAACGGAATTTTCGGAATTCTGTAAAAGATCCTTATCCCATGCCACCACGTCTTTGGGGAAGACGGCAATCACAGTGGATCCGCCGTATTGGAAATAGCCCATTTCTTCGCCTTTCTCAAGATCGTTGCCAACTTCATTTGCATGGGTCAATACAATCGATCCGACGAGCAAGGCGCCAATGGGAACAACAGCATATCGGAAACCCTTGTGACTCTTTAGCGTCATGACCATACGACGATTTTCCGTGAACACGTTTAGATTTTCATTAATGGTGCATGGATTCACTATGGGAAACGCGATCATGTCTCAATAATGGTATGTTCAAGCGGAAAGTGTACAACGAAGTACCTGTAAAGTAAGTGCCTTGAATATCTTTGATGCTTTCGATTGTACCACGTGTCAAGCTATGCCATCGGTGATAATCTTGAGGCGCTAATCTGAAGATGGCTAAAGAGCCTCCGTCCAGCTCCGCCGCCAGCGCTTCGTCCTGCAACAAATTTGGCAAATTGAACTCTTTGCCTTTAATCCTATATGCCAAAATGAGTTCCCTTCTTAAAAAATCAAAACGATAACATTAAGTGCTGGAGTAGATGGTCATACCAAAATTCGGCTGCGGCATCCACTGTATGAAACACATTGAGACGACAATCTGCAGCAGATATTAACACATCCTTGAAACCGACGTGCAACCTGTGAGTCACCCATGGTTCTCTTTAAAAAAAAGGTTGACGGGACTTACTGGATTTTCCGCATCTGCGATGGGTCTTGCTTCAGGTTTGATAGCTCGCGTGAAAAATTCATTGAAATTTGTATAAGCATTGATGTCCTGAATACAATACTGCGACATATCGATGTTGTAATGATCAATAAAAGGCTCGATCTGCTTAACCGAGATTGGATCTATGAAAAAAGTGCCTTGACGTCTTGATTCATGAAGGAACAGCTTATGCATCAAATGACTGTCAACCACTACCAGAAAAAGTTCATCATCAGTGACGCCTAGTATCTTTGAGGACAAGAAAAGCAGAGTGAAACGATTCTCACTTTTTTGTCGGTAATGGCCCACAAACAATAGATGCATGCCGATTCGGGTATATATGGGCATCTCTTCGTAGTGATATTCCCCAGTCTATATAATTTCTCCATATTTAGAATGACGTCCTTGCGAAAGCAACAAAAGAAGATGGTCATGTGTAACCTCGCGGAGGACAACGAAATTTCCGTAACGTTTCTCGATGGCTGTTTTGATATTCTCAGGAAAAAGATGGGTATGGAGCCAACCTCGCAATAGCTTTCGTTGATACCAATGTTTCGGTGCACTTGGGGTATGAATTCCACCGTTGACTGTGATTTTCAGGGTGAGCATTTCATGCTTTGTCCGGTATTCATACGGTAAAAGGTCTTTTATAGAATGATACGCAACCTGTTTTCCCCTGTAAGCTTTCATCAACCGTTTTGCTCAGACTCTATGTAAAACAAAATTAATGGTAAGAGAAATCTTGATTTTACGAGACGGTGCTAAACCGATCCGGATGCTGTATTACGTTCATAAGCCCGTCTGTATTATCATTTTCGATGTGATGTTCCACTTCTTCATGAGTGGACAAAGGGATCTCGTCAACGGTCATCTTCTTGGAAAGATTATTTAAAAAAGAAGAAGGAAAAAAGACGGAAAAAAGAAAGCAATAAACTCATCCTTTTTTTAGTGCCAAAGTTTATTTAACTTGATCAAGCTCGCTCAGCCCGACTAGCCGATAATTCCGTCCGTGTTGGATGCACATATAAAATGAACGCCTTTCAAAAATTTGGTGTTTGGTTGGCGGAGATTCAAGCACGGGTTCACGATCCAGTTGCCTTTTTCTCTATTGCCACTGACAGCAAGGCCACAATAACAAATGATGATTGTATGTTTTTGGGGGTATTTTTCGTTGTCATGATATTTGAGCTTTTATTACATGATGTGATAGTTTTACTTGAACGCTGAAAAAATCGATGTACCCAATAACTTATTAGACTTGTTTCTTTTCATCGGCGGGGGTGCTGCGAATTACGCGTTTTTGCACTGGAGGATCGAAAGCTTCCTTTTCGGCTTCCTCTTCCGTCATTTTACCCTCATGCTAATTCATCCATGAGCAAAGCAAAGAAAAAATAAGACTCTAATCGTTCCTCACTTACCACAAGACGAAGACGATAGATTTCATCATCCAAGCGCATATTGTCCACAATCAAGTCACGTGTATGATTAAGAATACTATGCACAAAAGGGTTTAACCTCCAAAAATCCCTCCGAATCATGGACTGTCGTCACTTACAGCAATAACAGTAACGTAAAACCAGTAAGATACCTTGTTATGGATAAGACGTCAGGTTAACTTTTCTTACACTCACATGATGGGATGGTGAGGTCACTTACATATTTCGTTGAGCATAGAATTTCTTGGCCGCCAATCCAGCCTCTGCACGAATATCGTGGGTCGCTAAGGGAGAGCCTGCGTCATCTTCAGTTTGAACGGCTTCATTGATGGTCTTTAAGCGGTTAATGGCATCTGTTGGGCTGGTGATTAGATTTTTTGTTCCCATAACACTTTGGTTTTTTTGCTATTACCAAGGAATAAAACAAAAATGAACCTAAATAAGTACGTGTTAGTTCCATCATACATGGGGTTTCCGGTTATCTTGTACATTACCCAAAGACAATTCTTAGAATGTAACGTGCATGGGCAACCTAAACGTGATAGACACGATAGAGGGTGAGTATTCATATCTGATACGTGATGCACAGACCAAAGAAACACGTTACCATGGGGGATGTCTTCATCCATCGATATACTGCCTTCTTCCATTGAGTAGGGAAGGGGATCTATTACGAATTCAATTCGTCTCAGTAACTATGCAGACGCGCCAAGTTTCCTTTTTCCATTGACAAACATACCATAAGCAGGAAAAAGGTAAAGACCTAAGTTTTTTCGAGGGGCGTCAAAAATCATGCGATTCGTACATATGAATACATGGTTCCATTCTTACCTCTACCGCAAGGATGAGAAAGACAATAGCATAGTAGAGTGTCATGTTGGTTTTGAAAAATAAAAAGGCAAAGAGAATAAAAAAAAAAGTGCATGTTTGAGGAGGGTGAATCCGATTTTTATACGAAAGCTCAGCTTGTCCTACGTCATGGTGGAGTCATTTTGCCCATCCGCAAAAGAAAAAAAAAATTCCCTTTTTCTCTTTGGGCGATCGATTTGCTTTCCTAACTTTATTCATTGACTGTTCAAGCCCGCATCTGCATTCATTTTTCTGTCATTGAAATTGTCATCCCTTAGGTGGCAAAGTAAGACCGGAGAAGTACCGTTCGTGAGAAGAGCCATCCACGTACTGAATCACCATCGTGTAGCTCTTCTCATTCTTTGAATTGCTGGTTCAGTTGTTCTATGGAAGAAGGAACTGAGAAAGGCTATGGGTACGCTGCCGGTGTGGGAGACCATATGCTTGACCCAGTATCATTAGCTGTCAGTGAAGCAAGGGCCAGAGCTTCTCTCAGATTCGTTCCATCGAGAGCCAACTTCATTAAGAAACTCTATACGTAAGCTGACTGAAAATGGTGGCCTTCTTGTTCGGCATATAGCTCATGACAAGAGTAAAATGCATAGGATGATTGACGATCCCAATATAGAGCATCTGATCCGTTGGTCCAGCAACGGCAATTACTTCATTATACTGGATGAGGCGGAATTTTCGAAGTCTATTTTACCCCGGTATTTCAAACATGATAACTGGGGTAACTTTGTTCGCCAACTCAATAGTAAGCGTTCAATAACTTTTTTTTCATTTCAACGCGATGTGCATGTTGACCTTTTTATTATTTTTTTCATTTTATTGGCAATATTAAAAATATGTCGCTTCAGTGTACGATTTTCATAATGTCAATCATCTGCTGTCACGAAGCTCCAGCAAGGGTCCCAAAGACATCATACCCGAGGCCGCGTACGCGTTCCAACATCCATTATTCTATCGCGATGGACATGGTGACTCTCAAAATATTCGAAGAAAGACTTCGGCAGCTCCTCCTCAGTTGCGACAGAACCGACGGTCTTCTTCTTCGCAATATGAACCAACACGGTCCACTTTGCGTCAACGCTTGGAAAACTCCGTCGGAAACATGAATCGAGATTTGGAACGACTAGAATACTTTGTCAGAAATGTTCAAAATGAAATTTCCACCTTGGAAACCAATGTCATCCAGCAACAAGAGGTAAATACTCTCGGACATTATTTTTTATGTGGTATAGGATGGTATGCTTTAAACTATTTCGGTCACAGATGATACTACGATTATCGGAATTGCTTCGCGACAATATCAATGACTTATGTAAGTATCAGCGGGTCGTGTTCACAGTCATGGGAGCCACTATGGGGTTTCATCAGATCATGGGAGAGGATATTAATGTCTTCTTTCTTTCTATTTCTTGTAGCCAATTTGCGGTCTGAGCTTGGCCGTCATTAAGTTTTGTTCGACCAAAAGAGAGAACAAAGCCGTCTTTGAAGAGTCCTATCGTCAGTCTTTGCTTTGGAAACAGCAGAGAAAACAGTTTATCAAAAATGTCACTCGTTGATATTCACAAAGGATCGTTATATGCGCAAAGGAAGTACACAGTCATCATGTTACTTGCCAACTGGTTAATAAAATTATCTTGGGCTCCCTGTTGTCGTTTCTGATAGACACAGAGCCGTTTCACTTTGATATATGAATGCACCATCCTTACTCCACCCCATGGGTCAATCCATCGTCGGGATTTGTAATGAAAAAGTATCTGTTCATTCGTTCTTCTTATTTTTGGATGCGTTAGTTCAATGGTGCTCCATTTCGAGCTTTTTGAGTTGAGTGTAGCGATGCTGAAATGGTATAAAGAAACGGGGTTTTGGAACATCTTTGTCAACCCAAGCGGTGTGGAACAGACGGGGGATTCCAAATTTAGACAAACACGGGCAACAGCATCTGCATTTTTATTTTCCCTTTATTTTTTTTCCTCTTGAATACCTTGGGTTTTCTATTTCTTCTCGAGCAAAAAGTCGGCCACAGCAAGCATGTTCGAGAATCTCGTGAATGCCATTCATTCGGACTCGCAATATTCCAACAAACATGCAGGTAACTAGTTGAAAAGATTCAATTCTCTTTCCCAGCTCAATGCTCACGAAGGGACTATCCTGCTTTTAGTACGAGTGAATGTCTACGACATGGTTTGTGAAGCGTGTTATAATAGTGGAGTTATATAAAAAAAAAGGGTCGGCCGACTTATTGCAAGATATTAGTTAGAGCGTAGTTTTGTCACGCAGTTTGGATATTATGCGCTCGGGATGGGTAGGAAATACATTGGGTCTCACAAAGCGACTCAATCGTAGCGAAAATTTGGACTGACAAACTTTTTTGCTTTCAGGCATATTCCATTCAGGATTAGAGGTATACGGTAAAGAATACTGTTTTGGTGGGCATGAATATCAGGATACCACTGGCGTATTTGTAATGGATCCTAAAATGGTGCCACCTGAATTAACCTTCAAGTAAGGCATTGAAACATGACAATTTCCCCTGCCTTTCCCCAAATACATGAACGCTCACTATCACGCAGGCAATCAATTCATATGGGATATACCGATCTCTCGGAGGACGAGCTGGCTCAAGAAGTAGCCATTATATCACAAGAGTTTGGAGGAACTTCGTACAATCTTTTGACAAGGTGAACATCAGTCATTAGAGATGGGATCAAATATCGTACCAAGCACTGATAACAGACGCTGTAGGAATTGTAATCATTTCACTGAGGAATTTTGTCGACGACTCACGGGAAAACAAATACCGGCTTGGATCAATCGGGCAGCTCGACTGGGCGCACTAGTACCCTGCGTGATCCCGGGTGAATGGATTCAACCGCCAGAATTTGAGGATGAAGAAGATGGTAAAGAGTTCAGTCCCATTAATTCTCTTTTGCGGCCGTCATTTTTAATTGTGATTCTTTTTTTTTTCGTTGGTCTTGGTAGTTGCATCTATCATGGCTTCCGCCGAATCTTATTCTTCCTTACGATCCATCGCTCCTAGCCGATACAGTACAAACAGCAATCGAAGGCTTCATGCCCCACCCTACCTGTCATCAGTACGAGCCAAGGACGAAGATGAATCGGATTCCGACCATTATCGGTCTTCTTCCAGCGACATTCCTGCAACCCATCCCTTACTTAATTTTCAAGGCATCAATAAACATAACAATAAAGATATCTAGTATCAAAATAATGTGTATTAGATCCTTGACCGAGAGCAAATCAAAGTAAGATTTCTCGTCTACAGAAACAAAAAAAAAAAAGATAAAAAGGAGGCTAAAAACCGGGAACACTACAGAGCTTTAACTGGCGTCACATTTTCGTTTTCCCGTTTGAGGCGCAATGTAGAAAGGATGAGCTAGGTAATCGGCATCGGCGTCTGTTCGTTTGAGACACGTCAAGCACACTCGAATATTTTTATGCCCAACCACCGCTTCCAATCGTTTCGGTAACGGGCGTACGGTCATTTGCAATGGAGACGACGTACTACCTGGCAGACCAAAAAGATGTTTATCGGCTGTTTTGGTTCCTTTGGGTGGTCGACCTCGCCGCGGAGTCGAAGTGGCGTGCGTGGATGGTTGTTGGCGATAAACAATATGCTTGGGATGTTGGCAGTAGCCAAGTCTGGCATTGGATTTATTTCGTGCTGGCATGCTGTGCTTGACAGGCATCACCAGTGGGATTGACTTGGATCCTGGCTTCCGAGGTGACATGTGGATACAATCGGCATGGTTCGTCTCAGGAAAAGCCGAAGACGAGGGAGCCGAGGAAGAAAGAAAAGCCAGAAAAGCCTCGTCTTCCAGTGGATCAGAGACAGAACTCGAAGAGAAACTGAGCAAGATGTCATGGTCATTCTCCATATTGACATCATTAAGTGCTGTTTGTGTCGTTTGTGGAAGAAGCTGAGGATTAAAAGGTGAGGTAAGCAGCATCACATCCGACGGTAGCAAACTGAGCGATGCGGTTTTCGTACATGCTGTCGATTGCTCTTGCGAGCAAGCGTCTAAATCAAACTTTAACATCACCTGAATGCGCATTCAGGTGTGTTTGATACGCGGTTGATGTATGTACTTTTATTTCAGATAACTTTGGTGGGTCTAACTTGTACCTTTTTCAATTGTGTGTATGAATAGATGGATCGTAAATGCCCCATTTTTTTTTTTAATCGATCGAATGCCCGTCTTTATAAAGATCACTAACCGACTGGTTAAAAACGAGTTGCTTTTGGTTCATTCGATCATCATGTGAAGAGCGGACAAATTCATCAAAGCAAAAACAATGACATGGCTCACGTCCCCTCCCAAGACGATGGCCTGTTTTGTTCAGTAGAAGATCATGGCTCACTCTCGCTTCCGATTCACCCATATTGAAGCTATCATCGGTTTAGATATAAGCTTTTTCCTGATAGCTGCTTGTATGGCTCTACAGTAAAGTGTTGGAATATTACCTTGATCGGATGTATTTTCCATTCTATTGCCCATGAAAAGATAGTGGCTAATAAAGGATTTTTTTGATGATCATCAGTCATCATTTTTCTTGATAAAAAAAAAAAAAAATTGACCCTTTTTTATCAATGTATTCTTAGGCATGGAACACCTGATCTTTATTTTCATCTATAACTCTTGTTATATCGTTGCTGTGTGCAATAATAACCGTTTGGATCATTTTGGTCATGTTAAAAGGTGGCGGGTTCCAGTAAGCTTGATTTCGATGGCCAATCATTGGAAATTTCCGCTTCGTTCCGTTTTAGGTCCCCCCAGATTTGTCGCTTTTTTCCTTTTCTATTCGTTTTTATTTTTATTGGTGTTTGTCACGCCTTTATTTCTTTGTCATGTACCGTTTGATCAGCGTCGCTCGACAAGGAGCCCAATGTGCTGTTAGAGCCCACAGTGCTTCACTGCGAGCCGCTATTCCCAACCATGTGCTTCGTTCCGGCTTTCACCATCTCGGCAGTCAGCGCGCATCCGCCTCGGATCACTGGCCACAAGCCAAATCACACCCTCTTGTGGATAAACTGCGCCAACATCCTCACATTATGCAGCAGCTGATTGACTTTACCGCCCTTTTGCAAGAGAAAGGGTTTGATGTTTCCGGTAAACAACCAAGCATGATGCAGGTCAGTTGGTTTCGAAGAGAAATGAGTGGTGCATGAGACGTGTCAACTAAAAGATGCGTGGGGTAGATCATGAAAGTCATGAATGATGCCGAGATCAGAGAACGTGTCAAGAAGCTTGCACAGGATATGCAGGCTGCCGGAATTCAATTGGATATGCAAGCGATTGCAGAACTACAGAATAGTCTAGGACAGCATCAAGGCTCCGGCGAGTCTGATGAGCAAAGCGAAGGAAAAAAGAGCCCAGTAATGGACAAGGTGAAAGGTTTCTTCAAGAAATAAAAGAAAAAAAAGGGAAATTTGGGTAGATACGCACAATGGCCGAAAGTTGTAATGTCTATTGATTTTATTCTTTTGATTTCGCGAAAATGCCTCAATTTTTTGAGCCGTAAAGCAGTAATCATATTCAGTTCAACCCACAAATGCTGATAAATTACAAAGACGGTTGATTCGCTTTGTGGTGAGCGCGTTTGGGTGGCAGCCCCCCGCAGGCACTGTTCCACTGGGGGGAAGTGCGCAATGATCGGCTAAGACATGATATCATAATGATATCATCATCCCCATTCTATGGAAAAAGAAGGCTGGTTATAAATACAGCGCGCATTTGGCCGCTTATTGCTTTAATTACGTGTAAATTCCCATTTTTTTTAATTCAATCAAAAACAATGTCCAAACCTGTCGATTTTACTGCTGAAGCACCACAAAACAAAGACGGTAAGCACCATTCGTAGGTGATTTTATCCACCTTCGGCAAGGTAGACTGATTAAAGATTTAACTTAGCACCGTGGCAAGCCCCCATTTCGCCACGCGGCGAGGACCCTTGGAATCAGTCCAAAGAAGCTCGTCAACACCCGGAAGAGTTTTCCACTGCACACGGTACCGTGGACTTTGACAACAGCTCAGATGATGCCAATTCTTCGCTGCAGCAACACTCGCAGTCTTCAAAGAAAAAGGACCCTCACAATACAAAAGATGCTCAACCTCATGATAACACAGAAGGATTCGGACACACTGTATCGCAGCCTCACGTCGTTGATAGTACCATTAAGCGCGATCCTGATAACATTGGCGCATAACGTAAATGTCTGATCGACCTGACAATACGTAGACAATTTCCTTTTTTTTTTCTCGTCTCTTTATTTTTGTATCTATTCTATATTCCCTGCAGCAGGACTACTTGTCAAATAAAAACACTTCTGTCCAAATGTCGGAAAGACATGTCATCGGAAACATGGTCTGGCCGAGCAATGATTACCACACGACATACAGCATCGGTTACCGCATAGAGGTGCTACACAAACAAAGTAGAGAACCAGTGCGCGCGGTGATGTCTGAGTCGAGTTGCCTTAGGTTCTGGACCCGAGTGAATGTAATCAACCATGATATACGGCGCCCGGATTTTTTTGGCATGTTGCGGGAAAGTCATTGAATAACAGGCTTACCACTCCCAAGGACGCGGAACTGGATGGATCAGCGTGAGCCAATAAACTGTATCCAATGGTGTTTAATTTCACCGCTGAAATGCCACACTGCGAATTGCCACTTTTGGTTGTTGAAAAAGGGGGGAATTGACCGACCACACATGGCCTGCGTCCTTTTTACCTTTATTGTTTTCTTGTTATCTTTGACCTTTGTCCTTCCTTTCGTGCTTGCTCCAGTTTTAATTGTTACTCTCATTTTTTTCCCTAACTAGCGTTTTTCGTTCAATCTCAAAACACATGGATGTGCGAACCACTCGACATACATCAACTGATCTCGATGAAATCAAGCGTAAAATCGATCATATCCTAAAGGATCCGGCGGAAGCATTCGCCCAGACCACCATCGACATTGATGCCATGACACTATCTGAAGCCAAGGCCTTTGCTGAACAAGGTAACGAATTGTTTTGCTAAAAAGTGTATCGTATAAAAGTGTATCGTATAGCAGAACAACAAAAAATGTTGGCGTTGGATCTGATAAATACTAAAATAGCTAAACATATAGGAGGATTGGGGGCTTGCGTTTCCAAAGCAGATGTATTGGCCGAGACTTCGGAAGACCTTATGTATCTTTCGGGTTTGTCACTTGGATACTACCGGTTGTCTTGGTAAAAGAAAAAAGGTTGTTGACTTGACGTTGACTAGGGGAACGCATTGTGGTACTGAAACATATCAAGGATGATACTTATCTGGTAAGTTAAAAAAAAATCTCGTAATCAATGAAACTTTGCTCTATGGATGAGAACATCTTATGATCGAAACTGAAAGGGATACTGTGAAGGCGTCATTGGTCGTTTCAATGCCGAGACGGTGCATTTTGTCGAACTTGATCCACGCGTTTTGAAATCTTTGGATGCCGACCTCGAATTGACCCTGGATTCACTCTATCACAATTCCGATAATAATGATACTCACCAGAACCATTCGCATCATCCTTCCGCCGCCTCTGATTCAGAACCACTTCCGCGCCAGTCATTGCAATCCGTATCCTCTACCTCCTTTTCCAACGCGGGTGATCGACCATATCCGGCAAAAGCGAGTCTTGAAAGTTTCGCTACTCATTCTTCAGGCTCGGCCGCAGATCGACACCATCCTCGCCAAGGCCCTTATCATCCTCCACCTCCTCCAGTGATCCAGACGGCGGCTCTCTATCCTCGGGAACCTTCCGAACACTTTGATACTTCTGATTTTAACGACAGTTATTCCAACGATTTCGATCTCGAAGAACCCGCCTCGGCTCAGCCGCAAGGCATTTTTGTCGCCCAACAGACCCAATCACCTTCTGTCATGAGTCCCGGTAAAAGTCCATTTCCTGTCACGACAACTTTAAAGAAATCCGTTAGACCCAAGATACCGTTGAGAAACCGGGTACAGGATGACAGCAGTGAGGAGGATCCTATGCAGGAAGATGCCGATCACGATGGTGACGATGAAGATGATGAGACGGGTAATGACAGTGGGATTTCATCCAGGGGAACAAAATCAAGCGCTTTGAATGGATCGACCGAAACAGCCACGGTGGATGAATACGGATTTATCATTGATCCGAAAAAATCATCTACCAATATGTCGTTTAGGAGGTAACAACCACGCACGTTCCAGCACGGATTCATCGTTGTACTAATAGGGATAAGTGCAGCCATCGCTCGGATATGTCGGCCAAATCCATTAAAGCGTATCGAGAGCGTGAAGTGAAATGGTTGTCGATTGTCGGAAAGCTTGATGCAGGTACCGCCAAGAAAGACGCCAAACTCAAGAAACTGGTCCGCACAGGTATACCGGCATCGGTGCGGGCCCGCGTCTGGCAATTTTTAGCTGGTAGTGCGGAATACAGAAAATCAGGCATGTTCAAGGTAAAACCAAATAAATTCGCGTATGAAAGCTTGGGTATGGGGGAAGTTCGTGGAATTCACTTGGGAATATTTGTTTAGGAACTCGCCCAGCGACCGAAAACCAAAATATATGAAGTCATTGAACGGGACATTGCGCGATGTTATCCGGACCACACTCAGTTTAAAGATCCCAACGGTCAAGGACAAACCGATTTACGAAGTATTCTTCAGGCGTACTCTCAATACAACTCCCAACTGGAATACTGTCAAGGCATGGGCCGCCTTGCCGGGTGTATGCTGATGCAGATGCCTGTGGAAGTACGTTGCGCAAAAAATTGCTTGATGATAGATGTGGGCTAGTAGGCTTAACATGGCTCGCTTAGGACGCATTTTGGTTACTGGTTTCGACGATTGACCGATACATGAATGGCTATTTTACCCCGTCATTGTCGCAACTTCGTATCGATGCTTATATTATTGGTCAATTGCTGAAAGATCACCATCCTAAATTAGCGCAACATTTGGTGAGTGAGAGCTGTGCTCGCAATATAGAGTCTCTGACGATTGATAAACCTGTGTATGCTCTTTCAGGAAACAAACGATGTGCTACCGATCATGTATATTGCGCAGTGGTTCCTCACTGCTTTTACCATGACGTTACCTTGGAATTCCGTGCTTCGAGTATGGGATGTATTTTACTTTGAAGGTAAAAATATATACGTCTGTTGTATGCATGACAGATACAATATACTGATCGTGATGAACTTGATGAATGTTTAGGCGTCAAGGTGTTTTATCGCATCAGTCTAGCTATCCTGGAACTCTGTAAAGGTATCACAGAAACAAAACAAACAATAACAAAGATTAAACATGGAACCACGGAAAATAGGTACTGACGAATAGGTATTAACTTTAGATCATTTGCTTCAATCATGCCCTACCAATTCGGAATTACTTGCATTTTTGCTTCATATACCTCATGAATATCTTGGACCTGATGCGTTGCTGGACACCGCTTTCCGAATTAAATTGTCCAAGGTCGATATCCAACGCTATGCGAAAAAGGCAAGTACAAGCAACGACGCTGCGACGATGGGATTGCCTTTTGAGCATGGTATCAAGAACCTCAAAGTGGGGAACACCACGAATTTCTCAAGCCCCAGTTTGCCAAGTCTCAAGGGTCTGAGCGGGAAAATCAAGCGACGGAATTCCAGCGGCCATGTGAAGGATTCCTACAGCAGCTACACTTTACATGAATCATAAATCATAATTCCTCTTCAACCCATTCATTTCTCATATTGTCTTTTCTTTTAATAATCAACATTCGTAATAATCAGTGCCTTTCCCTTATTTTGTTTCCCACATCGATTGTCTTGACGCAATAATTGACGAGTTTGGATGGTGGGACGTGCGTCAGGTTTAGGAGCGGAACTTGATTTTCTCTCGTCGGCTGAATTTTCGCCGTACGATGACGGCAAGTGATTGATTGTATGACCTTGCCGTTGAATTAAAAAAAAAAAAGGACAACTCGGGAAGCCTTTTTTTAAGTTTTTTGATACTGCCTTATTTTTTTTTTTCTTCTTTTATTTTCTGCGTTCAACATTTTATTTCTGTATTACAAAGTTCATGAGCTGGAAGGTAATTGCAAGCATTCCTGAAAGACACGTACATGGCTGTCATGGTGTTGCTGTCACTTGTTGACATGGTTATATTCTTTTTTGTGATGGTGTCCAGGGATTCCAAAAAGCTGTAAGCCGTCTTCCGCATCAAATTCTTTCCAAGAAATCCGAGAGTAAGTGACCCAGAGTTTGGAGAGGAAAAAGATCGATCGGGAATGGCTAAATATAAAAAATTGGAATGAAAACAAAGCTACCAAGGATGCGGAATTCATGGCCCTCGAGAAACGATTCTCGGACTTTACAAAGGTTGTAGAACGATTTTACAAAGATGCACAAACGTTTCGGGATGCAATTTCATGTAAGTCCTACTTTTTTTTCATTTTTCCCTTAATTCTCAAACTTTTTGTTCATCCGGAGGGTCTGTGGGGCATGCGCCACACGTCAAAAAGAGACCATGCCCGTTTGCAACCATTGAGCAAAAAAGAAATGGTGTTACCGGTGTGACTGATTTGATGCGATTTTGTGCGAATAGCCGTGTTGATGCATCAAGCTGCTATGGCGGGATTCCTTGCTACGATCTATGACACACATATTGGCAAAGAAATTCCAGAAGGCGCCATTCAGAAACGGGTCCAACAAACTCCGGCGGCATCGTTACAGGCTGCCAATGACGCAGAAGCCGCCATGGCTTATTGCCGGGATGAAATATTGCCTGAATTGGTAAGCCAGACATATTGATTACCACGTGGAGATATGACCCATGGGCAAGCATTCTCATGTTTTGGATGATCAAAGGATGCTGTGGATCGTGATATTGTAAGACCACTGTTGGAGTTACTGGAAATCATGCGAGTGATCCAAAAGACGATTGTAAAGCGTAACCATAAATTGATCGATTACGACCGTCATCGAGCATCTTTGAACAAATTAAAAGGAAAAGACGAACGAAGTTTCAACGAAGAAAAACAAATCTTCAAGGTGGAAGCCCAGTTGCAAACCGCCACCGACGATTATCAGTATCTCAACGTCATGCTGAAACAACAATTGCCACAATTTTTCCAGCTAAAGACGCAATTCGTTCAACCCGTATTTGAACACTTTTACAACCTCCAGACGAAAATCTATGGCATGATCTACGCTCGTTGTTACGAATTACTGAATGCCAACGCAGACTATTTTGTCACCAGCCAAATGGGGATCGAGGATGGTTACAACTGGAAAAAATCACAACGCGATGTGCGAGCGGAAATGGAGAATATGGATCTTTTGAGATCAGGAGGAAAAACTTGGCTTGCAGGTAACACAGAGTGCAAATGAGCAATAAGACGGAGTCTGGATGAAGAAACAAAAGTGATGAGAGGAAAAAAAAAAAAGGAGAATTCAAGGGAGATTCCAAAGGAGGCCAATGTTTAGGTTTGAAAGGATAATATCACTAACGACTGTGCCTTTTTTTTCTTGTTTATTTGTTGTCGACGATCAGCTTCGGGTGGAGCCAACAATTCCAAGTTATCACTGAAGGAACGCGCGGCATTGCGAAATCAAGAGGGTGGCGAGGGGCTGCCGCCCCCTGCGTACGGTTCTCCAAACGGTGGTGTCACTTTGGTCTCAACGCCGATGGGTTACCCAAAAGATTCATGGCAACAGTCGCCGCATTTCCAGCAGCAGCAGCAGTACCAAAATCAGGCAGGCCCTGCCTCACCACCGCCACCGCCACCCATTGCCAATCGTCAACCTGCAGATTACGTTATTGCTCTTTATGATTACACCGCTCAAGCCGACGGCGATTTGACGTTTAAAAAGAATGATCGAATTGAAGTGGTGGAACGAACCGCTGATCAGAACGATTGGTGGACAGGACGTCTGAATGGAGTCACCGGTATCTTTCCTGGTAAGCCTATGTGATAATTTTGGGTTTGAATGCAGGGGCGCAAAAATAAGACGATTGGGGAACAACATGGAATTCGAGACTAACCAAAGGATGTGCATGTCGAATTGGACGTTGTATAGGCAACTATGTGGCCAACGCCTAATTTATTACACTGTATTCCCTTTTTTTAATGTGCATGACTGGCTTTGGCAGCCACTTTGATTTTTTGTTTATCTATTACGAGGCGAAGACTGATTACTTTTTCTGTTTATTTTTTGTGGATGGAATCAAAGAAAAATAAAAGCAAAAAAGAAAAAAAATAGAGAAAACGAAAAAAAACTAAACAAAGGAGACAAAAGGAAAAAAAAACGTACAAGGATTGCATATCAAAATATTTTTAGTGTAAACATACAACATAGATCAAAGTGAAAGAAGAATAGTAGGTGAGAAATACGAAGAAAAAAGCCATGTGAAAAAGAATCAGAGGAAAAAAAAAAGGGTATTAAAGAATCGTAAGAGTGGTGACTTGAGCTTGTTTAGAAATTTTCGGTTTTCGATGTTTTTTGGTGTTTTTCTTGCTTGTGAAAGAATATTGATTTTCGTTTCTTCTTATCGAATTGCATGTTGATTGGAATGGTTTGTTTGGTCTTCGTATGGAGTCGTTGAAAAAAGAAAAAAAAAAGCAAGTCAAGTGGAGTGAAGAGAACGTTGGCAGAGATTGACGAGAGAGGAAACAAAATTCGAGTCGAGGTGGATAAGACGTCCGATACGAGGAATTAATATGGAGGCAGAACATAGTTCACAAATCGTGCCAATTCAAAAGAGTTGGAACATCGTAGTAAGTTGCTTTGAACATGAGCGTCGATTTCCTGCAAAAATAGAGAAAGAAAAAATAGCGGGTGAGCAATCTTTGGTAATGCATTGCATTTTTCCATTCATCGGTGACAACAAGTTACCAATAAGACGTCTTTAGCCGAAGGTCGTGTACGTGGGTTTTCATCCAGCAACCAAGCAACGAGACCACGCATGTACATGGTGGGATAGCTGTAAGTGAACGTGGGGCTGGGTTCGCTCAGAATAGCAGCAAACAGTTCAATTTCGTTCTTTATAAGATAGTGAGGCGGTACTCTGTCCATCATTTCAATGATAGTGACACCAAGAGACCACATATCAATCTTTTCGTCGTAGTACTGTTCCCGAATAACTTCGGGTGCCATCCATTTGCTGGTTCCTAATCTTTCTCGGTTACGTTTCGTGGTGCGAGTAGCCAATCCAAAGTCAGCTACAGTCAGTCATCGAACAAAAGAAAGCCAAAAAATGGTAAGCATGGATACATGTGGCTTTTTTTGTCTTTTTTCAGAAAGCGTACCTAGTTTCACTTCACCATTCCAACCTAACAAAAGATTTTCGCATTTGACATCACGATGGATAAATCCTTTGCTGTGAAGATACATCAGGGCCTTGAGGGTTTCACAGGTAATATGAACGGCATATTCTTCGGGAATGCCTCGTTGACAGAGAACGGCAAACACCGAGCAACGTTGAAGATCCATGGCCATCCAAACATCGTCACGCCACAATGTTACTTCACGTAAACGGATAAGGTTAGCATGACCGGTTGCCATGATACGCAATTCTCGTACGATAGCGGCTCGGTATTCACGGTCGGGGTCTAGCCGACATCGTTTGATGGCAAGATGCAGATTCTTTTTGTAACGATGACTGGCTCGTACAACCGATCCATTGACACTAAAAAAAGCAAACATTTAGACAAAAAAAAAATAACCCAAGTCAGCCCAACATGGGAAACACAAAAAGGTTGAAAACGTTTTCGTCCAACGCAGTGGTTATCCACGTCGGCAAGAAAAAAAAAGAAAGGGAAAATAACAAATAATATTGAAGAACCACAGAAATGAGAGAAAAGAAAATGGAAAGGATTGGATGATTTTAAAGTTGGAATGGTAACCATACCCTGTTCCGATTTCTTTGAGACCGCCGTACTTGTTACGCGGATCAAGCGAAGATACTTGAATTTTAGGCAGCGCTTTGCGAATTCTACGTTCAAATTCGTTCTCCGGTCGGACCAAGGGCGGCAATTGCGGGATCTCCGAGCAAAGGCCCGCAGGCAACCATGGTCGTTTCGAAATATGCTTTTGCGGATTGTATTCACGTAAGCTGTACGTCTTTTCTTGAATCGGTTCAGGTTTAAGAAATGCGTCACTGCCTAAAATGTTGGGAATTTCATAAAATCCTGGTGGACGCCACACCTCCTAAAAAAAAATAATGAAAATTATTGGTGAGAACATGTGACATCGCAACCCAAACCAAAAACAAAAAAAAGAAAAAAAAAAGAAGGGGCTGGGGGAAGAGAGGGATGAAATGCACACCAGCATCACACACACACATATATACACACAACACACTCACGCACCCAGCTGGATAGTGAAATAGAGACAAGTCAAAACCAAGTCTATGCTTTCAATTTTTGGGACGATCTGGAAAATCCATACGGCCCAAAAAATATCAAGCAAATGAATGGAATGAAACGGAAGAAAACTCACTTTGTTGGGATTATTGGTGGAGTCCATTGATTTGGTACTTTTAGTGCTGTAAAACGAAGCTCGTCGCAAGCAGCCAGTTGATCGTCGTTTCATCGTCAAGTCCACCGTCATCATTTCGGCTTTCAGTCGCATTTGCTGGTTATCGGCCGTCGACGATGATTTGGATTTTCTGAGGTTGCCAAGAGACGACCTTTTTTTTCCAAGTAACCCTGGCGTGCGCTATCATGGCCATCAGCTCTTTTTAGTTATTTATCATCGTCAGGGTGAATGTGGGAAGAAAACGATGGAGAAAAAAAGCATAAAGATTTTTGAAACGTGGAGTTCTTTTTTTTTTTATATCATGATAACAAGAGAAGAAAAAGAGAGAATAGGAGTGAGAACGTTGAGGAAGAACATATTACTTACTTCTCTGCTTTCTTTAGCAGCGGCAAGCATCGCTTTTCCATGGGTACTCAATGGCGAAGTGTGTTTATTGGCTGTAAGGGTAGGGTTGATACACTGGAGCATGATTGTCGTTCAAGTCAGATGGAAAGAAAAGCAAAAGGTCAAGTCGACTTTAAAGCAACAAGCCAGAAAGTAAAACGTAAATAAATAAAGAAAAATACGATGCAATAAAGAAGTTAAGAGTGATAAAAAAAAATGATAAATATAAGAAAAAAAAGAAAACGGAAATCTATAAAGGCCACACGATAAAAAAGAAGCAAAGAAAATAAAAGAAACCCAAAAAAAAGGACAAATGCATATTTATTGTTTTTTTGGCACACATAAAAAATGGGTCCAGGAAACGGATGGCAAGTCGCACGTGTGGAATGTCCATTAATGGCTATTTTTCTCTATTTCCACATCCGCCCACCTTGCTGATGATCATCGCTTTCTCGCTTTGTTCTTTCCTCTAAAGACAGATAAAATATGATCTATCCACGTTAAAATCTGTGGATGAGGATGGAATACAAGAACACTCATGGTTTTGATAATACGTCGCTTAAATGTCGGTCTCCAATCGGAGAATGAAGTGTGTGGGTGGAAGACTTGGGTGAGGGTGCCTCGTGTCATTGAAAGGCAACGTGGCAATTTGAAGGATCGTTTGTCGCACCACACTAGCCATCTCAACACCGTATGTTACAATCGCAGAGTGAAAATTAGGCTCAAGTTTCTTGATGAGATGAAAACGAAGGAAAAAAAAATTGAATCCGTATTTTTCCTTATAAATTGCTGGCTAGCGTGATATGATCCCAAAACATGTTGATAAACATGGCTTCAGCAATATTTGTACGACATTCACCGTATGTAAAGTCTCCAAGCGTGGAAAACAGATCGTCATGCCAGCGTCGATGACGGTGGCACATCGGAAGATCCTTCAAAAAAGATAGAGAATTATAAAAAGACGAGAGAGCACGCTATTGGATGTCGCACAAATCTGGCCTTCAGCATAATATAAGCGCGCATGAGCCAGCCGTTCTTCATTCGCGTATTGTTATATTGGGTTATTTTTAATTTTTGTTTTTCCGATGATATTGTATATTTGAAATTGCTGTAGACAGAAGATCGTAGAAAATCTTTCATGTGTCTAGATGAATCAGCATAAGCAGTGTTCATGATATTAATGTGACGGATGAATAACATTGGCCGTCGCAGTGATGATGCATCGAACCCAGATATTCACATAATGCACGTTGCATTATTTCATAGAATGGTTTTAAGCTCACCGGTCTCTGTTTTTGTCGTTTATCCATTTCGATCTGCAACTGACCACCACTATGTACGGGCAGCATATCATGATCGTCATGCTATACAGTTAGCCGACGCGATGGGAAAGTAATAGGTCATTTTTAGCGGATGATACCAATTACCCGACATAATTTGTTTCATGATTCCAATTTAGATAAAGTGGAAAAACAAAAAAAAAGGCCCATTGAACTGGTGGCGATTCTCGTAGACATTGAGGCATAAACAAAGAAGCATAAATAGAACATTAGTAAACCATGCCACCACAATTGATGTGTGGAGAAATGACGGAATGGGCAAGTCAATTTGATATGGACGGACTGTCTTGATATTTATCATCAGAAATAATCGTGATTTTAGTTGTTGGATAAAGCAAGATTATCAAGGCACGGAAACAGGGATGAGGCTGCGAGAAAAAAAATGAGGTCTGGTGTTGTTCTGTGTTTTGCTACATTGTATGTCTGTAATTGTCTAGTGCGTCGGTGCCACGCCCAAATGACCACCTGCCATCGATTTACACCGTTCCAGATCGTTCCTCCTTTTATTGGTTTCAGATAACGGTTTCTTTTTTTCTTACTGTTTACTTTGTAAGCGCTCTCTCATTGGCAAAAAGTGTGCCTACGTAATCAACAACATGATGATATGTATATTACTATAGTTATTGGCAAAGAAGCGGGTCATCTTGACCCCGGAATACTGTTGCTGGACAACGTTCACCCTGACAGTTGAACGTTCCATGCAAGGGGGAGTTGCCAAAAATATCGGACTCTGGGATCTAGCATGGGAAAAAGTGGCAAATTCGTTTGCGTCAATTAAAGCATGGTTTCTGCGAAAATATCGTATTTAGCATATCTTGACCGGGGTGGCGTGCTCAAGTTAACATGAAACACGGCCGTGGATATGCTTGTAATAAAAATGAGTTTAACATGTGTCTGTTGCATTTTGAACGAGTTTCGCACCCAGCGTATGACAGCCCGACATAATAGACAATTAAACCCATCATGCTGTCAGTGGCGAACAAGGGACAGACAGCTGTGCATCAACTGGGGGCGGCGAGGGACGTTCGGAGGAGGGGGAGAACACCGCTGTCTAGCCCTCCATCCTTCCTAAATCCATCACCTCTATCCGGTTACACATCCTTCGCGTCTTTTTTTCGACTTGTCGTCGCTGTCATTCTTGCATGTGAACTGTGACCGCTCACACTCACCGTACTCACTTTTTTCGGTTTATAGCGAGCGTTTGTTCCCGATTTGCTTTTATAGTAACTTTCATATCCAAGCAACGCCAGTTATTTTTTTTTTACTGCGGTTCACGGCATGAGATCATAGGGAAGCACAATCTCTGTTCAGCATGAACAAATTACATTAACGAGCGCAAGTGTAATTAACAAACGAAGTTGACTGAATCAATGCGTTGACCTTTGTTAAAAATCCCTCGCAATGCTTCACCGTTTTGATAGAAGACTTGTAAAAATTCTGTGGAAGGGTTGGGTGTTGTCGTTTTTTGGAATCCCAAGTTCTCCAAATGCGTATGACGTGAAAAAGTCCAAAATAAATGGTGACGACTAGCTGCCGTTGTCTCACCACCGAGATAGAATGTTCCCATGGCAAGCCTTACAGCGTAACACCTGTCAATCGATATCTATGCATAAACGGGAAACTGAAATACTCGACAATAACACATGTTATTGACACATGACGTTTCGAACTTTGGTTAAAATTTTTCTACATGCGCCTCTACTAGGTGTCTTACAAAGCTGTTCAAGGGAGCTAATGGACTTGCAACGAAAATCGCTGTATCTTCCAAAAGCCACATTATTTATACAAAACAAACATCTACAGTAAACGATCACTCTTTCGCTAGGTCCTTGTACCGATAATTTTTTGCTTGTGATGCAGCCAGTGAAGCATGAATCTGTGCTCCGGCGCTTCTCTTCATGAGGGATAGATAGATCTGGCCCACTTTGGTTGCCTGTGTTCTTGTTCAGGCAGATATAGAAAGTGTCGACAAAAAAAATCTTTAAATGAGACAAATCTACATAATTACAAGGCACAAGGACAAACGTTCGATGCTATCGGACTATTCCTACCGGTTCCGGTGTTTGCCCATGGGCAGCTATATATTGCTATGTCACGCGTACGTAGACCATCAGCGATAAAAATCTTGATCGTTCGGGATGCAAACGATCGATCTACAGAAGTATGCACCAAGAACATTGTCTACCGCGAAGTGTTTGACAGCCAACAGCTGGATCGTTAAGTTCTTGAATCACGCACTGCGCTATGGTCCTATTTTGTATCCTCATTTATGTATTTTATGTTTCTTTATGCCTTTTAGTTTGTGTTTTTCATTGTTTCAGTACGTTTTATTGTATGCTTTTTTTGCCTCATGTTCCTTTACTTCTATCCTTATGTCTATGTTTTTTTTTTTAATTATCCTTTACCCCTATGTTGTGTTTCTATCATTCTTTTATGTTTTACTGTATGCTTTTTGTCCTTATGTTCCTTTGATTTTATCCTTATGCTATGCTTTTTCCAGGTAATGATTTTTCTGTTATATATTTTTGTCTCTTCCATTTAATATTATATGATGTCTAACTATTTCCGTTCCTGACTTTGCATACATATAGTTGTTCCTCTGTCGTGGATGAAGAAAATGATCGTTATGTGGCGGTGGGTCAGGGAGGGCAAGCCCCCGGGAAAAAGGAAAAGAGACTGAGCGTCATTGAATGTGCAAGATTTATGAGCACATCAACTAAATCTTCCCGAAAAAATCAACCCGAATGGAAGCTTATTGACAAAGATTAGAGTTAAGAGAACACCATCAAGCGGGACCTTTGGATACACAAATTCGAGTGCGGAGTTTTGAGTATTGCAAATGGAATATCTCATTCCAAACACATCTTTAATCAGCTACTATTCCCACTTCCCTCAGAGAAACATCCCTACTACACATCCAAAGAACCAAACTTTGTGATCTTCAAGATCACACGCGCAACTAGTCTACATAATCAAAATCTTTGGGAAATTAGCGATTTGTAAATCACATGATCTACACTAAGTTATCAGGATCTGTTAAACGTTTTTTTTTTTATCTTTCAACCATGCCACGCTGCCCACTTTCACGATAATAGGCGAAACAATCAGCAGCAAGATGCCGTTTGCGCCAGTTGTGGTTAAACAGAGTATCGTCGTCTTTCGAATAAAAATGTGAGTAGAGCTCTTTTTGAAGAAAAGTGGTTGATGATAGACTGGCGTTCTTCTGTAGCATCATTCAATTTTTTTTTTTTTTTTGGTCAGTTATACTGTATATGTCCTTTCATTCTCTTTCAATTTTCAATTAATCGAATAATACATAAGCAGACGTGCTTCGATCTATGAATTCATGCATCAGTGGGGTGACTATTGTTTCATCCATGGAAAACCATATATTTTTCTCTTCAATCTTATCTTTTTTCTTTTGATTTTCTCTCTCTCTTTCTGTTTGCTTGATAAACCCTCACTATCATTGTATCAAGATCCCATCCGCATCCATCATCCAGACCATTCTTATCCTGTGTATCTAACTTGGTTAAATCGACCACCATCCTCAAAAAGGTAAGCGTCGAGTGGTCTACCATCGATTTTGCTCCGGCAAAACAGACTTGGGGACTCTCGATATCTGGAATCCAACTCGAAGTTACCGTCACTTCTGGCCACGTCAATATTTTTTGCCTGCTCAAGCTGACACCACCGATCCATCGCTTAACTGTCCCTGGAAGCAATTTTATTTTCCGCATCGAAGAAGAAGCTTACCTGGCGGTCCGTATCATCTTTTTTTTTTCCGGTACACCATTTGGTTCAAAGGCAAGTCCAATTTCTTTTCCTTTGCTATGATGTAATGAACGTATACTAATTCAAATTTTTCAATACCATATAATCCAAGCCATGTCAAGCGATCAATGGCAATTGAAAACTCAAATAACATAGGTAAAATATCTTGAGGAAATTTGAATCAAATCAAAGAGCTTACTAACTCTTTTTTTTTTTAAATACCCAACATTCCCACACATCATTCTAGATCTATCATAACCTTGGGCGGGACGGGACTGAGGGGGTCAATAAGTGCTGCTGCACACATGTTTGGAAATCATGACTGTACGGTATGCCAGAGTATTGACATTAATATACCAAAGTTCCATCAAGAGTCTCGCCCAGGTTATGCCGTATTGCGTTAGGCTTTTGTCTGACGAATGTCGCTCAATGTAAGGGGGCGGCGTCCAGTAGCAGGTGGCATCCATTGCACAGCGGGTGTACGGTTGTTAGAAAGAAGTGTTGGAGAAAGATAAGAGTATTGACAGACCCGAGGGGTCTGATTCTAATATGATACTGTAGGCCTTGAGACCTGCTTGATGAACGGTTATTTTATCAATATTTCATATGATCGAATCTCCTCATTTCGCCTTGATTTTCAGGACACAATAGCAGTACGACGATATTCGTATTGATACAGTAAACAAAAGGGGTGTCAAGTTCATGCAGTGGCAATAACACAGTCAAATATGATACACAAAGCCAACTGATGCCAATTCAGCAACTATTACGAATTGCATTTTCATGCCAAAATATTGTCAGCCATCGCGCCCACTATTCTTCCTTGCGAAATAAACACTTTTAGTATAAGCTGGAATGCGAGATTGCTTAACACTCAATATGTCCCTTACAATAAAGCAACTATTTTATCCATTTCTTAACAAGCCGTACACCCGCTGTGCAATGGATGCCGCCTGCCACCGGAGGCCGCCCTCTTACATTGAGTGAATTTCGTCAGACAAAAAGCCTAACGCATACACGGCATAACATGGGCGAGAACTCTTGACGGACTTTGGTATATTAATGACAACCTTATGGCATCCCTTACGTGGTGATTTGTTTCTGAACACGCTCAAAACAGCACTGATTGACCCCTCAGTTCCATCCTGCCCAGGCTATGATCGATCTAGAAAGATGTGTGGGTATGTTTGGTATTTGAAAAAAAAAAGAGTTAATAAGCTCTTTGATTTGATTCAAATTTCCTCAAGATATTTTACCTATGTTATTTGAGTTTTCAATTGCCATTGATCGCTTGACATGGCTTGGATTATATGATATTGAAAATTTTTTAAATTAGTATACGTTCATTACATCATAGCAAAGGAAAAGAAATTGGACTTGCCTTTGAACCAAATGGTGAACCGGACAAAAAAAAAAGATGAACACCGACCACTCGATCATTATAAAATGAAGAGAATCAAAGGACATATACAGTATAACTGACAAAAAAACTAAATTAAATGATGCTACAAAGACGCCAGTCGCATCATCAACCACCTTCCTTCAAAAAGAGCTCTACTCACATTTTTATTTGAACGGCGACGATGCCTGTTTGCCCACAACTGGCACAAACGGTCATCATCTGGCTAAAAAAGGCGCAAAATTAACAGGTTCTGATAACTTGGTGTAGGTCATGTACTTTACAAATCGCTAATTTCCCAATTTTAAGTATGTAGATTTTGTTTTTGTTGGACTACTGTAACAGTCATGGCATCACATCATATTCAAGAACAAAACCATGACAAACTGGTTTCCCATCTGTAATTGGTGACAGATCTTAACATGACATTTTTTTTTTTTTTTTTTTTTTTTTATCTTGGTGATCCCAGGACTCAAACTCGATTTATTGCAGTTACAAATATGAATGGGGTTCTGATGTTGAGATATTACATGATGAAACAATGAATGGATATGGAGGATGGTGTGATATCGCGAATAATGTTTTTTTTTCTACTGCTGTGCACATTGAACACCTGAACGCGGCTGGGTTTCATCGTCTTCGTCAGGTGCTTGTGATGAATACATTTTGGAAGTTTGATAGCTATCGAGTTCACTCATGACAACGTCTTCGGCGTGTCTGTCGCTAAAAGTTGGCAATGGCGGACGAGGGGGCAAAATAGCTGCTATTTTGGCGAGTTGATCAGGGGTAGTCCAGTGAGGATCGGGGAAAAGGACGTTGAACTTGACGAAAAGACTGCCGTGGTTATGATGACGATATGCTGGCATGCCTTCACCAGGAATCACTTTGATCGTACCCGGTTTAACTACTTCTCCAGGGAATACAGTCACATGCAATACACGGTCGTCCAAATGAGGTATAGCAAATTGGCCACCGGCTAACGCCGTGGCTAAATCAATGGTAGCTTCATAGATAAGATCGTCTCCTCTGCGTTGGAATAGTTCATGTGGTTTTTCTTCGAGCATAATGATAATATCGCCAGGAATGATGCCGGGAGCTTGATCACCTTCGCGTGTAAAAGTGATCTTTTGGTTATCTTTCATTCCTTTGTCAATGTGAACTTCAAGAATCTTTTTTTCGACAACGACCTTTTGACCCAAACATTGACGACATCGGTCTCTGTCGTTGAACACCTGACCTTCACCTCGGCAGTCAGGACATGACTGCTGAATCTGCTGTACCATCGGACCAAACTGACGAGTGATGATACGGACACCTTGACCTCGACATCCACGGCAAGTCTGTACTGAGTCTTCTTTTCCACCGAGACCTCGACATCCACTGCAGATCACATGTTTTTGCAAAGCCAGCTTGGATGTTTTTCCTCGATACAGATCTTCCAGAGACACTCTTAAACGATGCATCATATCTTTGCCGCGAGGAGGACCCGAAGGACGTGAACGACCGCTACCGCCAAATAATCCTCCACCAAAAAGTTGGGAAAACAGATCCTCGGCATCCATTCCTCCAGCCATACCGGCTTGCCCGTTTAATCCATCTTCACCAAACTGATCGTACATTTGCCGTTTCTGAGCATCGGATAATATCTCGTAAGCGTGCGAGATTTCCTTGAACTTTTCACCCGCATCGGGATTCTTTCCAATAAACAACAAATTGATAACTTTTTTAGATTCTGCCCTGAATGTAACTGTTTTTTTTTCAAAGCACGCTTCGTTTTTCCAAAGTTTCATCTGTCTACCTTGTCAGGATGGTACTTGAGGGCCAGCTTTCTGTAAGCCTTTTTCAATTCGCTTTCAGTTGCATCCGGAGTAACGCCCAAAATATCATAAAGAGCGGTTTCGCGCACCATGGTTTAGTTGGAAAAAGCAATCAGGAAATTGGGCACAAAAGAAGGGGAGGAGAAAAAAAAAAACAGGTGGCAACTGATTTCTCAGATCCGTTCGGTTTTTAAAAAGGGAAATTCGTAAAAAGTTCCACATCTTTCTGGGGCATTCTTTGGGTGTTCTATGATTGGTCGAATCCGCCAATAATTCATGGTTGCAAAAAATGTTACTGACTTTTTATTTCTTTATTGTATTTTTTTATCAAGCAAATGATGAAGCCTCATGAGGAAAAAACAGGAGATTAGTTAGGTGGGTGGAAAGGCTCTACCAACATTTTGCTGAACTCCTTGATGTCGTTGGTGCCTCTTACTTCTTTGGTCAACAGAGGCATGCGTACAATATGGAAATCCTCATAGAGATCGTAAATTTGTTCTAGATATTTCTGCTGCATCTTGTGTCTGACATTACAGTGTTCGCAATTGGAACCTACAAAAAAAAGAGGACAAAATAAGCAAAGAGCGCCCTCATCCTGTTCCATTCCTCGAGTTTTACCATCTTTAGGAAATAGAAGCTGATTCACGACAATATTGTGGGTATCGATGTGGTACGAAGTGAGTTCCTGAATCATGCGCTCCGTTTCATAAAGTGACAAGAATTCCGAAATGCATACGCAAATAAAAGTCGTAATATTCTAATTCGTTCACGTATGAGTCCCATTTCGTTGCTGCAGCCTTTGTTTCCTCCTTCTTCTGACTGATTTAGTAGCGGGATACTTACAGGATCCTTGAATTGATTGTTCACTTCAGTGATGACAGATCGCATCTCTTCTAGTTTGCCAAACATGTCTTCTTGATTTTCATTCAGGCCCATCATACCAGACATCTAAACAAGCGCGGTTTTCTTAGGATCTTTTTTTCTCGGCAAATACACTGGATAGATATATTTACCTGTTGGAACATGGGGCCAAAACGACCACTTAATCCACTGATCTTGGCTAAAGCTTTTTCGAGGACGGTGGGGAAAGAAAGGAAACGTAAAGTGTGTCCGGTAGGTGCAGTATCAAAAACGACTACGGAGTAGGACATGGTCTTCACTTGCCTAACCCCATCATGGCGCCGTTTAGCTAATGTCTCGCTCACTTAATTATTTTTGCCGTGTCACTTACTTCATGACTTCGGCAAAACCCATGGCTTCATCCACACCAGGAATAGCATAAGCCAAGTCTTGCATCATACCACCCATGGCATTTCCTTGATCAGCTATCAATGGCCCCATTAGTTTTACCGTTTTGTGACATGTGACAATAGTATGCAGTGCCTTACATTGTTCAATCATCTCCTGAATGCTGGAAGTGGGATCAATTTCCTAAGAATGCTTGTCAGCTTTTGCACACCATATAGCAACGCGAAACAAAAACCGTCCCAGGACTTACCATGGCATACAAATTGTCAAAACCATTGACAAGTGTGGCTTCTTTGGTGAATTTTTGTCCAAATGCGTCGGACAAGTTGTGGGCGGGATCCGTGGAGATGAGTAGAACGGATTCACGGACTTTGGACAATTGGACGGCCAAACTGCAGGAAGTGGTTGTTTTACCTAGAGTTGCAAAAAGAACAGTTTGCGTTAGATGAAGTTTTTCTTGGAACGGGCGCCATCCGGCCCTTGGAAGCTTTTGTTCTTTCCCGCTCTGTCAAAAAAACGCGTGGGACCACTTATTTACCTACACCTCCCTTGCCACCAACAAAGATCCAATGCAAGGAAGTCTGATCCAAGACATTCTTCAAAGTAGGTTCGAGGGGCTGAAAATCGTCGTCGGAATAATCGGACATGGTTGTTGCAAGAAAAAAAAAGGGCAACCCGAATAAAGAAAAAGAAAAAAAATCGATGAGTGTCGCTTGCGTCAGCGGGAGACATGTCTGTCCGTTCGATCGGGGACTGAATTTAAAAGCCGTGATCAGACCCGGGCAACGGTTTCCCAAAAAAGGAAGGTTGGAAAAAGGGTCCGACAGGCGTTTGGATGTTTTTTTTTTTTCTTATTTTCTCGATGTTCAATAGAGGAACAGACGATGTGCAGGAGGGGGGTGTTGACTTTTTTTTTTTAACCCAGAGACTGGGATTCTATTTCTTTTTTTTTTATAATGAATTTTTGTGTCGGATCTAAAGTAGCGATGGCAACAAGTGGTAGTGTGGCCTATGCTTTTTTTTTTTTTTTTTGGCAATGGGTGCTTGACGACAAACGTAAAGATATTGCAACGGTATATGATCGATGTTTTTTTTGAAAGAGCGCCATGGCATCATTCCAGGCTTCGTTGAGAGAAAGCGAAGCTCTCATTCACTATGTTTCTTAATTTTTTTGGTCCACTTTTGAGCAAATACCGAGCCTCTTTATTTTTTTTTTGTTTTTTTTTTCTTTTCACTAAAATATTCCCTCGCAACATTATTTGCCGAACTTCCCTTTTTTTTCGTTATTTTTTATTTTTGATATTTTTGGTTTATTACACTTGGAGCGTGTGTTCAACAACTTTACTTACCCCTCCCTTTCCTTTTTGCTTGGTTGAAAAAAGGCATCGATACACAGATATACTTTTTTACCTCTTTTTATCCATTCTTCGATAACTGTCTTGTTCGATATTTCGCTTTTTTATACATTATATATTTTTCAGTGACCGATACCACCCTCCATGGCCCAAACGGCAGCGTTATCTTTTTGTTACGCTCCTCCGACTTCCCAACAATACGATCTCTGTGAGAATAAGGACTTACGCAATGCCTGTCAACAGATCGTAGCACAGCATAATTGTCAGATCGTCATTACCGCAAACGACGCTTCGCAAACCATCAAATCGCTCGTCGATACGCCCACCAACTACAACATCACTCTGACCGGCGCTTTCAATACCTTGATGGCGGCTCGCGGTGATCTACTTCGAAATTGTCCTCTCAAGGTAAACGTCCCACCCGTCATTCCCATCGTCCGATGCACCTGTCTACGTTCTAAACTTCTTTTTCTTACTTAGATTCAATTAACTCTTAATATCCCCGCTTCGGAATGTTCCAATCTTTCATTAATTCGAGATCATTGCAACAAGATCGAAGCCGAGACCCATACAACCATCACTATCGCTCCACCTCCCGCACGACGATCGTCTTTCAGTTCTGAAAACTCAGTGGCCATTTTGATCACCGGCTCACCGGATCACGCCGAGCTTGGTCGCGTACGAGTTTTGGTGATGCTCGATGAATTGGTGAGTTCGAAATAAAACTCCGGTGAAGAGATGGGCCTGTAGCTTACTCTTTGGGCTCGGCCCATGCACATGTCCAACATCTTATTCTAATTTTTTTCATATTTTTAACCATGGAAACTAGGCAAATCTTCGTACTGAAACTGTCAAGATCCCCCTCAAGTTTCAATACCTTATTTGCGGCAGAAGACGTGCCGGATTGCAACCCATTATTGAGGAAACTGCTACCAATATCTATTTGCCCTCGCCTTTCATTACACCCTCCATATTGGATCAGATGCCCGAAGATGAATTTGCTCCTCCCATTTATATTACCGGAGAACCAAGCAATGTATCACGCGTCAAGGATATGCTCATGAAATTGTCCACCCAAAAGGTAAAAAAAAAGATTCTCGGGATCTCCGTTACGGAATGTTTTCTCCCCCCCGTCCTTTCGAGAATGACGACAGACAGAAAAAAAAAACCTACGAGGGATGGAACTGTAATTATGGTTGGATGAGATTCTAATGCTCCAACATTGCTACTATAGGCCAAATCCATGTATCATAAGGAAACCATGCTCCATGAACAGAAAATCGATTGGATGTTACTCCATCGTCGCGATGAATTACGGAAAATCATGCATGACAATGGTAAATTTGATACCATTTTTCTCTTCCTATTGATTGCCAACTTACATAATCTCTTTTTTTCGAAATTTCTAATTTAGGGTCTTTTATTGAGTTGCCACTTGTCGGATCAGGCGAGAATAGAATTGCAGTCTACGCTGAAAACCGTGTGAATGTGGAACGCACCCTCCGGGCATTAAACTTTCTGGTAACGTAGAGACTCAGCATGCAGCAACCGTGCTCTCCGACAATATTGGCTTTTCTTTTTTTTTTTTTTTTTTTTTTTTTTTGGGCTCACCGCGTTTTTTTTTTTAATTTGCATTGACAGGCATGCAGTATCTACAAGGCGTATTTCTATTTCCATGACCATGATGGCACTGTTTATGATGCCAGTGATGGTCATTCGTTCTTTGATTCCATCAGCAATTTAGCCGGTCTCGCGTCTCAACTTTCGCAGGTTTCCGGTGCTGAAGTTACTTACAAGACAGAATCAGGTTGCGTGGAGGTACTTGGCACCGAAAGAGCGATTCGCAACGTGTATCAGCGATTGCAAGGCATGAGCTTTCTCAAGGTACTCTTAATTTTTGGAGATCATTGATGAAATAACGATCGTTTTATTAACAACGCGTTTTTTAGGCGTTTCATCATTACAGTATTTTCCGTGTCGAATCATCCAATGAGCAACGCGATTTCATCAGTGGCAAAAAGAACGGAAAGATCAACAAGATTATGAAAACTTCCGGGGCCAAAATTCGATTCTTGCCCGGGATCAGTGACTACAATTTTATTATCGAAGTGGAAAGCACCAGTTTCACCAAAGCGTTGGATGGATTGACATTACTGCAAGAGGAATTGCCCGCCGAGATCTCGTTTTATGTGCCTGAATCATATCACAAACGGATCATTGGCGTCGGTGGCAAGAACATCCAACGGATCATGAAAAAGTATGGTGTTTACGTCAAATTCTCCAATACGGAAGAATTTGCGTCCCTCGGTGGATACTACGATAATGAAGATAATGTGGTGGCTCGTACCCCCATGAAGAATCAGATTAACCTTGATAATTTGCGTCACGCCGTGATGGAACTGATTCACCCCAAAGATCGCGATTTCGTCACCCAAGTGATTGCTGTCCCCTTTCGATTGCATCGCTTGCTCATTCACAAGTATCAAACCAGCTTTTTGACGGAAGAAGTAACCAAGAAAACCAATACACGCGTCTTGTGGCCGGATGGTGAACTTGCCAGTGACACTGTGACGCTGATTGGTCCAGAGGCCCAAATGAGCTTAGCCGTCCAGATGATTCAAAGCATCGTGCCTGACGAATATGATCTGCACGTTCCGTATACAGCCGTTCTCGTTGAGACCATCCAGTGTGAAGAATTCCAATCGCAAGTCGTCGCACGATTAGCGCAAATGAATATACGTTTGGATCTCTCCTCTTTATCCTCCATGCCTTCTCCACCGACCTCCTCATCATCATCATCAACGTCCCCTTCCATCACCGATGGACCCGACTTTGTCTTACCACTGAAAATGAACAAGGCGAATATGGACGCTTTGCCTGCTGCGCTCAATATCCTGAATGATTTCCTACGAAGCCGACGAGTCACCATGTACGACGATGCCGTCCGGGTGACTGTGGGTGTTGGGGAACCGAAAATCGTGCCAACAGCCGTACGCTCGGATACCATCACGACTCGAGCCACGACGACGGCTATCCAGCAACCACCCGCTCGTTCATCGAGCTATCCCTTTTTCAATGCATACAATACCGAAGAAACCACATCCACATGGAAAAACTTTCCGGATCGCTCTGTGGATAACATTCGAGCCATTTTTGACGCGCCAATGGACTTGACCGAGCAGGAACGGATTGTCTTGAGCAATTATCGATATCACAGCATGGGAATGCCATCGTCTGGTTTTGGTTTACCAAACGTGACCACCACCCCGGCTAATAAAGACATCTGGGCCACGCCAGGTCAGCGAGGAAGCATTGGTGGCGGAGGAACAAGTAAAGTGCCGGGAGCTGGCTATCCTGGACCCGTAATTCCACCTGTCACCGAGAGCCGAAGCGCTACCAGTAGTAGGGTATGTCATCGGTGATCTTTTTTTTTTAATGACTGAATGATACTTACTTTTTGTTTATATTTATCAATAGATGTTTGCCATGGATGAGCCTCCTTCGACACAATTTTTGAATATGGGCATGCAAGCCAAAGATTTTGATCCTTACAACGACGATGATGACTTGACGGCTGCATTAAAATCCAGTCAACCTATTCAACCGCCTATGCCTGAAAATCATTTCAAGGTGCCGGCATTCGGGCCTGGTCCTTACGGAACTTACCCGACGCGATCACCACCGGCGGATCCACAGCAGTTACAACGGCAGAATTTCATGTTTGGACCGCCGTCCTCCGATGACCCTCATGGTAAGTCAAATGTTTTGCGCTACTGACGTTTTTTCCGGACCATCATCCTCTAAAAACCATTGATTTACAGTGTCAAGTATTCTTTCTTCCTTTGATCCGTCCAATCCCAACCGACCACCGGCCCAACGCCGAGAATCATCCAAAGGACGCCCGCCACCAGGAATCGATATCTAGACCTTCATCCGCTATTCCTCTTTACTACATCTTTATCCGAAAATCGAAAAAGAAAAACTTGTCCCTCCACATATACTTAATTACATACGTAAACCCTTCATTAGTAATGAATATCCTATATACAGATCATACAAAGATCAAGAAGGAGAAAAAGGAAATGTAGTGAGCAGCTCTTTTTTTTTTTATAACGGCTCTTTCCTATCCCATTAGTAATTAAACTAGAAGTTATTTTATATATTTGGTTGCTCATTCTCTATCATCTGATTCCTCTTTGATGTATGTACAATAAATGCGCTATTACCAGCCAAGCCAAACCAAACATTTCCCTGTCAGGATATTGGAACACTCACGTCCAAATTAAGATCGGTTGAGAGCGAAAATGCTAAGTAACAGTCACGCAGGGCCAAACGCTCTGAACTTTCGTCTTGGAAAGAAACCCACACCTTGTCACCATGGACGATAGAACCTCGTTTGAAATTGAGCATCAAGCTTTATTGGAAAAAGCTCTCCAAGGTTTCGAACAGCTGGTGTCAAATCTGAATCATTTCAATCGTAATCTGGAAACAGTGGCCACCATCGGCCAAGAATTCGAACAACCATCCAAGTTATGGCACGATTTTCATACCGCGATCAAGACTCCTCAACCTGGCGCGAAAGATAATGTCGAGTCGTCCTAGTTGAACTATTATTGCTCGTCCATTTGATTTGCAAACGCAAACACACGGCTGATCCACCCAGCGGGGGACGTTCCAGTGAGCTGGCCAGGGGCCGGCAGTCAAGCGCGCTTACGCTATTTGAGTGAAATCCTATCACACGATAACCTCCGATATTCCCACTAGATCGGTTCATCCAGGACCAACAGAAATTGATCAAGAACAATAATAAACAGTTTATTTCATATGTTTCAAAGTTTGGCGTGATCGTGTTTGGGAACGAGATCAGCCGGTATTTCGATATCAATCCCACTGAGCACAAGCTGGGCAAATGTTTTGCCTTGACGATCGATCAAGAGCGAGCTGAGGCCACCACCACCCAATGATTTGGTGAGAACAAAGTTCATGGCATGCAACCCAGGCAATTCGTATCGTTTCACCGTCCCCTTACACAAATGGCCCATGTAAGCTTTTATGACGCTTTCTGTCAAGGAGCGTTTGATAAAAGGTAGATAGGCTGGATCGCGAGCAATAATGCCAACGTTGCACACATCACCCTTATCGCCACTGCGACCATACGCCAGGTTCAATAGTTTGGTTTTCACAAGAGTTCCTGGGTTCACCGACACGGGCTGTGGGATGAGAGCTACAGGCTCCGGAGACCCAAAGTTGTGGTTCGTATCCGTCGGTTCCCATGCAACGGTTTGGGACCGACCAGCTTCGCCGACAATGACGTGAGTGGTGACGGACGTTTTGGGCAACAGGCACGGGAAGTGGACCAAGTTCGGCAGAGGTTTAGGCCGTCCGCTGCCGCCTGTGATACCTGGCGCCATACATGTGACAGACTACTCCATTTTCAAAAATTCTGATTAGCGATTTCGAAGTAGGTGATACAAGAACCCCAAGCAGTAAGTGGTCGAAAAAAAGAAAGAAACTTACAGGAACGATCTCCATTGCCAATATACGCAACGCTTTAGGATCGTCGTGGTGACCTGTCAGTCTTAATACCACTTCACGCGTTTCGTGCGGGGTCGCATTGGGTCTATAGAAGACCAACAAGGAAAAATAAAAATGATATACTTAGTGTTTCCAAGATAACAGAAAAACAAAAATCTCGTGCATTGATAACATCAGCTCATCGATGGCAAGCGAAAAAAAAAAAAAAAAAAAAGTAATTCTTTTCCCATTGAACGAGGCTGTCTTTTGAGCTTACCCGTAGAGTGATTCGCCGCCCATTGGTTCCACATTGAAATTACGGAAATCGGCCATTCCGCGCTGTTTCAATATCTTACGTACTCGGTCGTGTATCGCATTTCCCACGGCTAAAGCCTAGCCCAAGAAATTTTTTCCAAAAAAAAAGTGAATATATCGCTTCAAATAAGAAAAAAAAAGACACCCCGCCAAAAAAAAAACAAGCTAACCTTTTGTTTGGCTTGATGACCTCCAATCAACAAATCACCACTGAGCTTCCAGCCGTCCAAAAAGATCCCGGAACACTTTAACCACGGTGTGGGTTGCAAACCGCGAGCGCCCGCCACATGAACACGATGAGGTCCAATTTGGGACAGCTGGACTTGACGCATATCGAGAATGACATCAGGCAAGAGGTATAGTGCTGGGTCCAAAATCTCATAGAGAATCTGTTCCGCTACCGTGGCCGTGGATACCAGGCCCCCCGTCTTGTCCGGTTTGGTAACGACAAACTCACCATTCGCAGCAAACTCAACAATGGGATAACCCATATTGGCGTAACCTCCGTGCTCAGAAAACGCCGCCAGTTTCCAATCTGTGAAATTACCGCCTGTGGAGTGGCATCCACATTCAATGATGTGGCCAGCTAATGAAGCCGAAGCGAGCAAGTCGTAATAGTTGGGTTGATCGGGCTGCCAACCATATTCATGCATCAAAGGTCCCACCACCAAAGCTGAATCAACGACACGGCCGGTGACCACAATTTGAGCTCCGGACGCCAAAGCGGCAGCAATTCCTCGAGCGCCCAAATAAGCGTTCAGGGACACAATGGGTTCGTCCCGTGTAGGCATCCGTTCGGCTTCCAAGGTATGCTGGGTTGCTGACAAGGGAGAAAACGAAACGATGTCAGGAAAAGATTCCAGTGTAGAGACTTCCTTGTCGGCAAGTACATCATCGCCGGTGACCGCAGCCACTTGAATATTGGTAATCTGCATTTCTCGCAACAACGCTTCAATGGCAACTTTGCATGCCAGGGGATCCAAAGCACCGGCATTGGTGATGATTTTGGTTCCGTTTTTGGCAACGTCGGGAAGAATACGACGCAAAACCAGGTACAAGAATTCGGCAATGTAATCAACGCTCTTACTATGCTCACCCCCCATCATTAAGCGGCGCTTGCGACGAGCGGCCAAGATTCCCATGGTAATTTCTATTGAATAGTTATTCCCAAATTAAGTAGATTCAGATATTTCCGGAATATGTATTTTTTTTCTCATCATTAGATAAGGTAGTTCAACTTTGGTTTTTTTGATTTTATTTGATTTTGGTTACCTGCCAGATAATCGGCCACCAGATAATCAAGATTGGCTCCTTCAAGCTCCACCAGTTGCAAAGCTGCTTCGGCTGAATCACCCCAAAAAGCAGAGTAACAACCGATACGTACCGGTTTTTCAACAGTAGATGGACTCATTTTTTTTCGACAAATAAAGAAGGAAATAAAGACTAGTTTCTAAGAAATGCGTGTTGGTATAGCTATTTTTTTTATACTTGTTGAAAGGAAAGAAAAAAATTGGTAAGGGGTGGGGGAAAAGCAAAAACAGAGAAATTTGGCTGCATAAGCTTTTTTTACTGGAAGAATACATATGAATGTGACTTTTTTCTTCTGTGGGTATCTCACTTTTTAGTCTGGTTTTCCTTGCGTTTCACGGCTCATGACACTCGAAGCTCGTTACGATGAAGCATGTCAGCGGTTGTTTCCTGAAGGCCTGAGAGCCGCCATTGTTACTGACAGAGACGGAGTGATCATTATGCAATGTATGACGCGGCATTTACTTGATGGTTTCCACCTTGGTCTAATTATGTGCGAATGAAAAAAAAAAAAAAAAAATAGCCGCAGTCGATGACGCATCAGCCAAACTCTTTAATCCCATAATTGCAACTACATTTGCTGTGGCGAATAATCAGGCAAGTATTCACCGTGGGGTTTTATCTTGGCAAGAGCAAGGATAGAACGAGAAGGAAGGATAAGACGAGTATGACGATACGGTCACACTTGCGATAACTGGAGAGCATAATAGGAAATAAAAAGGTGGAGAAAGCAATCATATGTCAATAACAAGGGAAAAAAAGGCGATGACCAGAAAAAGAAAATTCATATCTTTATTTGTGACAGGATGGATGCAATATTCAGTGTTTTTGCTTACCGTTTATCTTTTTTTTTTTTGTTTTTTTGTGTGTGTAGGCATCCAAGCTCGGGCTGAAACGCAACGAGGGCATTCTTAGCATGTACGAACTATACCAGGTTGTGCAACTTGACCAAAATCCTCTCATCATTACTCTGGTTGGGGACGCTTCATCCAATACAGGTAATTGTTGCTTTTTTCGTTGTTTTGACATGCCGGATTTTCACAGATAAACTTTGCTCTCCATTAGGCCTTTTCATGCATTTTGGTCAAGAATTAGTGTCACTCATTCAACCCCTAGTTTCAGCGTTACAAGAAGGTCAATAAAAAAAAAGAAAAAGAAAAAAACCATATTCCTCGTTCAGTGATATTCATGTGTCGAAAATGAAAATGAAAAAAAATGATGGACAAAACCACTGTCATGGAAAAAGAAGAAAAATTACGGCGAAAATTGAATGATATTCACATGCGGAAATACAAACTGACAAGAATGAATGCACCAACAACGAAAAAGAAAGTTCATGAGTGACAGAAAAAAAGAAAAAGAAAATGCACTGACCAACTTTCACTTACGATGGTTGGTTACGTGAACGGGAAATGAGACGGAAAAGCTATTTTTGGTTACGATGTTCTGGATCGATAAAAGAGGAACAGTGAGCGGTTTTGTACTTTTTTCTTCCCTTTGTCGGGGAAAAAGCGTCGCCTGCTTAAATAGGCAAATGGTGATTTTTGCTATTTAAGCAGACCGTTGGCAGCTTGTCTCTGTGTCATTTCTTTTTTGTACAGCTCTCTCTCTCTTTTCTTTTCTTATCCTCTATATATCCTCTTTCTCACAAATGACCTCCCCTTCCCAATATATTGTGGATGACTGGTTCTATATCCAATCAATTTCAACCCACGACGTGATCACTGCATGTTCGACCGACCTCACTTCAGCATTACGATCTCAGGTTTACGTCAATCCACCCAAATGCTGCGATGAGGAATTATGGCGTTGGGATGGTCAATATATCCGTAACAAAGCAACCGATTTCGTACTCGATATCCGTAAAGGTAATTATATCGCTGGACGAATTGCGTTTGTCATCATATCTAAATGTATCCCACTATCCAGGTCGCTTAAGGTTGATTGAAGACACTGAAATTTGTCTGTATCATGCCAAACCACAAGAAGAAGCCCAAAATCAACTGTGGGGTGTACGAGAAACTTCTACCGGGTGCTTTATTTATTCTGTTTGCAATGAAGATTGGGTGCTCGATATCCAGGCCAACGATCAGGGCAACAAATTGATCCTATTCCCGTTCCAATACGTCGATAATGATAATCAACAGTGGATGTTTGTGTCAGTCACGGATATGGAGGAAGGTACCCATCCTCTGTGTACGGCAACAGGCGAGATCACACCCCCCATGTCCATGTCCTCCTCTCCCTCTCATGATACAATGCAAGCGCTTTCACCACCTGTCAAACGCGGATCGCAAAGTTCTCTCCATTCAGTCTCTTTAACCTCATTCAAGGAATCTCATCAGATCGTGTATCTTGAACGAAATCCCCGGCTAAGGTGTGTGTCATTCAAAAGTCTAATCTACTTTGCCAACTCGCATAATAATTACTCGATTTGGACTAAACCCATTTTTTGGATCTTTTTTCTTTTTTCACAGCGACAAGACGATTGCTATGGCAGCAGCGTATCAGGCGTGGAAATCATGGAAGAGTGATCAGGTGTCTTCAACCGAGCCTATCCTTCCGGAATCACTGGGCAGTATCCGTGGACAGTTGCAAAATAGAGCTCAAACGGAAGCGGAAGCTATTTTTCAGCAATGCGATCAGCTGAACAATCACAAGGAAACTGCATCCGCTTTGGCAGGCCGATTGGTGATTCAACTCTTGGAACAAACGCCGCCATCACCTTGAATACCATTTTAGGCGCTCAACGCTCTAATTCCCAAAATGGCAATTTGCCATCTTTTTGTAATTTTTTCACCTCCAAGCCAAAAAAAAAACCACACCAATCTCCGTTTCTTCACTCGTACATATCACTTTCTTTTTTTCTGTAAATAAATATTGTTCCCTCAAAAAGGTGCGCCAAAGGCATCTGTCAATATTCATCACACTCTCACGATTTGTTGCCAATTTTTCGTAGTATATGTGTTGATGTGAAGCAAACCATCGGTGATGCCATGGAGATAACGAGCATAATTTGAAGCGGAGGCAGCATAAATGTCGCTGGATCAATTTTGTTGCATCAATCTCCATTGTGATTTGTATTCCTGATGTGGTACAGTAAGATTGCTTAAAAGAAAAAAAAAGTCTGATTTTTCTGTTGTTAGTTCATGTTTTTTTTTCCATCGAACCACAAGAACGGAGATTCCCGACGTTACCATTTTCATGCCACTGCGTTGATTGGTTTATCACTGCCATCAGTTGAAAATTAGCTACGCTTTTTTAAAAACTGCGCTGAGAACTTTCGGACATCCACACAAAGCTGGTATTCAAGTTGAATAGAATGGACTGATTTCGCATCGTACAAAAAAGATCTGAGTTTTCTCCTTTTCCGCCCCTGGTTTGTCAGCTGGAAAATGCCGCCAATCAAACCATTTGTCCAAAAGATGGTCGGCATTGACAAGAATCCAAAATAGGCTCGATTGCAAGTTGACCATAATCGAGTCGTTCCATTTATGGTTTACTGTCAATGATGACTGTTTGTATCACATTTAAACTCTGGGATGGCAAGTAAGAATTGGACAAAAATTTCCTCATCACCTACCATATTTCAATCACAGATCACTGCTGCTGGATTTTATCAATAACAAACTCAAAAAAAAAAAAAAAAAATTGATGCATAAAGTGTGTTATGTGTGAAAGTAACAGTGATTTGCAAGTCATCTTTTACGAGCCTAGAAATCCTGCAATAAATGCTCCAGTAATAGTTTATTTTTCCAAGTTATGCCATCTCATTTGCTTTCTTTTTGTTCTTTTTCTATAAGAGAATCGAAATTTGTTCCAATAGGCCATTTGCGCGTTGTCATGCTGACCCAAACAAAAAAAAAGTTTTAACGTCTGCAGGATCACTGTATCAAATGTCGTAATGATTATTTATCCACTCAATGAGCATTTTCTTCACACATGCAATACACGTTCTACGATAACCAAGGTGTCAGTCAACATGAAAATCGACAAAGAATATCCTTTGTTGCCGTGCAAATAAATGGGGTCCTTGTGAACTGTACGATTCCATATAGGATGTCCGCTTCTTGTAAATGGGGATGTCAACCCGTGTTTGGGAAATATCTGCCACTTTTTGCCTTTTTTATATTTATCACGGCTCTTTTTTCGGATATTGCCCAAGATAATAGCAAGACAAACAAATACTGTCATAATGGGACAATGTTTTCATAGATGACATCGCGAGTTTATTGCTTTGTGTTATTTGGTGGTGCTATATACGTTTTACTAGCGCCTGATCGCCATGGCCAGTCAGGCGCCGCCATTGTCTTTGTTATTAATTTGCACACTTGCATACCTGTACTGGCATTTTGTTTCATCTCGCTACGTTTGTCTTTGACTCCACCGTATTTTTCTCAGTCGAGTGTCGTTGGGTGGACCATCCATTTCCCATCACCCTTGTCCCCCAGGGACACACGATTCACAACCGCGAATTTCAGTCTCCGCAATATGACATCAACGTTGTGCCAAGCCACCCTTGCTGAGCATGTTTTAAAAACGAAGCGGGGGCGAAACTTTTTTTCTTTGTGCTTAATGGTAAGTAGTTGAATTGACATTGACTTCATGGTAAAACCTCGATTACTGAATAGCTTCGTTTTCATGTTATAGAAAGGAGAGAACTTTGGCAATCCCCTTGAGAAGGACGGAACGAGCTTTTGCTCATCTTACAACACCTTGTGTGTTTGAAGGCATTGCTCTTCGGAGCGTCTTATGGCATACTGCCAACCATTTTTTTTAAATGACAAAAAAGTTGAATGAAAAAAACCAAAAAGCAAGCTGTCAAATGACTGCCAATTGTTTCATTGTCTTGTGACAAACTACAGGATAATGTTTAGAAAAAGCATGATACGCGCTTGGTCCCAAAAAGAAGTATTTTTGCTTCGGGATAATAAAGCCAAAACATATTGTGCTCCATCACTGGTGCGGTGGAACAATCTCAGGGTAGCGCCTGGGGGACGCTGACAAACCTTGGAAAGGGCTGACAAAACCTTGGAAAAACAGTAGCTTTGGTCCGCTTCGAATAAAAAAGTTTTTTTTTTTTGGCTTTTTTTTCCCAAATGTGGTTATTTTAAGCCGGTTCATTCAGTGGCCGCGTCCAGTGAAGTATGGCAAAAGCTACACGTGATGATTCTGATTGGCCAAACATTGGTTTTTGTAATCTGTTATGGTTGGTTTGAAACGCAGTAAAACGGGCTAATCTTTTGTCTGGATTTGGGTTTTTTCTGCAATTATCCGAGTCCCTGATGTTGTAATGAAGACGTCTCAGGATATAATAGTTATTTTTCATCAATTCATCATCCAATCTGGAGTTCCATATGATCGCAATGCCAAATTTATAGCCAATCGTGATGGTTCTCATTGGGCTCCCAAGATCCACATTTTCAAAGCACATTTTTTTTTTTGTTCACAGCTTTCAACCGGAGCAACCCTTGACCCGTTCACCTCAAATGGTATAAAACTCCCTCATTCGGTCCTAATTATTGTAATTTTTTTTCTTTTTTTTATTATTATTTTTTCTTTTCAGAGTTTTTTTTTTTTTTTTCTGATTGTTCTTTTTTGTTTCTCCATTACATATATTTTCTTTATCATTTTTTTTTCTTGGTGTGATTGTTTCTCTTTTGTCATTTACAAAAAAATACCACTCGCTCTTGCCGTAAATAATGAAATTCTCTCATTCACTGCAATTCAATGCAGTGCCCGACTGGATTGAGAAATATGTTGCGTAGGTGTTCATTCATTTTCATTGGGTGTCACTTTTGTCGAGAAATATACTAATCATTTGCTATTTATCAACTATAGTTATGACAACCTGAAAAAGCTGATATTCCAAATAGAAAAGGAACGTGTAGAAAATGCGAATAAACAGCACAAAGATGTGGAAGCCGAAGAAGTAAAGCAAGACGATGGCGAGGCTCGATTTTTGAACGCTCTCGACTTACAACTCGAGAAAGTGTTCGACTTTTATACCCAGAAAGAGTCGGAACTGTATACCCAGCTCGATCAACTCGCCGCAACCATCGCAGATCATGTGGGAGAAGAACTTGAAGGGGAACAGCAAGGCTATCTGAAACCTTACCCAAACGGTGCAAGCGCGTTGGAGAATCTCGACTCCACCTTGAACTTACCGCAGATGGTCTCCGAAAAGGTCCCTGTGAAAGATCCAAACCAAGCCAACGCACTAAGACGCAAATTATCGAGAAATTCACTGGAATCGCGCATGTCTCTTCAAACCACCCATTCCGCCTCGCATTACGTGGAACAGCTCTCGGATTTGCGTGCCCAGCTGATTCGCTTATACGTTTCGTTATCCGAGCTAGAATCCTATTTGGATCTCAACCGCAGCGCATTTGAGAAGATTCTCAAGAAATATGACAAGGTCCTTGAAGGCAACTTGCGCCAGCAGTACCTCCAAAAGATGGTTCTAGATTCACGCCCTTTCATGCCGCAGACCATCGACACCCTTCGGTCGCAAATCGAACGGGTCGAAAAACTTTATGCCAACGCTTTCTGCAGCGGTAGCCGTCCTATGGCAATGCGTCAGATGAAGACCCATTTACGTGATCAAGTCACCTATGAACGAAATACCGTCTGGAAGGACATGGTCCATCAGGAGCGTAAAACCCAGGATGCTCACGTCAAGGAACCGCGACCTCAGGCAACAGTGAAAATCCCATTCGTTCCCTGGTCCATCAAGAAAAGTACCTTGCGTCACGTCCTGTGCTTCCTTTTATCCCTTGTCGCATTTATTATTTTGTTGAATGTCGACTGTTTCGGTAACCGCCAGGAAAATTATTGTTTCGCTCTCCTTATCTTTGCCGCCATCATGTGGGCCACGGAAGCTATTCCGCTGTATGCGACTTCCATGCTGATTCCATTCCTCATCGTGCCTCTGAATATTATGCGCAATGCTGATGGCTCTGCTATGACCGCCAAGAGTGCCGCCAAAGCCGTCTTTGCTTCCATGTTCAGTGGTACCATCATGATGCTCTTGGGTGGTTTCGCTCTCGCCGCCGCCTTGTCCAAGTACGGTATCGCCAAAGCATTTGCTTCCCACGTTTTATCGCGCGCTGGTACTCGTCCCCGATGGGTCTTGTTGGCCATCATGTTGGTCGCCGGTTTCCTGTCCATGTGGATTTCCAACGTTGCTACACCGGTGCTTTGCTTCTCTTTGATCGATCCTATTATGCGTACCTTACCTGACGGTTCTCCTGTTGCACCCTGTCTCCTTTTGGGTATTGCTTTGTCCAGCTGCATTGGTGGTATGACTTCTCCTATTTCATCTCCTCAGAATATCATCACGCTGCAGTACATGGACCCCAATCCTGGTTGGGGTCTATGGTTCGCGGCCGCTTTGCCCGTCTCCATCATCTCCCTCTTTGTTTGTTGGGGTATCCTTCGTTTGGTATATCGACCCGATCGCGCTACTCCTCATCTGAACCGCATCAAGCCAACCAAGGGCAAGATTACCCTCAGCCAGGTGTTTGTCATGTTGGTTACCATTGCTACCATTGCTCTTTGGTGTGCCGAAACCGCCATGGAAGACCACATTGGTGACACCGGTGTGATTGCCGCCATTCCTTTGTTTGTATTCTTCGGTACCGGCATCCTTGGTAAAGATGATCTCAATGCGTTTTTGTGGTCCGTCGTCGTTTTGGCCCAAGGCGGTATGGCTCTCGGTCAAGCCGTCACATCCTCCGGACTGCTTCAAGACATTGCTCTCCGTATCAAGGACGGCATTCAAGACCTCGAAGTCATTGCTATTTTGGCTATCTTTTCCTTCCTTATCCTGGTATTTGCCACCTTTGTGTCTCATACCGTGGCTGCCTTGATTATTGTCCCCATCGTCATGCAAGTCGGTCAACATTTGCCTGTTCCCCATGCCAACCTGTTGGTCATGGGCGCCGGTTTGGCCTGTTCCGCCGGTATGGGTTTGCCAGTCTCGGGTTATCCCAATATGTCGGCCGTCATGATGGAAGATCCTACCGGAAAACCTTATCTTACCACCAAAGATTTCATCATCACCGGTATTCCTACCAGTATCATTGCCACGCTCTTGGTGTTTACACTAGGCTACGGCATCATGTCTGCCATCGGCTACTAATCCCATCTCCGAACCTCTCATCTTTTTTGTATTCTCACTTCATCTCATTTTTTTCCCCTCTTTTTGTGCCAAGAACCCAAAAGTGTGTTATATATAAGACTTATTTTTTCCTATTTATGCTTCGCCTTGTCTTGGCCTGTTCAACAAGCCAAGAAAGGTGCAAGGCTACCCTTTTGTGTATACATTGTATCTATTGTTCAATCATGTAACAATAATCCCCATACAGAACTATTAAAATGTTGATCCACATGTCATTCTTTTTCTTTTGTAAGAATAAGGTGGGGCCCCGCCTTTTATTGGAGCCGGTAGAAAAAATAAAGATGAAAGTGGAAGTACAAAGTGGGGAGCGATGAAAGCAATTTGGCCTGTTTGTGACCTCAAGTAAAATAATTCAGGATGAAGCTTGGTCAATAACGGTGTAAAGTATTGTTTGTGGTGTACGAATTACGAAAACCTGAATAAGGGCTTGATGAGTCTGTGTGCAGCTTACATATCGGTGACAGAAGAAGGTCTGACCAAAGAACATCAAAAAGCCGATTCATTATTCCTCAAATCAGTGTTCATACAATTCATGAAAACCATAGTTTGTATGCTAACACTTGGTAAAATGAAAACACTCAGTCCTTCGAAAATACAATGACTCTTTCTCCTTTGTCCTTGCAATTATTATTGGCCGCACGATAGAAGCGGGTCTTGGTATGAACCACCGAGTTATGTTTTTTCCTGCTAAGATCCAGATTTGAATCCTGCGTCGGCGACTGTAAAGGCAGAGTTGGATTTGTATGATAAGCCTGTGCGATGAATTGAGTCCGAAAATTTTCTTCTTGCTTCGATGTGCGAGGGATCCTTTGTCTTCCCTTACCACTGAATCTGTCCTTGTCAGGGTGTTCTGAACATAATGACGATATGATAATAGCGTTTATCAGGAAAAAATATTATCCTTTTGATTTCATGATGCAGGCGGTTTAATCGCTTGATTGGACATACTTGACGTCTCTTTCCTTGGTGGGGTAACATGTCATGTCTGGCCGACCACGTTTCCACAGTAACCATGGCCAACTACGATGATTCCCCGGTCGAGACTGTTGCCTGGTTACACGATCTATTTCCTTCTTTGTGAGGGAATTTTCAAATACGGAAGTCCAACCTCGATTTTAAATAGCGACTTCTCCCTGTTCGCAACAGGGGCATGCGCAGAGATTGACAGCCATCCAGCCTTGCCTTCAAGGTTCTTTTGTGCGACCTGGTGTGCATTACGGCTGTGATCCAAAACAAAGCCATGCATCTGGCGTAATGTCACCGTCACAAACTGCAGCAATTTGACACACAATATTCGTAGACCAGCATCTTTCTTTTGCGTAAAATATCAACATAATCTACACTGTTCAACAAGTCACGAATGAAATCTCGAGCCCCCATTTGGTAAAAACCAGGATTTGGGCAGGCAATTGACAGGGAAACTAATACTCTACGTACAGGGATGCACAAGCATGGTTAGAAAACAACTACCGAGATCGGAACGGACTCCCGAATTTTTTCCGTGAAGGAGGATACACTTTTGCCATGAAGGAAACCGCAGAAGAAGATTATATCATGGTAGTCGATGCGGCTGCAAATCAACAAGAAAATGAGTCCTTTCAATTGTGGGCCATCAACATGAAGATCAATCAGTACAGAGTAATTGGATTAAAGCCTCGTTTAACGAACGGACCCTTATTTTTTGAGTTAGGCCTTGCAATTGACTACAACGCTTGAATATTGGCGTTACCTTGCAGAAAAAGAAAAAGACGCTCTCAGTAGAGATAAAGCTGCTGGCTTAACTCTGGCAAGCTGTCGCACCGCAAGTGAAAGACCAGTGAAGAGCCCAAGAAATACGGTAATGACACGTTATTTTTTTAATGTAATGGCTTACTTATTTTATTTTCTGCTAGTATCTGTCGTCTGATACAATCTTCGTGGAAGGCTATCGAGAATCATTTGGAACCATTGTCGGCCGGTTCGGGAGGAGCTACATTTCGCATAACAACAAAAGCAGCTACTTCAAAACGTAAGTTGGCTATTTGATATTATTGCAGTGTTTCCTTGCTGAAGCAATTAATTATAGCTTGGCCATGAATAACATCATTGATCTGTCCGACGATTCTGAGGGCTCCCACTTGGCTCAAGTAAACCCAGAGGCGCAAAATGCCGTCAAAGAACTGCTCCACAAGTCGCCTATTAATGAAGACGAGGTCGATTCCCAGTGTCAAGTTTTCGAGAAGCTGATCAAAAAAGTAAGTAGACTGTATTACAGAGTAACAGACGGTTGAAATTCAATTTGTCTTAGTTCAAGCGGGAGGAGAATGACGACCGGTTCCTGGCCAGAGTGGTCAAAGAGATTGAGGAGGCCCGCTCGCCGAATGCATACCTCAAGAGAATATACTTGCAAATGTGAGTTTCTCATTCTTTCTATTATTTGGATCTCATTGCTTATTTTCTTCCCCCTTTAGCTTGGAAGCAATGCTCTACGACCAGTACCTTTTTACAGAAAGCTGCAGCGAAGCCGACCACGCAATCAAGCTCCATGGCCCCATTTTTGAGAACCTTTTTCGTGGCAGCGGCTGCAGGCTGGTCTGGTAAGTGTCCTCTTTTTCCATTTCCATCGAGGTTTATTATTTTAACTCATTATTGTAAAGGGACCGAATCCAGGGCCCATGTCATATGAGCAAGGCAAAGGACTCGAACCTGGCCTTAAGGATTGTTTCGAGCAGTGCAGGGACAACGCCGGATTTTTGTATCGCGGAACATTCGAAGAAGGTCACCCTCTCCAAGTCATATTATGACAAAAGAAAGATGGTTGTAGTGAGCCTTCTACATCTGAAGCGACATATAAATTGCGTCCACCTCAGTTACCAGGAAGCAACCGAGTTCACGTTGCCGTTCGTGATCTGTTGTGGTTTGAGAGCAGATATTTACACCATTCGACTCGTGTCTGAGGATTGGTGCGCCGTCGAGAAGTGTAAGGACTTGGATATTCCCTGCTGTGTCGCAGAAGTCAAAGAAGGCAAGATCGTTTCATATATCCATCATTTGAAAAGCTTGAAGGTATGTGGAAAAATAACCATTTTACACTAGTTTATATTGACGAGAACTTTTTCTGGTTTAGAAAATTTGTATGAACCTGAAGGATCAGTCCGCACAAAGCCGAGGGAAAAAGACGGGTATGCACCGTTTTAACGCGAAGCAGCAGCCAATACTAGACTTGCTGGGTAGAAAACTTTGGGTGGACCCGTTCGATGGGGAAGATGCACATGCTGAGAACGAAGATACTGAATGATTCTAGAAAAACAAGATCTATCTCCTTGGTTTAAAATGCTGGTTTTTCACGATGCCATTATCAAGAAACATAGAAGACGCAGTCGCGGCCAAAGTTGTCCATTGAGTCTGAATCATATTACTGCGAACACAGAATTACGCTCCGGTCAAGTGGATGCAAGCTGGGCAAAAAGTCTAATCATTCATCCCTGCTTATAAAAAGTGAGTGTCCTTTGAAATAGCCCGTCTCCCTTATGACCCGTAAACACATACTAACATACACCTTTCAAGTACGTTATCGAGTCAAGTCACCTAATGACGAAGGAGAAACGGGACGAATTTGTTACAAAGCTGCAAACCGTACAGGTTGGTAAATACTTGATAGTTCTTTGCCCATCTGATATTGAAATCGATATATTGTTAGTCACTGAAAAAATCGCGAAGACTGGAAACAAATCAGTAGTACTTGAAGTATGGGATATTACATGACAGAATTTACAAAGTCGGGGAAGTGTGAGTGTTTGAAGAAATTTGATATATGGATTAAAGTTGTTGTTGTTTGTAAGACTCGTGGATATGCATGAAATAGGTAACCCTTATTTCTATAGTAAATACATTATTTCGTACGAAGCCAGGAGGATTCCGGGTGGCAAACATTCTAGTATCCAAAAAATAAAAACCCTAAAAAGCGGGGAAGTGTCAATTTGGCTCCTTTTCGATGATGCTCATACCAGTTAGTCTATCCAATCACGTCTTATTTTGACACGATTCCCAAGTAGGAAAACGGCCAAGGAAAAAGTAAGTTACGCGTATATGTTCGCTAAGGATGATGTCACGCCACCTAAAGATTCTATTGACCCCCTATCACGAACAATAACATTTCTCTTTCTCTAAGCAACACACCAGATTACCTCACGGAAGCGTTCCTCAACGGCTAGTTCATCTCGATCCATTCCGAAATTTGGAAGCCATTTTGCATCTACGTACTATCGTGCACTCTTTATGCTGTAATCGCTGCTGCGCCGCGTCAGTTTTTGTTGTGAAGCTAGCGGTCGTTCAGAATGGGTTCTGGCGATTAAGACTCTAGACAGTTTCCCCATGGGCTAGCCTTGCAACCGAATGTGGTTCTCTTATGCGACATGACAAAGGTAACTTGACGTATCGATTTGATCACAACGATGCTAACATTCTTTTATTCCCTTTTCCTAGGTTCGATATTACGGCATGGGAAGTGTTATTTCACGACTTTTCAGATGGGCTACTTTTTTTTAACAGCGTTCAGCGGGGTAGTCCTCAATCCATTCTGAAAGTCTGGAAGCCATACTGCGTCTAGGTACTATGGTGCACTCCTTATGCTGTAATATCGCTGCTGCGCCGCGTCAGTTTCTGTTGTGAAGCTAGTGGTCGTTCAGAATGGGTTCTGGCGATTAAGACTCTAGACAGTTTCCCCATGGGCTAGCCTTGAAACCAATTTTTGGACTCTATCCAATACCGTGTATGTAATGTAAGCACATATTGACTTTTAGTGATACCAAAGGACGCATTCTTAACGTTGCGTTTTTTACCATCGGTCAATTGCAATTTCTTCCGTGTTTTTTTTTGCGTTCAGTTTATTGTACCTTCGAGTCGAACTTATCCGAGGTGGGGGTCTATCTGTAAGAACAATATATTTGGTGAAAGCAAAGGCGGTAGAGATAATCGGTCCTATCGAGTGATCCAATAAAAACGGACACAGGAATGCCGTCCGGTTTATCGAAATCAAAGACACATGCGTGACACCCTTTTGACTTGATGGCAGAAAAATTTGGCACTCCTTGTGGCGTGGCGTTGATGACTGATCACAAATCTGGTTAATATGGAAATGAACCAGTACAATACAGAGTAATTGATTTGAACAACCGTTTATCAAAGCCCAATCACTGACCACTGGCGTTGCCTTGCATAAAAAGAGCAAAACGAAACAAACAGTCATAAAGCTGCAGTAATAACCTTTTCAAACAGCCCAACTACACGTACGAGAGCTAGCAAAGAAACCCAAAAACGAGGTAATGAACTCTTGCCTCTTCCTTAAAAAGTAATAGCTTGCTTAGTTCTGGTCTACTGTCGTACAGTATCTCTCATTTGATACTTTTTCCTGACCAGCTATCAGTGAAACCTTTGAGGTCATCATCGGACACTTTGAAAGAAGCTTATTTTTCAACTGTACAATAGTAGCAAACTCACGTCTTCAAATAGCTGAACATATCATGGGAAAGACGGCAGGATCGTGAATGATTTTCATCGTCTTTGTCCGCTGTAATGGGAGGCAAACACGTTCATTTTTCAGTTTTCCTTTGATGTTGTCAGTGAACAAGAATCAGATATGTTCTCCACTTTGTTTCTACGCAAAACGGCGGCTGAGGATGTGGGAAATTTGAATGCGGAGGTTGACGAACGTGCTTTAACACAAAAATCAACACAATCGGATACATTTCGTGTTAGTTATGGACTTTGATACAACACCCTACTGCTCAGTTCTTGCAATCCTAATTACTGCCTGTTGAACTTCAACAACAATTGCTGGCGGTAATTTTCCTAAGTAACTAAGAGTGTGGAACATGAAGGACACCGAATCTTGTCGTTGAAGGTACATAGCCAGTTCATTTGGAGGTGTGAGTGATAGCTTTGTGAGATGGTTTACAGTACTGTACTGTAATCAAAATAATGCTCCATAGCAAGCACCCTTTTACAAAGGAAGGCTGCAGCGAGGTCGATTTCAATATTAACTCTGCATGGTCCAATCTAGGAGAACCTGTTTCGCAAGAAGAATGAGCCCACTGGAAAAATAAAATTGTCATGAAAATGTTGCCGGTTATTACTTTGGTTCGATCATATAACTCCTCCTTCCTCTGGATTTATTAACGTTTCCACTATATCCAGGGCTGCTTACGATAATTTATCTGTCGAAATTGTTATTTTTTCTTTCGCTTTGTTTGGATGGAAAAAGAAACCTTCAAGCATGAGATGGTCGGACCTTAATTTTGAGTTGGCGATTTCCCCTTGATGCAACAATAAAGGTGCGCGCTGCGCTTGATTCACAGAGTCATGCAACCTTGCACTCAAAAATCTTTCGTGTCTTAAACTAGCGACTAACCGAAGCTCCAACAAGACCCATTGTAGTCGAGTACCGGCGCGCAATAGAATGTGGGAAGCAAGTACTTTAACAATTCCATCCTTGGACACAGCGATGAAGAGAGCAAAACCACCCAAGAGCATCATGATAATACCAATGAACATGAATGCAAAAATGGCTTCGGCAGTGTTTTTGGCGATCATATTAAAACCATCATCGTTGCGCATAACGTTATAGATACGACGAGGAATGGAACCAGCATGGCAGCTGCATAAAGCGGAATAGGATGATTTCCTTGGCTCATGAAGGCAGTAGTGATAAGAAGAGCGGAACTTTCAATTTTTTCCTCACGACTACTAAAATGGTGGACATTCAACGGATATTCAATGCGATGAGGTGTGAAAGGAAAAACAAGACATGGGCACAAAGTGCAGTGGCGACGGACCAGAGAAGAAATGTGATTTCACTGATGCCGGAGATCTCGGTCCCTTAACGTGAGAATTGTGGGTTCTACACTTCTGGTGGACCACTGTCTTCCAGACGGTATCCGTGCTGTAGTTGACTTGGTCACGTAATTGGTGCCTCATCTGATGTAAGGCCATAGGGCGGTCTTCATTGGGGAAACTGGTGGCTTAAATGGTTTCAATCCGTTCGATTTGCGAGCAGAGGTTGTCTATGGTTTGCATTGAAAGGGCGCATTTCAAGAACCATCTTCTGGAGGAACTGCTGGTGCAAGTGGCCTTTAGGAACCTTGCTATAAAATATATTTTGACGTTAATGTACTTGAAAAATATATGTTTGAGGGTCATAATTGAAACCCGCTACGTAAAAATATTTTATAAGGAGTTGAAATGATCACACTTTTTCCACAGTCTCCGTATACCTAACAGAGCGTATGTGGTTCTACGTTCGTAACATATATTCACGCGTATAGATCATTTGGAGCATTTATTTTGGTTTAAAATAACGTATCCATCACCGGTATCGGCGTCGATATTTCCTCCATATGATGGAGCAAGCCAAAGATCTTTACTCCAAAAAAACTGTCCAAGGATGATTCCCTATTATTATTGATTTTGTGCAGGCTTCTCGTTTTTTTTTTCGGTGCTTCACCAATTGATTATTTAATTCCACACACATTTGCTAAACCGATACAACTATCGTCAATACGCAAGTGAAGCATTATAAGATTCGTACGCACCTTGAAGTTTTTCAAATGATTCACGTATGAAGCAATCTTGCCATCTTTGACGTCTGTGACACAGCAGGGTGTCGTATAGGTAGAGTCCATATACCACTACATAAGAATTACCTCGGTTTAAGCAGATAAGAGACACTAGAGTAGTTACACACTATTTGTACATTCAAATCCCGATACCAGTTATTATCTTTGAATACCAGATACTAAAGAGATCATCTCTTTCGAGAATAAACAACAGTCTCACCGTACTCAACGTCTCTATCCATCTATATCACACAGGGAATATCCACGCCCTTGAATTTCTCCACAACGCACCAGTCCTCAGACACGAGTCTGATCGCATATATGTTTGCTTCCAAGCCTTCACAGAGCACGAATGGTAACATAAATTCATATGCTTCTTTGTAACTGAGGTTAGCGTGCTTGATATGATATTTCAGATGGATGAGGCTCGTCACCACTGTCTTCCCCTTATCGTAGTAGTATTTCCATGCGGCTGCTTTACTGGCGTTTTCAGAAACATGCAGACCGGAAGCTGTTCATCCATTGTTGGATACAATTCTCAAATTCAACCTTGGTTCATTCGGTTCCATTTTAGAGAAACCCCTTTGGAATCATTCCTATGCGAATAATAAGCATGAAAGAAAGGGCATCAATGGTAGCCAAAAATCAAATATTTAACCAGATCACTTTGCAGCCACTTCCACAGAAAATCGTCTCCATAATCGGACCTTGAAGTTTGACCAAGTAATCGGCATCGCTGCAGCCTTGTTCCGTAAAAAGATATTGATCATAAAGCATAGTTTCTAGTCTATATAAATTGATAAGTAATCCAAACCAATACTGTACAAAGAACAAGCTACTCACATTTGAGAATATATCTTTTTGATGACTTTATCTGATTTTGCCTCATCTGCTTCCTTTATAACCTTTGCAAGGTACTTCTTATCATCTTCCTCGCATTTGAACTAAAAGGTGATTGAGCTATGAATTATCACGTGGTAAGGAGCCTATTTACCTTTTGAATGATGGTTTCAAAAACTTCACAATGAGTTTCAATAATTTTTTTAGAGTCATATGTTTTTTGTGACATCTCCTTTAGGACATTTCGTGCCTCTGGATTGATTTGGGCAAGATGAGATTTGTTAGAATCATCCGATAGATCGACAATGTTGTTCATGGACAAACTACAAATAACCGCTTCAGCAAGGTAATACGGCAATAGTAACACACCAACTCACGTCTTGAAATAGCTGCTCTTAATATCAGAGGAAACATAGTTTCTTCCAAAGCGGCCGATGATGGTCCTTTCACGATTTTCCGTTCACGAAAAATGTATCAGCTGAGAGATACTAGACCAGAACTTAAGCAAGCTATGATTTTGAGAAAGAGGCAATGGTTCATTACCTTGTTTTTGGGCCTTTTTACTGCCCTGGTACTTAAAGTTGGGCTGCTTGTAAGATTTATTCCCGCAGCTTTTTCTCTATTTGCATTGTTTTGTTCTTTCTCTGCAAGGTAACGCCAGTAGTCAAGGGTTGTCGTCAAATATAGGGCCTAACTAAAAAAAATTAAAACTCTGTTTAATAAACGGTCCTTCAAGTCAATTACTCTGTACTGGTTCATTTTCATGTTAATCGCCCACTCGTGAAAGGCCACATCCTCATGTTCCTCGGCAGCCACGTCAACCACCGTGATGTAATCTTTCTCAGCAATTGTCTTCATGGCAAATGTATATGATCTTTCACGGAAGAAATTGGGGAGCCCATTCTGTACTTCATAGTTGTTTTGAAGCCACGCTTCGCCATCACTGAACAGCACAATATTAGCTTTCTTGTTATCTAAACTTCCAACCACTAAATAGAGTATTTACCAGATTAAGCCTCTTCGATTGTTGTGCATTTGCATCTTGCAACTGTGATATAGATGGATAGAGACGTTGAGTACGGTGAGACTGTTGTTTATTCTCGCAAGAGATGATCTCTTTAGTATCTGGTATTCAAAGATAATAACTGGTATCGGGATTTGAATGTACAAATAGTGTGTAACTACTCTAGTGTCTCTTATCTGCTTAAACCGAGGTAATTCTTATGTAGTGGTATATGGACCCTACCTATACGACAGCAACAGAGTAGAGTGCTGAAATATTTGGCGGTCAAGCTGAAAAGATATCAAGCATGAGTCCATTAATTTTCATATGAACCTAGATGGCATTCTTCCGTTTTTATTGGCTCACTCGATAAAAACAATCATACCAAAGAGACTTGGATAGACCCTATCACCCAGATGAGTATGAGTTCGAAGGTTTAACGGTTTGAACACAGTAGCCACGAAAGAAAAAAGAAAGAAAAGGAACAAATTGGATCAGTTGATAGTAAAAATGCAATAAGAAAAGTAACCATTCATTAAAAGATAGACGATCTGATAGTAGCGTTTTTCCACCATAAAGGTATTTTCCCTTTGATTCCAAGATACAGGAGAATCACTTGATTGAATAATTTAACGCCTGCTTCCTTGGTCGGGTAACGTTTCAGGCTGGTCGACAACGTTTCTACAGTAACCATGGCCAATTACAATGATTTCCTGGTCGAGACTGTTTCCCGGTTACACGATTTATTTCCTTTTTTGTGAGAAAGTCTTCAAAACCGGCAGTCGGGACCTCAATTTAAAACTGGCGGCTTCCCCGAACCCCTGAATGCATCAAGGGCATTCTGTGCATTGGCTGATTCACAGCCATTTAATCTTGCCTTCAAAGCCTTTTGTGTGGCCTGACGTGTACTATGCTTTTGCAGTTGACATAATGTTACCGTCACAAACCACGCAGCAACTTGACATGCGGTAATCGTAGACCAGCACTCTTTTCGGTCGTGCTCAATATCAATAAGTCGCACCTTCCATTTCAAACATGAAGACATGGAGCAAATGTCGAGCTCCCATTTGGTAAAAAGCCAGCTTTGAATAGGCAGATGACAAGAAAACTAATACTCTATGTACAGGGATGCACAAGCATGGTTAGAAAATAACTACCAAGATCAGAACGGATGCCCAAATTTTTTTCGCGAAGGATCATACACAATTGCCATGAAGGAAATGGCGGAAGAAGATTATATCGCGGTAGTGAATGCAGCTGCCAAGTTTCATGAAGATGTTGCGTTTCACCAGTGGGCGATTAACATGAAGATGAACCAGTACAGAGTAAGTGACTTGATGAACTGTTTATTAAACCAAGACTTACTTTCTGAGTTAGGCTCTTCAGTTGGTTCCAATGCTCGAATATTGGCATTATCTAGCAGAAAAAGAAAAGAACAATCTCGCTAGAGATAAAGCTGCTGGCATAAGCCTCCAAAGTAATGCAGAATCAAGCACAAGAGCAGCAAAAAGACCCAAGAATAATGTAATAACATGTTATTTTGTTAATATAATGGCTTACTTATTCCTTTTCTGCTAGTATCTATCATCCGATACATTTTTTGGACAATTATTATTATAACACACAGATTTTATATTTTAAACTCAGGCAAATTAATTTAAAACTGAAATTGAAAATTAAAAAGTCTAATAATTTACTATTGAGGAACAGCCACTACCCTCAGAACGTATCATGAATGTTGACGACCTCACAACATCATGATATCACACCCATAGATAAGTAGCAACACTTCGTTTATGCTACCCACGTCAGACACCCCCACTGACCTTTTTTTTTAGTTTTTGATACAATTAATAATTTAATGACATAATAATATATTTTTATTTTAATTTTTAAATCAGATATAAAAAATAATAAATTTTATATCTTTAAAATATAATATATATTTTTTAAATATTATATTATATTATAATGATAACAATAGTTCCTCTTATCTGTCAATCGCCCGATAGCTTCTTTATTATTATTTTTTTCTTTTTAAAAACAATCTAATGACTGAAAATAAAAAATAAAAAATTATTTTATTTTTAATTTTGCCAGTCTATTAGCTAAGAGGAACAGCCACTACCCTCAGAACGTATCATGAATGTTGACGACCTCACAACATCATGATACCACACCCATAGACAAGTAGCAACACTTCGTTTATGCTACCCACGTCAGACACCCCCACTGACCTTTTTTTTTAGTTTTTGATATAATTAATAATTTAATGACATAATAATATATTTTTATTTTAATTTTTAAATCAGATATAAAAAATAATAAATTTTATATCTTTAAAATATAATATATATTTTTTAAATATTATATTATATTATAATGATAACAATAGTTCCTCATTAATTATAATTTTTTAAATATTTAAATTAATTAAAAATTGAATTAACTTATACTGTAAATAAAAAATAAAATATTATATTATTTATGATATTATTATGTATAAGTTAAATTATGAATATATAAAAAAGAAAAGATGAAAAATTAAAAATTAAAAAAAATTAAAAAAAATAATAAGAGCTATTATCTATTTAATTAAGATTTAAATTAATTATAATAGATGCTCCACTATGACTTTTTATCAAATAATATAAATTATATATATAATTATTATAGTTAATTAATATATTTAATAAAATAAATTATAATAATTAATCTTTTTTAACTTCAAATATAAATATAAATATAAAATCCAAAAAAATAGAGATAAATGAGATAAACTCTTTTTATATCTAATTTTTTAAATATATTAGTTATTATATAAATAAACAAAGAATATTATATAATAAATATATTTTATTATAGAGAAACTATCGTTATCATTATAATATAATATAATATATTAAAAAAATATATATAATATCTAAAGATACAAAAATTCAATATTTTTTATTCTAATTTAAAAAATTATAAAAAATAAATTATTGTGTCATTATAAAATTAGCTGTATCACTAAATAATTAAAATGGTCAGAGGAGGCGCTGACGTGGATAGTATAAACGAAGTGTTGCTACTTGTCTATGGGTGTGGTATCATGATGTTGTGTGGTTGTCAACATTCATGATACGTTCTGAGGGTAGTGGCTGTTCTTCATAAGATTAAAATTATTATTGAATTGTATTTTTAAAATGCTTTATAATTATTTAATTTTAAAATTTTTAAATAATAAAAATTCTATAATAATAAAAAATATTGTAGATGAGATTAAAAATAAATTACCATATATGGTATCTGTATTCTATAATAATATTTGTCCTATTCTTTCTGGAAGGGTATCATGAATCCTTTGGCACCATTGTCGGCAGGTTCGGAAGGAGCTTTACTTCCGATAATTCTAAAAATAGTTACTTTAAAACGTAAGTTGAATGTATTGTATTATCGGCGAATGTTCCATTATTGAAGCAATTCATTATTTATAGATTGACAATGAATAATATCCTTGATCTGTCGGATGATTCGGAGGGTTCTCACTTGGCCCAAGTTACTCCAAAAACTCAAAATGCCATCAAAGACATGCTGCATAAGTCAATTGCTGAGGAAGAGGAAGTGAATTCTCAATGCGAAGTTTTTGAGAGAATAATCAGAAAGGTAAGTAGGCTGCATTATAGAGTAACAGACAGTTGAAAACTTATTTGTCTTTTTTAGTTCAAGCGAGAGGAGAATGAGGACCGATTTCTGGCCAAAGTGGTCAAAGAGGTTGATGAAGCACGCTCGTCAAATGCATACTTAAAGAGAATATACTTGCAGATGTGAGTATCTCGTTCTTCCCAACTTCCCATTATTTGGATCTCTTTTTACTTATCTTATTACTCATTTAGCTTAGAAGCAATGCTATACAACAAGTATCTATTTACAAATGGAGGCTGTAGTGAGGCAGATTTCAATATTAAGCTCCATGCTTCCATCTTAGAGAGTCTCTTCCAAGGCAGTGGCTGTAGATTGCTCTGATAAGTGTTTTCTCCTTTCATCTCCCTTGGTGGTTCTTGTTTATACTCATTATTTTAAAAGGAAGGAGACACAAAGCCTGTTTTTGAAATGTGAGGCTACAGAGTTTAAACTGGACTTGCAAGTTGTTTTGGACCGCCATCCCAAGACACCAGATCTTTGCATTGCAGAGTATAGGAAGAAGGCTGCCTGAGCTAAATACTATTACAATAAGAGAAAGACGGTTGTGGCAAGTCTCATCCATCTGAAATATCGGACAATTATTAAGATAACATACAGATTCTATGATTTAAACTCCGATATAATTTTAAACTCAATTATTGAAAAAATTAAAAAAAACTAAAAATTGAATTTTTGCTAATAATAAAAATTACTGCGGATATGTTTACAGAACCCTATATAAATTTAAAAGATATTTTTAATAATGAAGACAAAGTTTTATGTTATTTAATTAATAATAACTATATTAATAAAATAAAAAAATGTAAAGTTTGTGATAAGAATACAAAATTATATATAAATAAAAAATTATATATTTGTAAAAATTATAAATGTAGAAAATCATTTTCACCTTTAACAGGTACAATATTTTCTAAAATGAAATTACCATTAAATATTCAATTACATATATTAAATTATTATCTTTTAAAAATGCCAGCAACTAGTATTATTGTTACTTTACAAATAAATCCAAATACTGTAAGTTTATATCATAAAATTTTTAGAATATATTTAAAAAAATAAAATTAATTTTAATAAAAATATAAAAATTGGAGGAAGAAATAAAATAATTGAAATTGATGAAACTAAAATTGGAAAAAATAAATATAATAGAGGTCATAAAGTTGAAGGTGCATGAGTTATTAGTGGTATTAAAAGAAGTATATTAAAAAATAAAATTAAACATCAAAATCAAAAAACATTTTTATTACCCAATTCAAAAAAGAAATATAAATAATATTGATAAAATTATAAAGAAATATGTTAAAAAAGGTACTATTATTTATACTAATTGTTGGAAAGGATATAATAATTGAAAAATCTAATAATTAAAAAAAAAGATGGATGATATATATGATATGATTATAGATGACAAATATAAATATAATATTAAAAGAAGTATATTTATTAAAGATATGAAAAAATATGATTTATGTGAATATAAAATAAAACAAAAAGAGGGATGTTATAAAATTTATATGAAAAAAAATAGTTCGAAAAAACAATTAAAGAAAGTTTATGAATTTAAAACATATAATAAAGATAAAAAGAAAAGAAAAAAAAAGAAAAACAATAGATAAAACTTTTGAAAATAAAATAATAATTGATGAAATAACACCTACTGTATTATTAAAAAATTAAAAATTAATTAAATATCTAAAATTTAATCTGAGTTTAAAAATGAATTACTATATATGGTATATGTGTCCTATAATAATATTTGTCCGAAATATCATATAAAGCACACCAATGTCAGCTACAAAGAAGCATATGAATTTATGCTACCTTTCGTGATATGTCAAGATTTGCAAGCCGAAATTTACACGCTCAGAATCGCCTTAGAAGAGTGGTGCGTTGTTGAAAAGTGCGAAGAGATGGATGTACCCTGTTATGTTAAAGATGTGAAAGACGGTAAGGTTGTTGTATATGTGAATCATTTGCGAAGATTGAAAGTGTGTAGAAAAAGGAATAACCATTTTAGACTATTTTATATTGACGAGAACTTTTTCTGGTTTAGAAATTGTGTATGAATTTGAAAACTCGATCTGCAGAAAGCTGAAGGAAAAAGATGGACATGGGCCGATTCAGCGCGAAGCAGCAGTCAACAGTGTACTTGCTGGAAAAAAAACTTTGGGTGGACCCATACAATGAAGCTTCTGAGAACAAATTGTAATCATCACTTCTATTATGTTTCCTTTTTTTCTTATATCAATCAGAACGTTCTTTATTTGTTAAATATCTATTGTATATATCTTTCATTCTCTGTTTCTTTTATAAATATTCTTGTTCCCACTGTTTTTCCTTTTAACAACGTTATGCACACATAGGCATGCTTTACGTATTGTCGAACAGATGCTAACTTTTATTGATATCCGATTAAATGGGTTTGTGGGCTAGGGCATCCTCAAAACATTCTCAATTCATTGAATTAGGAAATATGAGAACATACAGGACTGATTTTCTGGGGAGTGTATTGGTCCGTTACGATGTCTTCTAAAGAACACGTAATAATGGCTTCTTCATCGTCACTGGTGTCAATACTTCTCAATGACTTTGAGTTCTTGGATACCGTGCTTGGATATGAAAGCCAATGCCTCGAAGCAGTCCAGAAACGTGACTACCGATACCAAGGCGAGGACGGATTACGAAAGTACACATTGAAAATGATCTTACCGAGGATGACGGTACCAAAGGAAACAAACAGAAGAATAATAGCGACTGCACTGGTCTCACCGATATGATCTTCCATGGTGGCTTCGACACACCAGGGAGCAAATGGTGGCAATGGTGACGAACAATGACAAACTGCTGGCTGACAGTCTTCTTGCCTTTGGTCGGGCTTAATGCGGTTCAGATGAAAACTAGTGCGATCGGGTAATACACCAAAGAAAGGATGTCCCAGCAAAGTAGGAGGAAGATGAAATGGTGATAGGCAGAGTGGCTCCGAACTATCGTATTTGTACATATCAATATACCATCCTACCTCTCATCCAGATGATACCACCCCATAATATCACTTAGTCATCCATGATTAATCCATATCACCCGATCCACAAGAGAGAACAATTACCAATAATTCTATAATCACTATACGAATCGGATCATGTCATTATGTCACGTCAAACACGTCTGATTTACATATCCGATCATTTCCCATTTTCTCTTATATGAATCAACCTCACATCCAAACCCATACCGCAAATACAGACTATTATTAGTTTATCTGCATCTATATTCTTTCCCTTCATCTTTATGGAAAAATAATCATTATCAATCATTATCTAAGCAGTATGGAAAACCGATCATTGACTAAGCAACACGGAAAACACACTTTATTCTGTCATGGATCATATCACATCTAAAAATACCCATCTAGTATAAAAGACATACCTTATACTTATTCCACTGACGAGAATTTATTCTTTTTTCCTACCTTTTAAGTATCAGTCTCTCGAGAATAAAAGGAGTCTCACAGGATTCACTATTGTTTTTATTTTGTTACTACTAATCCCTCACTTCGTAGACTCCAAACACAACACGAACCATAAATCCCGACCCTAGTTGGGGTCCATGTACTTCAGCGTTCTGTATTTTGAGAAGATGGAAGAGACAAAGTCATACTACCAACGCAGCTATCATAAACAAAGTGATATATCGAAACGATACAGGGTTCAGTAAAAATTACGCTCTGTTTAAAGTGTGTACAAGCAGTGGACAAAGTGTGATCATTTGCGTCTGCATATAAAGTGAGCGATCTCCAAAGCATTACTGTTTTTCATTTTCTTCTCATTGAGGTATCAAGAAATGGTTCAGGTTGCTCTGGTACACAAGCCCGTCTGGTTATTGGTGATAAAAAAAAATAGCACCTGTTTCGAGACTGCGTAAAACATAGCTAAATGTGCGTAATTCGTATAATTAAATTAATTAATTTAATTAATGAGGAAAAATAGCGGGAATACGATATATTCACGATTGATAGCTGAAAGAGAAAGAGGTATGAAAAGATCGTGTGGCAAACCTGCCGGCTTGACAAAAAAAAAATAGTTTACCAAAGTTATTCCGCAGCCACTGCCGCGAAACAGATCTCCAAGATTGGCCCATAGAGTTTGAGATGAGATCCCGCTTACTGCAGCCTGCTTCCATAAAAAGGCAGAGGTCATCGAGCATTGTTTCCCAAGCTAAATGAATAATAAATACTGTAACTAAATGAGATCCAGATTATAGGATGAATGATAAGCTCACATTTGCAGATAAATCCTTTTTGATGGAACGAATTTGATGATTCTGCTCCATTAATCTCTTCGATCACTTCGTCGAGGAACCGATTCTCGTCTTTCAGCCGCTTGAACTAAAACGACAAATTGAGTTTGAGCTGCCACTCACTCTATGTTGCGGCCTACTTACCTTTTGAATGATCTTTTTCAAATTTCGCATTGCGTCTCGGCTTCTTCTTCCTCATCAGGCGCCTTGTGTAGCATGCTTTTGATGGCATTTCGCGTTTCTGGAACAACTTGGGCCAAGTGAGACTCCTCCGAATCATCTGATAGATCGATGACATTATTCATAGCCAATTTATAAATAAATGAATCGCTTCAGCAAAGGAACATTGCAATGATATAAACAACCAGTTTATCTTTTGAAATAGCTATTTTGTTGTCATTTGAAATGCAACTCCTACCGAACCGGCCGATGATGGTGCCAAATGATTCACGGTACTCTTTCACAAAGAATGGTATCAGACGGCAGTAGCAGTCGTCTGAATAAAGCTCTTCGATGTTGAATGCATCCATGGATAATAATCGCTCTGTGCCTATCGAGGATCCGGCGTTTCTGAACAAGACTCGGCAAGGAAGTCTGCTTGCTCTGCGTTTTGAACAAAGGGCGATTGTCGTCACCTAAATCACCTGATTGCGCTTGCTCCATGAACTTCTTAAGAAAGGTGCCTTTGGATGAGCCCTTCTTGTTGGTATCGATATTTCCAAGAAGTCGTATAGCGTTCCGAGTTAAAGAGCCAGAAAGAGTGAATGGGCTGAAAAGACAGAAAAGGAAATAAGTAAGCCATTACATTGCAAAGAAAACGATGTGTCATTTACCTTATCCTGGCCCTTAAGATGCAATGCGAGATTGTACACAAAGAAAAACGTGTGGTGTCAATGAACACTTGCATGTCATGGCAAAAGTGCTGCGCAGTTTTGTGACTGGCCAGATGCATGACGTATGAACTGCATAACACACACACGAAAGATTTTTAATGGCAAAGGTTGCATGACTCTGTGAATGAGGCAGCGCGCGCCCTTATTGTTGCATCAAGGGGAAATCGCCACTCAAATTAAGGTCCGATCATCTCAGGCTCGAAGGTTTCTTTTTCCACTCAAACAAAGCGAAAGAAAAAATAACATCTCGACCAGAGAAATTATCGTAAGCGGCCATGAATATAGTGGAAACGCTAATCAATCCAGGAAAGGGGTGTTATATTATTGAACCAAGGAAAAAATCGGTAACATCTTCATGTCAAATTTTTGGTAAAATTAGTTGGCTCATTCTTCTTGCGAAAGAGGTTCTCCTAGGTTGGACCATGCAGAGTTGATAATGAAATCGGCCTCGCTGTAGCTTTCTTCTGTAAAAAGATACTTGTTATGGAGCATTATTTCCAATTACAGTATGAACAGATAAGAGAAGAACAAGAATAAGCAACTCATTTGCAAATACAATTCTTTTGATGCATTTGTTTGATGGCCGTGCTTCATCAGTTTCCTAATGATTTGGGCGAGAAATCTTTTCCCAAAGGACTCGCGATGACATTTATCATAAGAAGAGCGTATGACTTGAGATCATTAAATTTCAAAGAAGTGGTCTTTGTTTTTGGTCTTTTATAGCCCTCTTACTCGTTGATTGGACTGTTCTTCAGACTTCTTCCAGCAGCTTGATCTCTCCTTATTGCTTCGCTCTTTCGCTCAAAGGTACGGCCAACAATCATGACTTGCCATGAGACGTGGGGCTCCATGCAAAATAAGGCTCTTCATTGAGAAAATTATCTTGTATTGGTTCCTTTTCATGTTGAGTTCCCAATCGTGACAACTCTCATTTTCTTGTTGCTTGGTAGCTGCATTCACCGTTTTAATGTACGCTTCTCGGCAACGAATGGGTACAAAGCTTCTTGCAAGGAGTGCGGCATTTATTCTGGTCTTCGTAGTTTTGTTGAAGCCATGCTCCTACTTCCCTGGAGGTATATTATCTACCATCGTGGTCAGCTATCTACCAAAATGTTGCCTATTTACCAGGATGAACCCCAAACTTTTCTTTAGAGAACCCATATGAATCTAGTGTTTTTGTTCATTCTTTTACAATGTCCTTTTACAGACTTATACGTAGCACGCATATCAATGAATCTTTCAACGCAAGAACCTTTCAAGGAACTGCATCTTCGCTATTTTTTAACGTGGGTTCCTTTTACAGAAAAATCGAAATAAACTCGCTTAGGAACTGAACAGCCTTGTGACAAACATTATGAGGCAGCCGCTGCGGCCAAGGATACAATCGACAAACAAACAGTCGTGGCAAAAATTGCCCACTGAAGTCGAATCAGATATAAACTTCGTTCATGTGTGTGCAACTATGGATAAAGTATGATCATTTGTCTCTTCTTATAAGAGAGCATCTTTTTTAATGTAGCGTGTTTTCCTTGTAACCTACAAACATCCAGTTTTCAAGGCCTTGTGCACAGGGAAGCTTTGCTTCACACCAAGTACGTCTCCTCTCCTCTCCTTTATTTCCTGTCGAAAAAGAACCGACAACAATGGTAACTATCATAATCACGGGCACACATTGATAATTAGTAAAGATCCATGTGCCAGGGATTGTTCCTCGTCTTGATTAAATTGTTCTTTTTTATTCTAAAAGTGTTCAATAACCAGATCAACGGGGCACGAGTCACAGCTCGTTCTGTTTTTTCGCTGGAAGAGGAGCGGAGAACGATTCTTTTGTTCCGTTTCCTTTGCCTCCCTAGCACTTGATTCCCAGCCGACCGCGAAAAAACGTTATTCTTCGTCAGTGCAGTTCATGTCCCAACCATCCCAAGACGAACCAACCAATAGGTCCACGTCACCAACCGGCCCGCCTCAGCCTCCAACCAATGTCACCAACATCGACGACCCATCGCATCCATTGTTCCACCATCGACGCTCTGTAGGCGATTTCACCTACGGTGATGTTCTGGGAGAAGGCAGCTATTCAACGGTGCGTAAGAAAACAGCCAATGGTCGCATAAAATAATAATGCTCACTGTCCGAGAATGGCATGTTTTGGATAACATAGGTTCTGTTGGCTCGCGATAAAAAGACGGACAAACAGTATGCTATCAAGAAACTTGACAAGGCCCACATTGTGAAAAATGACAAGGTCAAATATGTCATGATTGAACGTGATGCTTTGTCTCGCATGAACCATCCCGGCATTGTCAAGCTGTACTGGACCTTTAAAGATAACCGCAGTTTATGTACGTCTTTTGGATACAGACCGGTACCGCCCTTCCAGGGTCACTTACTCTTTTTCACCTTAGACTATGTACTCGATCTTGCTCCTAACGGCGAACTGTATACTTATATCCGAAGAGTAAGTGTTGAGCGCTTGAATTCACAAAAGCAAAAAGGTTTTGACTGATCCATTTTCCTATTCAGCTGGCTCCATTTAGCCTAGAAACGGCCCGATTTTATGCGGCTGAAATTGTCCTGGCCCTGGAACATATTCACAGTAAAGGCGTTGTGCACAGGTAAAACGAACTACAACTAGTACAATACCATGGGCTTTGCCCTTCTGGACGCTACTGGGAATCTAACTTCTTTTACTAAATAGAGATATTAAGCCTGAAAAGTAATTGTGTTTGTTTTGCGCAAACCACGCTGCACCTCTCAATTAACCTTGTGCCAAATAGCATTCTTTTTGACGAGCATATGCACATCAAAATCACGGATTTCGGTTCGGCGAAAATTCTGCAGGACAATCAGGAAGAAACACCTTCCCAGTGTAAGTAAAACTGTGTTGATCATGGGTTGAACAAAAATACTGACTATTTCGCTTTCCTTTCTTTGGCAGCCAATGCACGATCGTTTGTCGGTACGGCAGAATACGTCTCGCCCGAATTGTTGCGCAGTGATCCAACTTCTAAAGAGTAAAAATCAGCAATGACGGACTGGTAGACAGAGAGAGCTCACTGATGGATTTCTTTTGTTATTGCATTTAGGGCCGACTTATGGGCTTTGGGATGTGTCATTTTTCAAATGATTTCCGGCAAATCGCCATTCAAGGCCGCGACGGATTATCTCATTTTTCAAAAGATCAAAAATTTAGACTATACGTTTCCTGAAGAATTCCCACCGGTCGCTCGTGATCTGGTAGAGAAACTACTGGTGCCTGAAGCCAGTCAACGATTGGGAGCGGGTAATATCGATCTCTTGAAACAACACCCTTTCTTTGAAGGTGTGCCATGGGATACATTATTCGAGAGTCAGGCGCCTCCTTTGAAGGAGCAGTTGGCAGAAGAATTGCGAAAGCATCCTCCGGCGCCAGAAATCGAGGATGACAATGATATGGACATTTGGTTTGGAGAAGAGAATCCTTTCAGTGATGCGGCCGCGCCGCAATCCAATCCAGAGCCCAAAATGAATATGACCGACAATTATGCTTCAGAGCCAGGCATGCCAGACAATCGACGATCACATTCCACGCCATACGATGGTTCTTACAGTCCTGCACGAGCATCATTGGATCAATCTTCTGTGACACGAAGCTCCACCTCTGATCGTCCTCGCGACGATTTGAATAATCCTTGGTAATCGTATACAGACTGATGTGAGAGTTGGACTATTTTCCGTCAATGTGAATCATGTTTTTCGCCTAACTGCAGAATAAAAGGACGGCCGCTTTATACCCTAATGAATCGATACTACGAGCTAGCCGCATGATTCGAAGGCGGGGTCTGTTGCATAAAAAACGGTTCCTGATCCTGACAGACAAACCTCGCTTACTATATTTTGATGAGAACAAGGAATCACTCGATGGATCCGGAGGCCGGTTTCGATGCGAAATACCTTGGACTTCGCGACTTCTTCCAGAGTTAAAAGGCAAATCGGTATTCTGCATCAACACGGTAAGCACATCTCTACTCAGTCTGTATTATGGTGTTGTGATAGATAAAACTGACAAAACTACTGGAATTGAAGCCCGAAAAATCATACACGCTTGAAGATCCACAAGGTCATGCGCAAGACTGGGTGAATACACTGAACACCATGATTGTTGACAGCTTTGGTCTGGCTGCTTAAACACTACACCTCAATTAGCACCAAAATCACTATAATAATGCGTCTAAATACATTCATAAGGTTTAATAGATTGAATTGGCTATATTTGTATATTTATCTCACATGGGAAAACTTTCGTTGTGATGATGGACGTGGGAGCGGGTGATTTTGATCTTTTTGCACTCGGAGCCATGGCACAGCGTGACGACGTTTTTTTATGGCGGCATCTCAGGCAGGCTCTGTCCCTTTTTAACCTTGTTCAAGATCTATCCACATGTCATCTAACAAGCGAATTAAAGGCATTAGCGTCACTCGACCTTTTTATTTTGGCAATATTGCCATGCCACTGACCGGCAAAAAGGCGGCGGATTCGGACCATACACACAAATGGACGGTCATGGTTCGAGGCATCAACAATGAAGATTTAAGCTACTATATCAAAAAGGTCGTCTTCAAATTACACGAAACTTATGCCAATCCCTTACGCAGTAAGTCCGATAGTCTCTGTATCGGTCATTGGGTCTACTTACAAGTGAGATTTGTAGCTGTTGAACAGCCTCCTTTTGAGGTGTCTGAAACCGGGTGGGGTGAATTTGAGATCATGATCAAGATCCATTTTCAAGCCGTCACAAGCGAGAAGCCTGTTACATTATACCACCATTTACGGCTTCATCCTTACGAAGATGATCCCAGTGGCAAACCTTGGCCTGCAGATAGACCCGTCTCTAGCTTTATCTATGATGAATTGGTAACCATGGAAAAAGTTCCTGTCGTCAAAATTATCTAAAAACTGATGTCCTGGTTTTTTTTATTTATAGATATTTAATGAACCCACCGAACAGTTTTACCAGATATTATCCGAACACAATGCGCTCACTTCCAATTTACCCGCCAAAAAACCCAACAAAGATAATCCAACCGTTCCTCAGTTTAGCGTACAATTGGAACAGGAAGAATTGGAACGTCTGGACCACGCTCAACGGGAAGTGAATATGCAAATCATGCAGTTACGGCAACAAATGGCGGCTATCGAGCAAGACCGATATAAATCCTAACTTCGTTTTTTGAAAAATATCCTCCTCAGGTTTTATCGCAATGATTCTGCTTCTATCTGTATATATTTATATCTTTTTACTACAACAATAATGATGGTTTGAATCGTCAAAAGTGATGATACGTACAAATGGGGTTCGGTTTTTATTGTGGAGATACTAGAAATAAGCAGAAAGAACAACTTCTGCATAATAATAACAAGTTAAACTGGTATATTTTGGAAGGAAAGAAAGCTACAGAAGAAAATAGGAACATAAGAAAAAGAAAACGAGTACTGAGGTGTCTATTATCTACATCGATCGTCGTCCTTCTGTTATCGGGTTGGTGGGGGTTTTGTTCGTGGGTTGACCGGGTTGTTGGATACCGACCACCCCTCCACCCATGGAAGCACTGTAACCTGGTATACTGCTGTTCTGTTTGCGTCGCATCATCCCGGAAAATGCGCCGCTCTTTTTCTTTTTGCTGACCATGGCTGGACTGGCGTCTTTATTGACACTTTGTTCCCGCAGTCGTTGAGCGTGACCAACGATACAGCTGATCAGGTCGTTGTATGTTTCCGCATCCATCAATAACTGCTCTCGTTGATCCAGCAAATAACCTAGGTATTCCGTTGCTTGGCGTTGTAACCGTGTTAATTCTCCAATCATGGCCGTTAATTTCACATCCGGGAAAACACGAATGGTTTCTGTAATTTCAGTAAGAAAAACAAGAAGCTCTACATACAAATTTGAGTATCTTGCCACTTTACCTTCAGTGAGTTCACAGTAAGCTTTGGCAATATCAATATCTAATTCGGCTTCAGGTTCCACTGCCTTTTTCTCTTGTTCAAACGGCCTTGCCTTGCCTGCTGATACCGCCATGCCTGATAACGAAGCTGAGCGCAAATGGCCGTTGGGAGACGATTTTCTCTCTTCATGGAGTGACACGCCGGATGAATTGTTCGATTTGGACTCGAGATAGTTGGATTGCGGTCGTTTGTTGCTCGAACGGTATCCTGCTACGGGGGAAGAGCAATTCGACAATGATCCGCTGCTTAAACTGGATTTCTAAAAGCAGTCGAATGCATCAGCACCAAATCTTTTTACCAAAAGGCAAACCCAACGGCTCTATGCTTACTTCCTCATAGTTGATCGACACGCCCAGTGCTCGTAAATAAGCACGATTCGTTTCTGACCGAGTCCATTGAAATTGCCCGAGAGCCCCAGTGATGGGATTGTAAAAGATCGAATCTCGCGATAATTTTTCCCACAGATCCGCACTAGCACAACGTTTGATCGTTTAGTGTTCGACAAACCCCGGATGACTCTTTCGCCTGTTTGTATCGAGGAAGAAGGAGGCTTACCTGCATTTTGTACACAGAATATCCTTTTCATGATGATCATGATCCGTCATGGATAAAGGCGATGCTACCCGTTCTTCTGATGAATCCTTCCATAAATCAGTTAAATACCCTTCAACGTAGTTGGCAATAGTATCCGGATCGGGGGCTTCTTCCAAGACTGTCACCTAAACCTCTTTGCGTGAGTTTCAAGCGGGCCACCAACATGATTGAACTCGATGGAAGATAAACCTACATATTTCTCTGCATCCGTCGGAGGAGGCGGTGGTATATCTGTTTCAAAGTCATCCATGGCATCCACGGTTTCAGCGCCTTCAAAATCATCGAAATCACCAAATGCATCGTCGTCGGCTTCCACGAATTCCGTATCGAAATCGCCAAAATCGTCCTCATCCCCATTCTCGTTCCATTCGTCGTTTGCTGCATCTGCTGCTTCGAATGCCTCATCCTGATCCGGGGTATTATCAGCTTGCACTTGGGGTGTTGCTTCTTCGTTTTCCTGAACGGCGTCCTTCTGCAAGTCGGGCGCTGCATTGTTTACGTGATCCTCGATCTGATTCGGTGACGAAGGTTCCGGGGTGGAAGATGGGTTGAGTTTCGGTGACGATACTGTATCGACAAAGTCGACGTCGTCCGAAGAGTCGTGGACTTCCGATGATGCGTGGTTGGATTCTGCCATGGGCTCTGAATTCTGGAAGAAGACCAGTGGCATAAATTTTGAAATGGCGATCGATTCAATCCACCCTCTTGATTAGGATCATGTGACCCCCCAGCGGTGGGGTGGAAACACCTGTGGAAAAATGCCAAAATCTCGAATTGCAAATCGATATGAACTGGCAAACCCATCTTGCGCAGCGGCGTATTTATTTACAATATAGTCTCTCTCTCCTTCTCTCCAAAGGAAACCGGGCGCCATTCATGCCCGATTTGGTCTCTAAGTAGATCGAACCGAGCACAGTTGCAAAGGCAACGAGCGAAAACTCCACTGCAACACTGCAAGCTCTAGCATGAAGCATTTTATATCATGAAGCGTCTCATTTGAGTGCCAAAACCCTATCGCTTGCTTTGATGAGTTCTGATGGGAGCAGCCGATATGTCCCTCAAAATAAACGGACACAAAGAAGTGATGCTTGTTTCATGCTAAATAGTGTCAGGTTGCAAAAGCACTATGCGGTTAAGACTTAGAATTTAAGCAAATAAAGCTTTTATGAATATCAGGTCCATCTGATGAAACGGCATTGTCTATCAAGTGGGAAATATACCACTTTATCATATTCACGATGTCCACAAATTATTGTTGTTACTCAACAAAATGCTACAAGGCCACAAATCTTGGCATAGTGCATCAAGAAATAATTGTCCTTTTACCGACCACCTCTCCCGCTACCCTCAAGACAGAAAAGCTGTAATACGCTAAGATCATATAAACAGCACGGAGCAGTATCTGTGCGGATGCAAAGAGAGGAGAATCTCCCAATTTTTTTTTTTTTCTTTTTTGGTGTTGGTGGTGCGGCCCGAGAAAATTTTCAAATTCAATCGCCGCAAAGCTCGCAACACAAGAAAAGGTGCATCCTCAGACAACGGTTGATCCTTCCTTTTCATCAATCAAGCGAGTCGTCATGGTAAGCTGACACCCGTCCATCCATCGATCCATCCAATCTGCCAATGGATCAATCCATCCCTTACAGTTCATACTTACTGATATCCATCATCTGTAGCCTTTCGTGAAGCAACAGAAGAACAAGGCCTACTTCAAGCGCTACCAGGTCAAGTACCGCAGAAGAAGAGGTAATTACATTCGATTCTTTTTTTCTGTGGACCAATGAACCTGTAGCAATGGTGAACAAAAACACACAAAATATCCATATCATAAAACGGGAAACTGAGGCATTAGTTTCCTCGGCCTGGTCCCGATCTTGACTTGTTCCATCGTTACTGTGTTCACTGCGTTCTTTTTTTATTTCGTGACAGGCGGCTGACTGTCTGTTTTTCTTCTTTTACGGTTTAAATAGAGGGCAAGACTGATTACTATGCTCGTAAGAGACTTGTTGTTCAGGCCAAGAACAAGTATAACTCGCCCAAGTACAGATTGGTTGTCCGTTTCACCAACAAGGACATCATCTGCCAGATCGTCTATGCCAAGCTCCAAGGTGACTTCGTCTTGTCTGCTGCCTATGCTCACGAACTTCCCCGCTACGGTATCAAGGGTGGTTTGACCAACTGGGCTGCTGCCTATGCCACTGGTCTCTTGTTGGCTCGCCGTACTTTGGCCAAGCTCGGTCTTGCCGACAAGTACGAAGGTGTCACTGAACCCGATGGCACTATCCAGATGACCGAAGCCAACGAGGAAGGTCCTCGTCCCTTCAAGGCTTTCCTTGATGTCGGTCTCGCTCGCACTTCCACTGGTGCCCGTGTCTTCGGTGCCATGAAGGGTGCTTCCGATGGTGGTATCTTTGTTCCCCACTCCGGCAACCGTTTCCCTGGTTTCGATATCGAAAGCAAGACCAACGACGATGAATTGCTCCGCAACTACATCTACGGTGTTCACGTTGCCGAATACATGGAATACCTCGAAGAAGAAGATGAGGAACGTTACAAGAAGCAGTTCGCTACCTTCTTGAAGAACGGTATCACCTCTGACAAGGTTGAGGATATGTACGCTGAAGCTCACGAAGCCATCCGTGCTGATCCCTCCGCCAAGCCCACCGAGAAGAAGGGCAAGCCCGCCAAGGCCTACCGCCGTCCCCAGCGTCTCAACAAGAAGCAGCGTGATGCCAAGATTGCCTCCAAGAAGGCTGCTTTCCAGAAGGCTCAGGCTGATGAGGAGTAAATGGATGCCTCATCTCTTGATGAATAATAAACTCTTTACTGTAATTTTGCGCTGCATTTCTATCATTGCCCTCTTTCTATTTTGTGGATGTTCTTAAATTTCATCGAATTTGCGGATGTGGATTGGTTGATAAAAGGGAACAGTATTTAATCAAGCGGTTGAGCAGAGTGAAATCGTTGCATGAATAATAACTTGTCCTATTGCCAGAATGGGGGGGGGGATTTGTTACAACGCGCTCTCAATTTCTGCACAACAGAATGTGGGCTGTCTGTGCAAAAAAAAATATTCCGCGGGTGACGTGATTGGACCAGGATAAAGCGTGGCTTAGACACACCCATCTCACTCTCAAATGTCGTATCTTTTTTTTTGCGTCGGGGGATGTCACTCGAAAGAATCGTGTTCAAGCAAAAGACCCTTCCCCATCCACTCGCTTTTCATTCCGTGCATTTCGGTGAATTCCGTTTAAATTCCCCTCCTCTCTCTTTCACCTTTTTATTACATTAACTATTCTCTTCCCTCCTCTTGCAACCCATCATTGAGCGGCACGATGTGGGGCAGTAAGATTCGGTTACCGAACAATCTTCAGATGCAACGCATCATGTCCAATTTATTTGTCACGGTGGCGGTGGGTGCGGTGGCCACCGTAGCGGCACCAACCTTATTTCCTTGTCCAGCTTTCGATAACAACGATCGTATGGCACGACTAGAAGCACAGAAGAAGTACAAAGCGAAACACGGTGACGCGAAAGTGATTGTGAAAAGACGACGACAACCGGTGGTAGAACAAGACGAAGCTTCTACCTCGGCATAGCCTTACGCCCACGGAATTTTGACGGACATTAATCAACCCCAACATCACCATGACAACAACAACAACGAACGACGACGACGGTAGAAAACTCTGTAACTGTACCATTTATTCTAAAAACCGAACCTTACAACTATGAAGAAAACTAGAGAGGCGCGCAAAAAAAAGGACTTCTTGATTAGACTAGTCTTTGTAGAAAAAAAAAAGGCCACTTTTTCCTATACTCACGCAATCACTCTGCTGGAATAAACATTGCCGGATGATGCTTTCTTCAGCTGTAATTCATAAAAGGGAACGGGAGATTTTGCAACCCCAACAAACGCATAAAAGAAGAAAATAATGTCATACGACGTTGTAATTTAGGAAATTGCATGTTTCTTGAAGATTCTGGATTACGTCTGTTATTGCTTTGACAGATACGAACACCAAGCCAGACCGTATTGCAAAAAGTCTTACCAGTGAACATGCAGGCGTGATCAACATAATTGTAACAATATGTATTGCTGTTTCTCGTATTTTTCATTTGTTGGGTACCACAGGGTAGTCTGAACAATAGTTGCGGGAGTGAACCATGCAAAGCCTCGCTGCTCTCGTTCGCAGTGGGCATATGCGGATTTGTATGAAAAAAATAATTAAAATAGGAAGTGAGTTTGCACTGCGCTTTTCAGTGTTTTTCAGTGCAGCATTACATTAAAACTTCATCGTGTTTTAGTGGAGTTTTCTTTGGTGGATGATGTTTTTACTTGTTATTGAATTGATATCTAACCTATACCCATTTCCCTTTGCAAGCTCGGCTGATAGTGGACGTTCTCTCTTCTTCGCAGACATTCTATTATTGCAGCAAAAAACGGAATGCAACAGGCTATGTAAGCAACAATCTCAGCAACTCATTCACAGATAATATTTGCTGCTTAGAAACTTCAAAATGAGGCAACTGCAAAACGATAACTCGTATACATACAAGATTGCCTGTTATGCGACATTGTTGTTTGTAAACACTAAACACCCTTTTGTGTTCCAATGCTCGTTACTTTAATAATGACGAAAACATTATCTGTTGCAAGATTTCCAGTGATATTCCCAAACAACAATCCACTAGGTCTGTAGCAAATGCCTTGCACTGTGCTAGCGTTTTCGAGGAGTGTGTTGCTGGTAGAGAACTTCGTTTACTGAGAAAGGATGAAAGTAGAAGAATGAAAATAAGTAAAAAAAAGGGTCGCCATCAATGACGCGGGGTTCATTCTCCGACGTCACTTTCCCAAACTGTAGCAAGTCAAAAACGACTGGAACTCAACCAAGGCAACACCAGAATAGGTTCGTTACAGGCACGGTAACACACCGCGAAAAAAAAATAAGGAGCGTAGGACGTCACGAAAGCTTGATGGAGAGAAAAAAGAGACTCCCCGTTTTTTTTTTGTGTTTTCTTTTTTCTCTTTCTTTTGGCGGCATTATACTTCGTTCTCTACTCTATTTTCATTCTTTGGCCACTTTTTCTTATAAACATACCATAGACACTTGCTTCTCTAAAATATACCTTTCCCCTATTTTACCTGTAACTCATGACCATACCCGAAGTTGATCCTAATACAGTACGTTCATTGCAACACTCCCGCACCCAGCAAGAAAAACGTGTCTTTACTAACCCTCCATCTTCTTCTCATTAGGATTCAACTCACACTTTGTCAGGTAACTCTGGTGTTCCTACGGAGAAGAAACATGGAAGGGTTAAAACGTTTGTTTCTTTTTGCATAGATACCACGGCACCAGCGGTTACTGTAAAACAGACCGTAGCCAATACTGAGGCAGAACACTCCGCCGATTCGCTAGCCGCCAACGATTCATCCCAGACAACGTTGGCTGAAAATGGGATCGTGAAAGAGCAAACCCCAGTGGGCTCCCATGCCACCCCTGATGAAAAGGCTTCCAAGGAAACTACGAAGGAGGATTTTCAATCGGACAAACCCAGGGATGGAAACACACACGCTGAGGTGGTTCCTCCTCAGGAGCCATCTGTCTCTGCAGCCGCCGCCAACGGAGCCAGCGGAGCCGAACCCGTCGTGGGTTCTGCCGATGTCCATCAAACGCTTGTCTTGATCAAACCGGATGCTATGGAAGACGAAAAGAAAAACCAAATTGTACAAAAATTCAAGGATGCCGGATTCGCCATTGTCAAGGAACGTGAGCTCCATCTTTCAGTTGATCAAGCTAAATCCTTCTACCGTGAACATGAAGAGAAGGATTATTTTGACAAGCTGGTCACTTTCATGAGCAGGTCAGAATTAAACTCGAAACTCTAAAACCCTCATCCGAGTCTTTTTTTTTTCTTCTCTGTTTATTTATTTACTTTTTTTACTTTAGCCGTTCTATTTATGCCATGGTTCTCGAAAAAGAAGATGCAGTCGAAGCATGCCGACGTCTGATGGGACCGACAAATTCCAAAAAAGCTCGCCGCAATGACCCACAAAGGTACGTTTAATTTAATAGCTTTTCCCGAATCTCAATCCAGAATATCACTCATCAAAAGTGTTCATCATGTAGTATCCGCGCCTTGTTTGGCACGGATGGATGGGAAAATGCAATTCATGGTAGTAGCTCTTCAGCTAATGCAGAACATGAAATTGAAGTTATTTTTGGAAACAATCAATCCATCCTCGCTGAGAATGAAGCTCCAGCAGCAGTGGTGGTGGATGCATCCCCGCTGCAGAAAGACCTTACATCGGCTGCTGAGACTACCCCGAGCCAACCGAGCGACATGATCAACGATACCGCGAATTCCAACCACAGCAACCCGCCATTCCAAAGCGATGCATTGGCCGTCACGTCCACCGAGGAGCCATTAAAGGCTGGAGGACTCTGCGGAACCGGTGGCAGTGATGAAAAACCGGGCGATGACTATGAGGATAAGATCAAGGAACTGGCCGCTGATATTGAAACTGAAACGGCAATGGCAATGGAAACGAAAACGAAAACGGAAAAGGAAAACTCACCAATGCACAAAGAAGAAAATCATGAAGCTGTATCCAAAGACGCCAAAGATGCCAAGGATACCCATCCTGCTGTTAAGAATTTGGTGCATCGATTTGAAAATGCAGGTGACCCTACAGAACAGCTAAAAAAAGATCCAATTCCAGCAACAGCGGCAGCAGCGGCAGCAGAAAGCAGTCAACCTGCAGAGATCCCCAAGCCTGCTTCTGAGTCAGTCCCCAGCGACGAGCAAAAAGCTTCCACCTCAGTCGCTGAAACCACCGACCAGCAACACAATACCCAAAGCAACGACACGACCGAGTCAGTCAAGCCAGCCGACCCCGTGAAACCCGAACATGACAATGTCGTAACCGATGCAGGCAATGATAAACACGATGCCAAAAGCAGTACGGAGATGGCCGACACGGGCGCCAGTGAAAAAGTAGGTTTAGCAAAAGAAACGATTCCAGTGGTGTTCTGTCAAGGAACTAACCATATGCTACAGACTACGAAAGACCATATCGAACCCAAGAAAGAAGATGAAGCTGACACATCCGCGGAGAACGATGCAAGTCCAAAAGATTCCGTGGAAGAGGTGACTGCAAGCGTTTCGCAGCATCAGGTGAAGGAAGAAGAACCTAAATTGGAAACTCAAGTCACACCATCTCCTGATGAAATAAAGATGGACAATTCTGGCCATCCTGCTGCAGCAGCTCTAACAGATACATCACCCGACTCTGTTGCTGCTGAAGAGAAAAAGGAGGAACACGTACCAGAAGCAATCAAGAACGATGAAAAGGCTGCTGAAAACCAGAGCGATGAAACCAAAGCCGCCAAAACCAAAGCGGACAATGTGAAACCGAAATCGCCTTCGCATTCGCCTCTGCGTCGTACAGCCGGTGCGCCATCAACCGTGCGCAAAAGTCCTACCACCTCTTCTTTAGCCAAGAAGACCCCGAACGGCACTTCGTCTTCGTCCGCTGTAAAGAAAGAAGAAACCAAGAAATCGTTCACCCGGACAGCCGCCGATGGAGCTGTCAAGACAAGACTAACAACAGCAACGAATGGAACGGCCACCGCGCGTTCCTCCATTGCCACCAAACGTCCCATTGCTTCCAAGCCCGCCGACGAAAGTTCCAGTGCAACCAAACCTGCGACCAAAGCGCCCCGAGTCCCTCGTGTCGCGACATTGGTGAAGAAGCCGGCAGTGAACAAGACGGAAGAAAAACCGGCGGAAGAGAAGCCAAAGAGAATCAAGCAGGTCAGCTCCCGCTTGACTGCCCCAACGACGGCCAGTGCGAGAAAGCAGGCAACGGAAAACTCAACTGCCGATGCCGCTCATGCTCGACCGGTTCGTACCGTCAAGAAAACGTCGGGTTCGCCTTCATCGTCTGCACCGGCTCTGAA